CGACGAGGAGGAAGAGGAGGAGCGCATTCGCCAGGGCGAGGAGGTCGATGCCGGCGGCGAAGTGAACGGGAGCAATGGCGAGCAGAACGGGAGCCGTGGTGCATCAGGAGAGGCCGCATCGGGTCACACGCACAAACACTTCAAATGGGCGCCGAAATTTACAGATGTTTATAAGAGTGTTGACGAGGCGGGGCCGGGCAATGATGGCTGGGCTGTTAAGGAGGGACAGACAAGGTGAGTGCTATATCGTCGCCTTCCTTTGATGACGATGGTGATTAAGACGCTAACTCATATAGTGTCACCCCCTTGAAGGCGAATTTCTGGCATGCGGCGCCGCAATTGCATAACGAGGAGTTGAAGCTGTGAGTGGTTTTCCGTTGCGAGTTGGTTTCCGAGCATCATCGTTCTGTCTGGAGCATCTTTGGCTGTGATAGACAAAAAAGGGGTTCCGAAGCCGAGAAAGAGAGGTATAGAAGCACATCTAGAAATAGACAGCATCTTTGCTCTATTATCCTAGTACGATTGCTGCCATTCTTTAAACTCCGTAAGACTGAATTCTTACATGAAATTCTGTACCCAGGGAACCTTTAAAGTCGAGTACCCCTATCCCGCTCAGGGGCTCAGAAACCGTAGAGAAAGCCATCGCGACGATAAACCAGGATGCCAGATCATCACAAGAGCACCTGTACGCCGTTATTGCCTACGAAGATGCCTACGTCCAACCCCTATTACTTTCTTCTCTCGAATCCCTCCTTCCGCGAGAAGCGTGGACTCTCATTTCTCCTACCGACGCAGCCACAGAGTCTTCTCTAACCAAGTTGGTCCCAAACTCTGCTTCAAAGATCTTACAGATTACGCCTTACGAGACTATCGATTTCGAATACGCCGCCAGCCATCCCGAAAGCTGTCTGATCAACAGTTACATGATTCGTAAAGCGCTCATCCGCAAGCACTTCCTCTCTACTACGGTTGAGCATTGGGTGGCGAAGCATCCCGATAGTTCTCTCAAGACCCATATCAAGCGTAGTGAGGCGTTTGAGGTCGACTACGCCGAGTTCCTCGATGATGCGCTCGTCGAGTCTTTCGACTTGCGAGCAAGCATGGAGCGCAATGAGACAATATCGGGTTCAGGGGCGGAGGCGCAGGGCCGCGAGTGGTGGATCCTGAAGCCGAGTATGAGTGATCGCGGCCAGGGGATCCGGTTGTTCTCCACTATGGACGAACTGCAAGGCATATTCGATGTGTGGGAGGAAGATATGCCAGATACGGACGATGAAGACGAGGATGAACAAGATGAGCAGGGCAATGGTGCAGCGCTTAGTAGGAGTGACGAGGACGATGACAAGGACCACATCACGACATCACACCTCCGCCACTTTGTAGCGCAACCCTACATCCATCCGCCGCTACTCTTACCAGGAGACAACCGCAAGTTCCACATCCGCACTTACGTCCTTTGTGTGGGGAGCTTGAAAGTCTACGTCTACAAGTCCATGCTGGCACTGTTCGCGGCCGTGCCCTATGCTGCCCCTTGGGAAGACCCGGACCTCAACGCCCATCTGACCAACACTTGCTTACAGGGCGAGCAAACAGCCCTCGAGAAGGACTCGGTCAAGGCGTTCTGGGACCTGCCGCTCGACCGCTCGACGCTCGACTCGATCTTCGCGCAGATCTGCGACGTGACGGGCGAGCTGTTCGAGGCGGCGGCCAAGGCCATGACGATACACTTCCAGCCGCTGCCGTACGCGTTCGAGGTGTACGGTGTTGACTTCCTGGTGGACGCCGAGTCGAACGCCTGGCTGCTCGAGGTCAATGCCTTCCCGGACTTCAAGCAGACCGGAGACGAGCTGCGAGGTGTTGTGGCGGAGTTCTGGACAGGAGTGCTGCGCCTCGCTGTCGGACCGTTTGTTGGATCGATAGAGCACCAGACTAGTGAGACCGAAGGGGGAGAGGTTGGTGGTATGGTTCTTGTCCGAGAGGTCGATCTCGGAAGGCGGTAAGATACGCGGGAAAGGGCCAGACGAGGCCAGTGTACATAGCTACGCTGTGGCTATATCAAGGGATTTGTTGGTTACCAAACTAGAAATGATTATTATTTGGCTTCGGAGTTGGGGTTTGGTAGGATTCAAATGCATCCAGGGTTCAGATCGCAGGGAGATGAGCAGGTACATCTGACAAGGCTTGCGTATATCATAGGTAGATGATCCTCTGGGATGAAAGAGTGGAGCTTGGCTTGTTGATATTGGACACGAGCACGAGATATCAAGATTGCGTGGCAGTATGGATTAGTCCCGATGGCTACACTAGAGTCATATTGATACGAAAGATGTTTTGAAAAGAGACTTCTTGCAAGAACCCGAACCATAATCTAAAACGGCAAGGCTATGGCACTCTCATAATTGCTTTCATCCGCCAGATATATACATCTGGATGTATCCTACGAGGTCGCACCCATGGACGATTGTGGCACCTATGTATAATGCATCGGCTCAAGGTTCTCTTTAAATAGGAGAGGGGATCAAGGGGTTTGGGGGTCACTTCGGTGAATGATTTCCTACCTATCAGTACGCGCCTACAAAATATCCATCTTCTGGTGAATTATGGAACATACACTGGAATCCAATCAACGGTGGTTCGCACTTTTCTAGTCCAAGGGAACACGGCAGTCCTGTTTGTATGACAAGTAGCAATATCATCACGATAGCTGTCTAGAGAGATCACATGAGCATGTCGTTTCGGAAGCGGATTCGACGTTTGGTTCATCGCGTCCCGTCTCAAAATCGGCTGTAACATGGGGACAATTACCGCCAGACGGCAGGCTATCACCAGAGCAGAGCATATTAGTCAAGGTCTGTAAATGGCGCGGATGCATACGCCAAGTGACAACTGGGTGAAATCTCGGCGCTTCACTTTTGCACTGCCACACTCTTGTGCTCCAGTCGGAACGGGTAGCATCAAGGTCCTACGGGGCCGCCCGTGGCAAGACAGCGCGTTCTGCCCATTCTCCAGTTTCGTGCATTTTCGACGCAGGTTTTGACGCAGCAGTCCCAGTTCAGATCATCGACGTGCTGCAGACGGGGCAAAATATCCACGGAACGACCCGTCTCATAATCAGGCTTGGCTTTGATATTTCCTGCCACTCATTGTTGGGTTGCGCGGGTCCGAAGTTCTTGGTAGATAAGAACGTCTGGTACTGTACCCAGGAAGATCAACGTTCAGGTAGCACTAACCTTCAACTCAGAAAGATGTGAGGCAGACTCAGCCTCCGCCCAGCCGGATTGGGGGAGAATCCTGAATGAGAGTTCTCTGGTGTAGAATGCGGCATGTCTGAGGCTGCTTATCTCCGGATAAAGACTCTCCGAAGGCTAGGAGCCAAGGAAAATGCTCTTTGGACAGTTGCCAAGCACGTGGGTGTGTGGTGTAGCCTCGCGATGGCATTGCGGTTATCTTGAGTAACAAAACCTATCGTAACTCGCGGCTGAGACACCAGTCATGCCTGGCGATGAACCAACAGCCAGAGAGCCATCGCTTCCGGATGGCCACGAGACCGGCCGCGTTGTTTATTGAGCCACAAGTTGGGTTGCTTGTCAGCAGCTGAGTGGACCGCTCATAGCCCATTTGACGCCTTGTTGAGCATGTGAGATCATACTTCGCAATGCTAGCGTATCTCTGACAGGCCGTCTCCGGTCAGGTGTAGTAAAGGCAAGCAGCACATCGTGCCGATGAATTTCGCTGAATAACTCCTTGATTGCTGATCTGCTTCAGCTGGCAACCCAGATGCCCATATTGAAAGAAGTATTGAATCCTTGAGCGTCTTACAATGCGCCAACCAAGTGTTTCGCAAGCGTCCCGGAAGTACAAGTGTCCGCTGGTAGGGTTGGGGGCCGCGGAAGGTTTCTAGACTTTCTAGAAGAGCGCATCTAACAATTGCCGCCGATCAGCTTGCTTACCAAGGTGCCCTGTAAGCTCCAGCGTTTGTGTTGCTGGTTTATTTTGCATGAGGTGAGGGGACCACCGTTTCGTTGCGCATCGTAGTCCGTAATCAGTCAATGGCCGAGAGTTGATTGGGGACGCAATCTCCGTCACGCGAGATTGGGAGCTTCAAGGCCATTAGTGCCAGAACCCCCTCCCCGGGTAGTAATCACCAGTGGGCGGCCGCGTTAACGTCATCTGGCATACGGACCGCCGTGATAATGGACGCGATATGAAAATGTCTCAATTGACAATTTGCAGGCCAAGAGTCCAAGACCCGCGGCCTCAATCAAGAAGAGGCAGTCCGAGATCCTTGGCTCCGCAAGTCGCTGTGCAACTGCCGCCTTACTACCTACCTACCTACCTCCCTGACTGGCAAGAAATGCGCGTGTCATGCAGTGAAAGGGCACTTGAGGGGAGCACTTGACCTCGTCGGGGTCGCGCTTCAATGGCCGCCACTTCTTCCGAGTAGTTCACGAGCAAGCCACTGTCGTAACTATCAAGTGATCGCCTCACTATGAAATTCTTCTTGGTAGCCAAGCAGCGAAGTTTCTTTGCGCCCCATCGTCATGCTTGGGGAATTGCTTTGTTACTTCAGGTACGGAGACGGTATACGAGTCTTGTCGTTGCTTTGACGGCTACTAAGGAGAGGTCTATCTTCATGTGAACGAACAACGAACCCTTGATGTCGCGATCCCAGAGTAAGTGATCTGGCAAGGATAACAAGCTTGCAATTATCAAGGGTCCCCGAGAGCCTACGCAGTAAGGTGAGGTAGACAGGGTGAGGATACCCGCCTCCCTAGTTAAGCGAAGTGATAACGGCGTAAGCTTGGGGTCCCATCAGTGTTCCGTTTCGCATGTCCAAGCAGGATTGTTCCAGTGGGGTCAATACGGCGTAGTCTACTGTGATAAATTGCCTGTTTCTTGCTTAGAGAAGCCTGGAGACTACGTTGTCAAGAGCGAATACGCATCGTGGCATTGACAACAGCACAAAGATTCCAATGGCGGCGAGTTTCACCAACAAGGCACAATCGACGAGTACGCAAGCAGGCCCAGTCCAGTGGCGAACGACAGCTCGGATTTGCTCTTATTAGCCAAGCAACTAGCCTGGGGAAGCAAATGTCGTGGCTGACAAGTCGATGTGAGAGGAAACTGTGCTGTGATGGGCCCTGTGTTTCACGAAACGCCAGTGCTAGTCCAGTGTGCTCAGGGAGCTTCCCAATGGGGGGACACTGAGGCCCACCCCACAGGCGCCGAGACATCAGGAATTTGGACTTGATTCGGCTCCGTCGTGCTGTGTTCTTGGGATTTTTTTCCTTGGTATATTTGCTTCTGCCTCTCAGGAGTCAGGAGTCAGGAGAGGAGATCGCTGGTGAGCTCTCCATCGTAGCGCGCTTTTCAGTGGAGTCAGGGGGGCCAAGATGGCGAAGCTCTCTCGATTGCGTCCTACACAGTATGTAATTAGTCTAGACCGGCCGAGCTCGAAAAGCTTACAGTGATAGTCAAGTACTGCGTAGTCTCCTGGCGGCCTCCTCGCCGTGGCAAGCAGCTTGGCAGGAACAACAATAACAAAGAACAAAATTACAGGAGACCGAGAGCATCGACGCACTGAAAAGTTGCATGACGACAGACGCCAAGTCGCCAAGCACGGGTTTGGAATTTGGCAAAAGCGAAGAAACGCTGCGAGGCATCGGAGGCATTTCAAGGCATTCAAGGCAATTGGAGCCGCCCCACATCCGCACACATCCACGCACGCACGCACGCACGCACGGGAAGCTGCTCCGGATGGATGTCGGCGGGTTGCTCGATGGGCGGTAAAATGGCCCGGCAGAGTTTGAGAGAAGAACCCAAAACAGTTTGCCATGTCTGGCCAAGCTTGAGTGCTTCTCTTGAATACCAGAGAGATTCTGACTGGCATTCCTCTGTTTCTCTTCTCTGGAAACATGAAATCTATAGATGTTGATACGTCTTCTGGTCTTCTCACTCTATAGATGACGCTTGAACAACACAGCCTCTCTACAATAGCTGAATAATTAAGTGGTTGGGAAGTCTAGACCGTTAGTGATCGCAATTCCATACCAGGCGAGCATGGACAGAGTATGCTGGGTTGCTGCATCATTGGATAGTAGAGGCATGCTGGCTGAAGAGTCAAAGTATTGATGAGTAAGTCAGGCTCCGACTCATGTTGTAGCAGACATGTTAAGATGCTGTGGTATAGCTATTGCAATGAATGTTCAAGTTCATCCCGTCTGTTTCAATCATGACATTTCTCAAGACTCAAGCAGACGGCATGAGGCGTGGCATCTCAGCAATGTCTCAAATGTAACAGGCCCAGCAGACGACTGCCATCTATGTAATTCTTGGGCGATATGCATACCGAAGTATGGCAGAAACCTGGTACTCCTCTAGTTCCGGATAGAAATGAATATAGCTTCATCACTAATAAATCACCAAACTGATATCAAAGAAGAAACGGTGGCTACTGTAAGTCTGTTACAGGGCCTCCCTCTGAAAGATCTCGGCAGCAGAGATCAGACCGTTTTGCTCGGCCGTGCACAGGGTCCATGTCGCAGTTATGAGATGTTTGGCCCCGTCAAAGTCGCCCGCCGAGTAGACAGCCCCACACCAGCAGTCCGGCGCTATCTACCTGATACTGCAGCGGTCGGCGGCTGCTGTTAAGGGACAAGCTTGCTGCTGAGTACCGGTACGCCGCCGGGGGTGGTAACCGGGGTTACCCCTGCGAGCTTCCCTACTGCGTAGTAGCGCCTGGCACAGCCTCAATGCCAAGCCCTGCCCTCCATACAATACATCCAGTACCACCACCATCACCACCACCACCATCTCTCCCCAATCCTGCCTTCTGCCTCTCCAAGTCAGTGAGCGCAGTGCAGCATCGTTAGCCAGCCCAATTCGCCTCGTCATGGCCGACAAGCAGTTCCTCGCCGTGCCAGAGGCCGATGGCGGCAGGTCCATCTCCTCGTCGCAAGGAGAGACCTTGCGAGAGACGTCGACCTCAGGCGAGTCCGAGAACACAAAGGTGATGCACGACCCAGACGCCTTGAAGCCCGACCAGGGCCGCGATGACGACTTCGTGGTCGACAACAACCCCTTCGCCTTCAGCCCCGGCCAGCTCACCAAGATGTTCAATCCCAAGAGCCTGTCCGCCTTCTACCGCCTGGGGGGACTAGCTGGCCTAGAGAAGGGTTTACAGTCAGACCGCAACGCCGGATTGAGTCTAGATGAGGTGCGAGTGCCCAGACACGTCTCGTTCGAGGAGGCCACGGGTGCAAAGTCGGAGAAGGTGATAACGGAGGGAGTCGAGGCGCCCCAGTCGCCCGCAACGAGGACACAGTCACAACCCCAACCAGCCGGAGGAGAAGGCGGTTTCGTCGATCGAAAACGTGTCTTCAAGGACAACAGGTTACCGGAGAAGAAGGGCAAGTCGTTTCTGCAGCTGATGTGGATCACATATAACGACAAGGTTCTGATGCTGCTGTCCGCCGCGGCAGTCGTCTCGCTTGCTATCGGTCTATATCAAACATTTGGCACCAAGCACGACCCTGAACATCCTCCCGTCGATTGGGTGGAAGGAGTCGCGATCATCGTTGCTATTCTAATTGTCGTGTTGGTCGGATCGCTCAACGATTACCAGAAAGAACGCCAGTTCGCGAAGCTGAACAAGAAGAAGCAGGACCGCGATGTGAAGGTCATTCGTTCGGGGAAAACAATGGAGCTCAGTATTTTTGATATTCTAGTCGGAGATGTGGTACACCTCGAGCCTGGAGACATGATCCCTGTCGACGGAATCCTTATCCAGGGCTTCAATGTCAAGTGTGACGAATCTCAAGCTACTGGAGAATCTGATATCATCAAGAAGCGTCCTGCCGATGACGTCTTCACCGCGATCGAGAACCAAGAGGATCTGAAGAAAATGGACCCGTTCATCCAGTCAGGAGCTCGTGTGATGGAGGGCGTTGGTACTTTCATGGTTACCTCGACCGGTATCTACTCGAGTTACGGAAAAACTCTCATGTCTCTCAACGAGGACCCCGAGATCACGCCACTACAGTCGAAGCTCAACGTTATCGCCGAGTACATTGCCAAACTTGGTGGTGCTGCCGGTCTCCTCCTGTTCATCGTTCTCTTCATTGAATTCCTGGCCAGGCTCCCTAAACAGCCCCCTTCAGTAACACCTGCCGAGAAGGGCCAGCAATTCCTGAACATCTTCATCGTCGTTGTTACCATCATCGTGGTAGCTGTTCCGGAAGGTCTTCCTCTCGCAGTCACCCTCGCCCTTGCGTTTGCAACCACCAGGATGCTGCGCGATAACAATTTGGTCCGCCATCTTAAAGCCTGCGAGGTCATGGGAAATGCCACAACAATCTGCTCTGACAAGACTGGTACACTCACGCAGAATAAAATGCAAGTCGTTGCCGGCACAGTGGGTACCAGCCATCGATTTGGCGGCAATCAGGCATCAGACGAGAAGCCACCGACTACTCCAGGCACTCCGGCGTCTCCAGACGATGCGAACATTACCCCAGCTGAGTTCGTTAAAATGCTCAGTGCCGATATTCGGGAGCTACTCCTGAAGTCTATTGTTCTGAACTCCACCGCTTTCGAAGGCGAAGCCGACGGTCAACAGACTTTCATCGGCTCGAAGACTGAGACCGCTTTACTGATCTTCGCTAAGGAGCATCTCGGTATGGGTCCAGTCAGCGAGGAGCGATCGAATGCCAAGATCCTACAGCTTATTCCTTTTGACTCTGGCCGAAAGTGCATGGGTGTTGTGGTTCAACTACCTAATGGCAAGGCTCGTCTTTATGTCAAAGGTGCCTCCGAAATTGTTCTTTCAAAATGTACTCAACTTCTCAGCGATCCTTCGAAGGATCTCACTCCTGCACCTCTAACCGACGATCACCGAGAGACCGTTTCGAGACTTATAGAGCACTACGCTACACAGTCACTGAGAACCATTGGCATTGTCTATCGTGACTTTGACCGCTGGCCACCATTCCGTGTCCGCCGTGCTGACGGCGAAAGAGATGGCGAGGCTGTCTTCGAGGATATCTTCAAGAGCATGGTTTTCATCGGCATGGTCGGCATCAAAGACCCGCTTCGAGACGGCGTACGCGAGGCTGTTAGAGATTGCCAAAGGGCTGGTGTCGTCGTTCGCATGGTTACTGGTGACAACAGGATGACCGCACAGGCCATTGCAGAGGATTGTGGCATTCTCCAGCCCAACAGTATCGTTCTGGAAGGCCCAGAGTTTCGTAACATGCTGCTCGTCCAGCAACAGGAGATCCTGCCGAGGCTTCATGTTTTGGCGAGATCCAGCCCTGAGGACAAACGAATTCTTGTTGGGTTACTAAAAAACCTTGGCGAAACTGTCGCAGTCACTGGTGATGGTACGAATGATGCACCGGCTCTGAAACTAGCTGATGTCGGTTTCTCGATGGGTATTGCCGGTACCGAGGTCGCCAAGGAGGCTTCTGCTATCATTCTTATGGACGACAACTTCAACTCCATTGTCAAGGCGCTTAAATGGGGACGTGCTGTCAATGATGCTGTGAAGCGCTTCCTGCAGTTCCAGCTCACCGTTAACATCACGGCCGTGTTACTGACATTCGTGTCTGCTGTCTCTAGTAGTTCAGAAGAGAGTGTGCTCACGGCAGTCCAACTGCTCTGGGTCAACCTCATCATGGACACTTTGGCTGCTTTGGCCCTAGCCACTGATCCACCGCAGGAGAGCGTTTTGAACCGAAAGCCAGAACGCAAAGGCTCTTCCATCATCTCTTCCACTATGTGGAAGATGATTATCGGACAATCAATTTACCAACTCGTCATTACTTTCTTGATCTACTTCGGATCCCCAGGTGTTCTGCCGGCTTATGATACCGACGTTCAGGATTCTGAAATCCAAACCTTGGTCTTTAATACCTTCGTCTGGATGCAGATCTTCAACCAGTGGAAGTAAGTACATCATCTAGATGATACTTGACAGTGTAACTTTGCTAACCTAAAACTCTAGCAACCGCCGCTTGGATAACAACTTCAACATCTTCGAGGGATTGACCAAGAATTACTTCTTCATTGGTATCGCATTCATTATGTGTGGAGGGCAGGTGCTGATCGTCATGGTCGGTGGAAGACCCTTCAACATCTCCCCGCTTGGACAGACACCAGCCATGTGGGCTTACGCTATTGTTCTGGGATTTATTTCCATTCCGTTTGGAATGATCATTCGCTTGATACCCGATGCCCTCGTGGAGAGACTGGTCCCAGAGTCTCTGAAGCGCAGGGCTCATACCAAAATCCCCGGCGTTACGGTGTCTGACGACGACGAGCGCTTCAGCTCCTACCCCGCAGCACTCGCTGACGTTAGAGACGAGCTGGCCTTCCTGAAGCGCATCAAAGGAGGGCGGATTAACAACCTGAAGTTTGCCATGAAGCATCCTCGTGAGGTGTTCATTCCAAAGGCCAAGACCACCCCAACTCACTCACGAGAACATTCCCGATCGAACTCAGTCAAGTTGCCAACAACGCCAACTCGAGAGAATAGTTTCGGCTCTGTTGGAACTCCCGACTCGAGGAAACGATCTCGATCAATGAGGTCAAGATCCAACTCAGCATTAGGTGCCGCCACGGTCATGACGGGCATCGTTGCCGGCAGTATCGCCGCAGGATGGTCGCCAATTGACCGGAACGGGGATCGTGACTTTGGACAATTCCCACCAAAGTCCCAGCCCTCACCTACGGCCACCAAGGACGATGGCAACGTTTCAGGTCCTCCGCCGACTCTCATAGTAGGAGACTCGATGTCGGACGAGCCACAAGAAATTAGCCAGGACGAGGGCACCTCCTCAGTGCCGAGGTTACGAGTACCACAGCCACCATCATCATCAGGGCGCAAGTCGTTTTCTTAGAGGGTACATAAATGATTGCAGGGGTGGGCGTAAAGGGAAACACTTTGTATATTACTGACTATCGACACAAACATCAACACACAAATACCTGTACCAAAGTCCCGGGTGGCAAGGCAATCAATTGTTTTTTCTTGGGTCAATTGGCAGGGAGTTCAGGGACAGGGTCAAACCTTTAACCATTGCCGGCTTTTATTCGGTTATCACCCCAAAAAAGCATTCGTTGGTCGGTATCTCATTAGAAGAACAAAGTCACTAGCACGACTACTAAACTACCTCCTGTCCACAAGTGGCAAATACAAAATCAAATCTTTTTATTTGTTATGGTAAAGCGTGTCCCTCTCCCCCCAATCGAACTCTACGTCTACTCGGCCTACATAAATGACGAATGACGCATGACACTTTCTGTAGTCCCATGACATGACATGACAACTTGTGCTCGACAACCTTACCTAACTTTGGAGGGGAGGACGGCGTGGGCCATGTCTCCTGCGTCAACGAGGTTATACGGGGCTTTAGCAATTCCGAGTAAACAGCGAGATTTGTGAGGGAAATAAATGTTCCAAAGAGCGAGAGAGAGAGAGAGAGAGGGAAAAAAAAGGTGATCTCCGTTGGCTTGGGCTGGGTGGCCCGGGAGTGTCGCAACTTGGAGAGGGCGCCCCACCTGCATCAAACCCTTTCCACGGAGTCGCGGAAGGGTCCTTGGCTGGGGAGAGCGGCGTGATTTCCACTAACTGGCTGAGGAACAAGATTTTGTCTCTGGTGATAAGACATACAAAAACAGGTTTGAGGAGCCCGCTCTCCAAGACGAGACGAGATTGAAGGAAAACAACTTGAGGAACAGACTTCTGCATCTCATCCTTTTTGTCATCTCGACTTTTGCGTTTCTGATACGGCCCAGATGGGAACTGCAGGGCCGAGGTTATTTCAGCAATTGTGAACAGGCTTTGGGCAGACTAAGAGGTAGATTAGATACCCACGGTCAGGTTATCATGGAGAGAGCTGAACAGGGGTGGGCAGAGTTGGTGCACGAGATAGGCGCAATTCAGCACATTTGACGCCGTGTAATTTACATTTTTGCATGTCTGTGTCACGGTGCAGCTCCAGTCAGACAGGCAGTGCCCGAATGGATTGAGAGGATGAATGACTCTGTTGGAATTCCCGTTGCATTTTGCACAATCTCGGCATGATGAGTGAATTTCCTTGTGTGCCACCGCCCAACTGGCATGTGGAATGCGCAAATAAAAGCCACGCATACTGACAGACAGTGATTCCAAAGGGCAGTACTGAGGACGAGACTTGCTCGACCATCAAAGTATCATATTGCCATCTGTATCTCTTCTAAACTCCGATGGGTCGACGGTCGGCCTTGTGAAGACAGGCAGAGAGGCATGCAGGCACCAATCAGCATGTAAGTGAGGTTAGAGAGATAATCATGGTATTAGTGAGCGAGGCAACGACGACAACCCCAAGGAGAGGACATGGATGACTGACTAACTGAATGCCTAGTTGGTGCATAGGAGAAAGCATAAGCGCATCTCGCCAAGGCAATAGCTTGCGATTCGACAAGAAGGGCTCCTCACGATAACCAGTAGAGCAAACGGTTCAGTTTAGGTGGGAAGCATCTGGGCTTCTTCTTTGTTCTCACATGACCGTCCTCTTTCCCCCTCAGATCCCATTGTGTCTCTCCATCTTAGTGCCGGCTATCCCCCCCGTTTGCATCATTCTACTCTAGATCTAAAGAGCAATAGATCGTGATCCACGGGAGAGCAAAGAAACGTGGCCGGTGGGGAGTGTTCACTTTAGTGCAGTTCGTGTAGTGCAGTGCTTGGGTGTTAGTGGATTGGGCTGTGGCTGTTGGACTGGTCTGGGCTCAGCAAGCCGAAAAAGAGCCTGCCATACGATTCCCCCAGTCGGGAGCCCAGATGCTGGCTAGGTGCGATGCAAGACAGGGACAGGCAAGGATCCTAGGATACCGGTACGATGGATGGATGGGCGGACGGACAGACAGACAGACAGACAGATAGATGGATAGATAGATAGATAGATAGGTGGTAGGTCGGTAAAGTAAGTAGGTAGGAGAGGGAGCCAAGGAAAAGAAGGTCAGCTAAGTTACGAGACGAGACGAGACGATAAAGTTCTCCCTCCTTCTTTTAACTCAAGTCGGTCGGTCACTCACTCACCTTTCACACTCACACACTTTTACTTACTTAATACTTAATTACTTGCTTTAACCCACAACAACAATCTCTCACACTCACACTCACACTGACACACTTTTCTCGCCATCCCTCCCTTCCGGACTTTTCCTTCCTTTTACCTTTTTGCTTTCTTCCCGTCTCAGATTCGCAGGTCGCGTCAAACCTCCAGCTCGCCACTGAAAAGCAAATCCCCGTGTTAAGTCTATTACAGTCTTTTTTACGCGGTTGGCATTTCCATACTTTGGAGCATTTCGCGTGCGCTTGCTGTGAGTGAGTAAACTGCAGGGCTCCAGTCACTCAACTCTTCATTGGAGAGGTGAGAGCGTGGCATGCACAGCATAGCATAAGGTGGCCACTACCATACCATACCATACCATACCATACCATACCACACAACACAATACACAACCAACATAACCGCTCTCCCTCGCGACAGTTTCTGACAAAAACACGTCACTGCTCTTTTTCTGTCTATTGCCATCAACTCTCATCAATTTCCTGTCTTCTTCAATTTCTCACTCTAAGAATCTGCTCCGTCGCAAGTTCTCGTAATGGCTACCGTCAGGAAACCCACCGCCGCCGTGGTGAACGGCACACCCAAGAAACACCACCACAACGTAAATGTCCACGTCAGCGACATGGTTGAGTTTGATGAGAAACGCCACATGAAGGAGATCAAGAACGATCTCAAGCACGGCGTTGTCCATCCTGCCCTCAACGAGCTCGAAGAGCGCGTCAACGACCTCGGAGAGTCGTGGGAGACTGAGTCGCTTTTCGAGGATGCGCTTGAGGACCTCGCTGAAGACAAATTCTTCACTGACGGTAAGTCACTGCTTTGCTGGGAAACCCCATTCCACAAACATTCGCCCTCAATTACGCGGTTCAAATTTCCTACTTTTCGCCATTTCTGAGTTATCCCGGATGTTCGGCTAATTCTTATTCTTTTAGTTCCTGATGCCTGCACTCCGGATGAAGCGGTTGCCTTCCGTCAGCAGCTTCGCGCCATCGGCCCAGAGGAGTTTTGCAGGAGAACGGTGGACGCGGGTGTCATCACCGCAAAGAAGCTTCTTACTGCCTTTGGCATCCGCCCGCCTTCCTTCCTTGAGGGCGAGGATGACGATGCCTACTTTGGTCTTCTCAGTCTTGCACTCAGCCGTGAGCTCTCAAAGCGCGCCAAACTCAGCAGATACAATTCTGTTGATGATGCCGCTGAACTGCTGAAGAACTCTCACAACATCATCGTCCTGACCGGCGCTGGTATCTCCACATCGCTGGGCATTCCAGACTTCCGCTCCAAGGGAACTGGTCTCTACTCGAAACTAGAGCATCTTGGTCTAAGTGACCCTCAGGAAGTCTTTGACATCACCGTCTTCCGCCAGGACCCTACCATCTTCTACTCAGTTGCGCGCGACATCCTGCCTGAGCAGGATCGTTATTCGCCGACTCATGCTTTCATTGCCATGCTGCAACAGAAGGGCAAGCTGCTTACGAACTACTCTCAGAACATCGATAACCTCGAGGCTAAGGCAGGCATCAAGCCAGACAAGCTCGTTCAGTGCCATGGCTCGTTCGCCACTGCCAGCTGCATATTGTGTGGTTACAAGGTGCAAGGCGAGAGCATCTTCCCCGACATTAAGGCCGGGCGCATTCCTCGCTGCCCCAAGTGCGCCCCGCCGCGCCGCTCTACCAACAACAGCCGCAAGCGCAAGATCGCCCGAGACGGCACGGAGAAGAAGGTGCGCAGACGACCCGGAGACTATGATAGTGCATCAGACTCCGAGTACGATCTGCCCTCTAACGGCGGCATCATGAAGCCCGACATCACCTTCTTTGGCGAGCCGCTGCCTGATGAGTTCTCCCGGCGGCTTACTGAGCACGACCGCGAGAAGGTAGATCTGGTCATCGTCATCGGCACGTCGCTTAAGGTTGCTCCCGTCAGCGAGGTCGTGCCCTTCCTCCCTCCTCACATCCCTCAGCTGTACATCTCAAGAACCCCTGTGAGCCACGTCAACTTCGACATTGATCTGCTCGGTGACTGCGACGTTGTCGTCTCCGAGCTCTGCCGTCGCGCCGGCTGGGACTTGCGACATGAGATGATCCCCAAGAACCAGAAGGTCGATGTCGAGCTGGAGGTTGGCCACTCCAGCCGCCACATCTTCACTGTCCACCAGTCCAGCCCGAAGATCAAGTCAAGCCCAAAGGAGGAGTGAGCGGTTGTTTGTAGCACAGGTTTCAGGCGTCGAGTTTGCGGGCTGGAGTTACGGATGGAAGACAAGAGTTGGCTATTGTTTTGAGTCACATTTCACACCGATTCCCCCTTTTGCTATTGAGGTTTTTTTGCTGTTTTGTTTTATTTACGGCTGTCTCTTACTACTCTACCATTCTGCCAGAATGAGGTTGGCACACTACGGATAGATCTCATGCAACCCAAGCTTTTAATGTCCAGACGGCGTTTTCTCGCGATGGAATTCTTACAGCAACAAAGGAGTGGTTGCTTTTTCACTACGATGTAACGGTCTATAATCATGGGCATTCTCGTGTCTTCTGCTTTTCCCTTCTGGACAGCCAAAAGAGTCGCTCGCCCAAGCTGGTTGGACAGAGTGTCGGTCAAGGAGTGCGAAGGCAAACGGAAAATGGCCCTGTTGCCAAACGGGGCGAAGATGACGCAAACTTTTTTTTTTTTTAGTTAGCTCTCAGAATGTCACCGTCATACTACCACTAATAACACACCGACAATGCTGCTACACTTCAGTGCCTGATAATAACTGCAACATCGTCAATGTGGCGATTACCCTTCAGAAATGGGTATCAACTACAGAGAGGAATATCTTTTCATCCCTTAAACAATGCCGTATCGTGTCGTGTTATAGCTCTTATCACATTGTTTTTGCTTTTCCGACTTGATACTTGCTTGTCTCGTCCCCCATTTGTAGCGGTGGTGCGGAAATGGCGCTTGATCGACTCTTTCCCGCACGCTTGGCCGACAAACTTTTGAAACATCAATCTCCCACAAGACTAGGGGGGGCCCCGATCGCTGATCAGCACATATGTTTTAGAACAGCCCTCCCCCTAAAAGCAAATTCAGCCGAAACTCAAAGATAGGACACTGCCCGCTGGAAGATAGTGCGCTTCCCTGCCGCCCGCTTTCTCTCTATCGTCCAACTCTCGTCACTGTCGCGATTCGTCACGCAATCGCTCACTCTTAGGGTATGTTGGCAAATTGTTTACAAGACTCGAGGAGGCAAACGGAGTGGCATGGCAGCAATGATGAGTGGTTGGTAGGTAAGACTTGACCAAGTCACGGATCCCGTCTCGTTTCGTTGGCAGATGTTTGAAGTCTAGCGAATGAGCGACAAGCTGGCATACCGCTCCTGGTAACCTCCTGGATGGTGTAACACTTTGCACCGTTCAGACATGAAATTCCATCCAACGAAAGAAGAGTAATCTGTGGCGAATTGGCCGTCTTGTTGCCTTTGTGCTCAGGATAAATCACGGAATATTCTGACTCTTTTTTCTGGCTCCCTTGGGCCGGCGCGACACAATCGGATTACCTTCCGCCATGGTTTGGAGAGAATGCTGCATGTGAGAGTTGTCTAATTATGGCAAACAGGCTTCAATCCAGACACAGAAAATAGATAGAAAGTGGTGTAGATCAGTGAGGATCAAGTCATTCTCATTTCGATGCAGGGGGTGCAAATCTCTCTTACAAAAATAACCGCTTGCATCTGATGCTGCGTTTGCAGACGGCTATGTATGGCCAAATCTCAAATGTCGGCTTATTTTGGCTACTTGTACATCGCGCAATATTTCCCACTTGCAGCTCATCCTTCCTCGCACTCCTCTCGGGCAGTTCTTTAGACGAGAATAACTCCCATCAGCGACCTGACTAGACGCGCGCCACATTTTCGTCAACCTCGCGCACTGCACAAGCCCCCATGTCCGTCTTATTCCTGATGTATTTGCCCATGATTGTCTTATTAGGTAAGCCAAGCCTTCTTGGCTTCTTGGCGATGGAAATGGGCAACCATTTCGTGATCACGTTGCAAGTCACGCGCCACTTACATGATCCTTCATGCACCACGTCGATAGTTCTGATATCGACTCTATAAATTATTTATACCGTGTCTGAACATTAGGGGAATGGTCGAACCACGGCCTTTCTAAGAGATGTCGGAATTAGGTTCTGAAAACAATGTCTCTTTTCCAACGAGCTATAGAATAGAGAGCACGATGCTTTAACATATGGTAGCAGGTGATAAGTTATCTAGAAAGCCAATTTAGCTAATGATAATCTGCCATTTGATATAATTGACAATTTGGCGGCAGCATGTTTGATACCTTAGTCAACATACGCTAGACAATACTGCTTGATAGAGGAACTGCTGTATCTTGCAGTTGTAAGTTCACTTTTTATTTGAACATCAAAACCACAGCAACCGTTTTAAATTTGCAAATGTAATTTCCAGCTTAGTCTTGAGTCTCTAGGTTGGACGGAAGAGTCCAATGCTTATTGTGGCTCTCAGTTGAAGACGTTCAACTCTCGCAACTTGGTTTACTAATAACTCAAGATACTGCGTAAATTCCCTGCTGAATCATGTGTGAGCTCATATTTGCAAGTTAAGATCTGATGTGACTCATGAATTTGACTGAACTCTAAACTGTATATTCTGCTCTGAAAACGCATCGCTATTCAAATGTGAAATAATTCATATGGTCTCCTCGCTCGATCGAAAACAGCAAGATCTGCTCGATTATGCCACTACTATCATATACAGCACCTTTTCCTTGAACCAGACGCTGAGATTCCATCCTCCCAAAACCTGCTGAACACACATTTACACTATGCCCTCACATGTGAGTCAAATAAAGACACCCGAGGAGCAAACCGGCAACCAGGCCCGCGTTCGCGCGGAGAACATCACCGCTGTTCTTCGCGGTACTCGAAGTCGAAGTGCTCCCAGAGCCTGTGGCAGTAGGGCTCCCAGTTCCAGCACTGCCAGTGCTATCTGTGCTCGACCCGGTGGCATCGCTCCCTTTAGCTGTCGTCGTCTTGGCCGAGCCAGCCTTATCAACAGAAGCGGCGGTGATGGTGTAGACTTGGCTGTCTGCCCCATTAGTGTAAGTGAAGACACTGCCGCTTGCAGGAGCGGTCACGGTCCCCGGTCCGTTCGACAGAGACTGGGTAGCGGTCGTGGGCAGGTCATCGGGACTGTAGAAGGTGCCTCCTGCAACATTGGTGAAGCCCAGGTCGCTTACGCAGTCGTATTGGGACAAGGAGTCTGCGCAGTCGGTGAAGTTGAATCCGTACGAGTTCTCTACTTCCGCAAGGAGCGTTGGGATAAGGAGGTAGGATTGATCGGTATCAGGACATATGCCATAAGCACTAATCAGATGTCAGCTTCTGCCTCTCAGATGATCTCAAACATGGCTTGGGGGCACACATACTTTGATATCAAGGCACTCATCTCACAGCACTGACAGCCCTTTTCGTACGCCTCCTGTGCACTGAAGCCGTCGACGAGGCCTGCATTGGTTGAACACGTCGTCACGTCCGAGAGGGGCGGGTAGATGCCCTCATAGACCTCGCCCAGGTTGCAAGAGCAGGCGTCCTCTGCGTCGTCCGGGATTGGGAAGTACGGGATCGGAGTCTTGGCAACGGGACATGTGTCGAGGTATTCCACCACGTAAGCTTGATACTCGCACTCCCACACTCTGTTCCTATTAACGCGCAGGATAAGCATATGCCTCGTAAAGACAACAAGAGAGCGAAAATGGGCATTGCTGGGGTCTCCTAGATTCAATTCCCAATTCTGAAGAGCCTGGATCTGCGAAGTGCAGACATAGTCGTGAAAGGCAACATGAAATCTCGTAAGCAACTCACCAACATGAAGTCGAATAGCAGTTGTAGCTGGTCTCGTACAACGCGCAGTTACACGCTGCGACTGCCTCCGTATCGATGGCTTGCTTCAAACAGGATTCAGACACCGTAGTCGCGAGGTCGAGGCAATGCTGCAGGCCGGAGGCGTCAGCGCAGCCATCGGTCGTCAGAGTGATGGCCGCCATGGAGGCGCCCACCACGGAGGAGAGTACGAGCAAGGACTGCATCATCGTGATAGTAAGGCACTTTTAGATGGCCAAGAGACTGGGGGAACGAGGAAGGGGAGCGCCTGCCGAGCCGGGAGCGGCGTTCTTGGCACCTTTTCTACTGCATCGTGCTGGTCGCTTCATTTCATGCTATCTCCAAAACTCACAAGTCCGTATCTTAGCTCAAGGGGAGGCTAAACGGCTTTGAATATGCCTAACATGCACACTATCATCCTCCAGAGCTCCACTCTTTGTGCCAGTGAGAAGGGTCCAGGTAGACTGGCATGTCGGTTGCCCTGCCCGTAATGTGCTTGTATGGAGAGATGCAGACGTCGGAGTTGATCACCGATGGCAATTACTATGCATTCTGACTTTGTAGAGGACTGCTTTGATGACCTGATTTCCACACCTTTCTACATCAGTTTTGAGGCATTTCAGCCAGTTGAAAATGTCATCGGATAAGGGGTGGATAAGACATCAAGTCGAAATTGTACCAGCGTGGTTGATTTGTGAATCAATCGTCAATGGCTAATCAGCCATTCTACAAGGGCATGCCAAAGAGGCATAACGTAGGCGGAATAGAAACATTTATAGTCGGAATAACGCCCGCACTTGGACGTTGGTGCTTCAGCTATATGGGCCCACTAGCCCCCAGCTGGTCAAGCCAAGCGATGTCTTGGCTTAAGCGTATCTCTAGCGGCAGCCGCCTATGCATACGGCCCGGAGGCTAAGGGTTGCTTGCAGCACGAGAGATCTACCTTGCGGATGTCGCCCTGAAATCAGCAAGCCGGTATATCCGGTGCGGATGATGCCCCTTTATCGCTCTTCTTTACTGAGGCTGCGCGCTCGCTGAGCCACTCTTGAGTTGCTATACGGCTTAGATATCGATTGATCGAGTATCGTCGATTTCGGTGAGAACCTCATGAATTCGTCTCCTCAACCCTTTACACGTATTCTGCAATGGTCCTGGAGGTAAACGGTATATATTCACATATAAGGAGTTCCTTCCAGATCTATATAGCTCCATCTTGCATCTTGTAACCTCTAGGCTTACAAGAGACTCTGATACTTGTCCAAACCTGACCCAGACTTCTGCGTCTGTTGTTGTTGCTGTTGTTGAGTCGCCATCCCGCCCATGTTCACACTCATGCCACCACTGCCCATCATGCTGTTCATACTATTCATGCTTACACCGCTCATCCCCATGCCCATGCTTGTGCCGAGGTTGTTTGCACCTCCCATGCTCTGAAAGCCTATCGATGACGAGCTAGTCCCCATCGCCCCCAGCCCGCCGCCGGGCCGTCCAAAGGCTGAGCCCATGCCGTTGGATGTTTGTGGCTGTGGAGGTGCTTGCAGACTGAACCCTGAAGAGGGTGTCGCCATTTCGGATCCCGGCGGTGGTGGTAGCGAAAAGGAGGAGCCTCGTGATTGCCCTATGGCAGGCCGCTGGTCCATTGATAACGATGACATAGGGGTGCTTAAACCACTGCCATATGTGGTAGTTGGAGGCGGTGAGATCGGGTTCTGGCTCGTATAAGATGGAGTGGACGCCGTGTTCGTTGACGAAGCCCAAGGATTAGATGTTGCCGCAGCTGACGACGACCAATTCATTGACGAGGAGGCCGGTGGCTGCGCAGCAGGCGGGGTGAAGACCGACTGCGAGCTTGTGCTCGGTTGAAGAGGCTGGGAAAACTGCGTTGAGGATGGCGTGAGGGCATCGAACTTGGCGAGGTCTGGTGTAACTGTCCTGAACGCTGGCTGCTGAGCCTTGACAGCGCCGAGTTGGCTGGACGACTGAGCCGTTGCGGTCGGACTCGGAGTTGACCACGAGAAGGAGGCTGCCTGCGCAGACCTCGGATTCTTCAAGCCTGGAGATGATACTGTGGATGCGACCTTCTCATCCCAGCCACCATCCATGGGATTGCTCGGCGACAGACTTACTTTGCCCTTAACGAGACGTTCAAAGTCATCTTCAGTGGCACCGTTGCTTGCGTCGAATTGGGTACCTGTCACTCCTCCAAATGACATAAAGTCCTCAGTAGGTGCAGCAACCGCGCCGTTTGATCCAGAGAGCTCTTGCAACTTCTTAGTTTGCTCGTCTTCGACTCTCCTCGACAGAGACTTGATGAGCTCCATAAAAGTCTGGAATTGTTTGAGATCGAGTAGAGGCCCCAGACTCATGTGCCACAGAATCGGTAGAATTTCCATGGCCACGAAATCAGCATCCGCGATTTGGCCAATAACTCTCAAAACGTTCAAAGCTGCCATCATTACAGCAGGCTCTTTGGTCTTGATAACTTTGACAAGAGGAACGATCTTTTCTTGCATAGTATACTTATCTAAAGCTGTTGACGATGAGGTTTTCTTGTGCTCTTGGAGACCGTCAAGTCCATCGTCATTACCGGGGTCCGTTGATCCACCACACAGGATCACGAATGACTGCAAGCCTCGGACTTTGATGGCCAGACTGTTCGTTTTGCTGAATACGGTTGCAACGACAGGGAACAATTCGTTCTTGATGGTGCTGAAGTCTAGCACTGGAAGAATACCAGGCAGGCTGCGCAATCCCGCATCAACTACGGAATGCGTGGGACACATAATTGCCGCCATGATGATTGGTAGTATATCTGGATCTCAAATTAGTTGCAAAATAAGTATGTGTGCTCTTGGCAAACCCACCGTCTTTGAACTCCTTGCCAGAACTATTATTGGCAATGGACGACATGTGCTCAAGTACCACCATCAAGCCGGCATCTTTGGCAGGATCTTTCTCCTCGGCTTGTTTTGCGTTGGTAACAAAGATGTCTTTTATGGCTGGACGTACCCTATCGCTGAAGGCCCGTTTTGCTGAAGGCAGCAAATCGATGATCTTGAAAACATTGGCTAGAATCAAGGACAATAGTTCCTTGTCTTTCATCTCTTCGAGTAGGGCAGGTAAAACTTTCTTTTCCATCACAGACTTGGGGAATGACGGCAGCACTTTGTTCAAGCCTCTCATAAATTGAGCTTTTTCATTTGGTGTCTTGGCGGGGAAAGAGTCTAGGAAACGAATAGTTGAGACAAGGATATTGTCAAAGAATTCGCTCTCCTGAAAGTCTTTTGCAGTCATGCGTTGGGCTGGTCTTCTCGTGACTAGTCTTGGGAGGACATGGTGTGCCAAGTCCCTAGGTATAGGCCGAGAAGACAAGTAGTTGTTAGTTGTTGAAGGGACACTCGACGAGGATTGGAAGAGCCTCTTGTAGCTGGATAGGCTAGAATTAGTCTCCAGCGGGGACCGATGAGGTGAGTTGTAGAGAGTGATGCATAATATTCCCAACGAGAACATGTCTGCCGATGTGTTGAGGTTGTTATCTAATACAAAGTCTGGAGACGTGAAATCCAAGTTGATCTGAACAGACCGTGGTAACCGGGGATCCGGATTCAGCACTTCATAAAGACTGATAGGCTGAAAAGACGTTGGCTTGGATGAGTTTTCCGGCGGACTGCAGAACGCAAGTCCGCTGATCTTCCAGTCAGACTACAGAAGGATTAGTTGCGACTCAATAAGGGAGGCTTGCCGCCGCCTACCTTAGCGTTAATAAGAATGGCATCTGGAGTTAGATTGCCATGCACAAGGCCTGCGTTATCGTGGAGAAACTCGAGAGCCTTGCTGACTTGCAATAGACCCTTTTGTATCTCCAGTTCGTCGATCTCAAGCTCCCGCCTCCTTCGGGTGCCATCAGCGTCTTCCGTGACATAGCGGCTAGACCTCCCGCCCACGCCCCCGGCTCTTTCTTGGTCATCCTTCTCCTGCAGCAAGCTCGCAAGAGATGCAGTCACGGCCTCTGTGACAAATTGAAGGCCGCCCCCTCTTGTCTCCTCCACAGGCTCTACTAGCTCTAGAATGCTGGGATGCCGTAGCTTCGCGAGAGAGGATGCCTCCTTCTTCAGTCTCTCAAGGACTTCTTCTGCGACTTTCTTGTATGCGGACTTGCTGGACCCACTCAAGGAGCCGGAATGCGCATCAAGTGACTTTCGGTCAAAGACAAAGACCGAGTAGGTCTTGCCTGTGGATTTCTTCTTTGCATCGTATATCCTCCAGGGGCCGGCCGTCGAGGTTTGAGTGGAAGAGATGGAGTAGTTGGCTGTTATGTTGGTCGCCGAGATCGACTTCAGGGCCGACGAAAACATCGACATGGTTGCTCGCAGAGAGGCGCAGGGGTCGTGTTCGTCATATCTATGCGTATCAGGTGCTTCTTGTGGGAAGGTCGCTGAGCTGTCGCATATCGAGTATGCTCAGAGTTGGATTAGGTGGCCTGGTTCACAACTGCAGCCTCGGCGGGAAGCTGCAGTGCTGCCGAGTGTTTGCCCCTCACGCGAATATTTCGTTTGTGAAGGCGTCGCAATATCAACTGGGCGAAGGTGGCTCGCCGAGCGTCAGGTTATCACAGGCATCGTCAAGTTGGCTCTGGATAAGATAATTAGATATTGGCGGCGAATCAGGGAAAGTGTCCCGTCAGCCTCTCGTGGCTTCAATCCTTTAGCTGGCAGACCTGTAGTGGGGACCTGGAACCCCTGTCAATCCGCGTCCGGCGTATCCAGTACTGACAGTGCTTGCTCCAGTGCTCCAATACAGGCAGTGGCCCCTGCGGTGTGCTGTGGGTTGCGCCGGCAGCGGCTTGCAGCGGCGTACCAGGCCTTATCTGCAGGCTCCTTATTGGGCCAATTCGGTATCAAGCCAGAGCTCCGATTAAACCTCCGATATTTTTCTATGCCGCAGTCATTTCTCTACGCCCTCCCGTCGAGTCCAAGTCGAGTCATAGGCCCTTGATTCCATTTCATCCCACGAGGCAGCTCTGAGCGACGTCTATTCTCTTGTATATTCAGCTTCAAGAACGTGCTTGGCTCATTGACCATCTCAATTGGTCCTATCTTGTCCAAGAAGTTGAGCTGGACGTGCAGACCGACCTTTGATATCGACGATGATGCGACCGCTTCTTATGCGCTGCGGCGCCGCGGCCGCCAGATCTGGCCCGTCACAACTTTCCAGACCCCTTCTCGGATCATGGCATGCTACGAGGAAATATAGCATAACGCCCGAGGCTGCTTCACTCTCAAAGCCTCAGGACATCGACCCTTCCAAGCTTATCATCGAGAAGAACACGAAGCCGGGCAGCCTGAAGAATCCAGAGGAGCTCGTCTTCGGAGCCAATTTCACTGGTTAGTCACTTTAGAGACTCTCTGAGCCAATTCTAGCTAACATTGAGTTTCTCAGACCACATGATCTCTATTGAGTGGAACAAGACGGACGGCTGGCTGGCACCGCACATAACGCCGTACCAGAACCTCTCACTCGACCCGGCGACCTGCGTGTTCCACTATGCCTTCGAGTGCTTCGAAGGTATGAAGGCGTATAAGGACAAGAGCGGGAAGATCAGGCTATTCCGCCCCGACAAGAACATGGAGCGTCTAAACAAGTCCGCTGCTCGTATCGCTCTGCCAACCTTCACCGGTACGGCCTTGATCAACCTGATCGCGGAACTCGTTAAGATGGACCAGCGCTTCATCCCCGACAAGCGTGGCTTCTCACTCTACCTGCGGCCAACACTCATTGGCACGCAGAAGACACTCGGCGTCGGCCCGCCGGGCTCTGCACTGCTCTTTGTCATCGCCTCGCCCGTCGGCCCCTACTACCCCACCGGCTTCAAGGCCATCTCACTAGAGGCCACCGACTACGCCGTGCGAGCGTGGCCCGGCGGTGTCGGCGACAAGAAGCTGGGTGCTAACTACGCGCCTTGCATCGTGCCTCAGCGTGAGGCCATGAGCCGTGGTTTCCAGCAGAACCTCTGGCTCTTCGGCCCGGAGGAGTACGTGACGGAGGTCGGCACAATGAACATGTTTGCGGCGATCAGGAACAAGGAGACCGGCCAGAAGGAGCTTGTGACCGCCCCTCTGGACGGCACCATCCTGGAGGGAGTGACTCGTGACTCTGTCCTGCAGCTCGCTCGCGAGAAGCTCGCCCCTGAGGGCTGGATGATCTCGGAGCGCAAGTACACCATGCACGAGCTCGCCGAGGCCTCCCAGGAGGGACGTCTCATTGAAGCTTTTGGTGCCGGAACAGCTGCTATTGTCAGCCCTATCAGGTCGATCAGCTGGAAGGGACAGCTGGTGGACTGTGGCCTAAAGGAGACCGAGGAGTCTGGAGAAATTGCACTCAGAATGAAGGACTGGATGGAGGCTAGGCAGTATGGCGACGAGGAGCATGAGTGGAGTTATGTGTGCTAAAATGGAGTTGTCAACAAGAGAAAAGTGAATTTGGTTGTAGATAGAACGTGTCGTTCTGTGGTTGTGTCTATATAGTAGCCTCGAAGCGTCCGGAAAATGGGAAAAGCCGAGGTGACTTGGGTTTCACCTCGCAGATGTCCGCAACAACAGGCATTTTCCGTGGCCAAATCATCTTGAATTCTTGTTATGGACTGACAGCTCTACGGCCGTCTATCGTGCATTTCTAAACCAGATAGGAAAGACGTGCTCGTTTCCTGCATGTACAATTGGTGGCTCTCCATCCGTCTAAGCTCGCGTTCCTGCGCTCCCTTCTCGTGCCCTTATGCCTTCTTATTATCCGGGAAGGGGTCTTCCAAGATTCCCTCGGCCTCTAACCGCCTCCGAGCCTCCTCGAGTGCCCAAGTTTGTATCCTATATCAAGCACGTTAGCAATTGATCCATTGGCCAGTAGTAACCAGTATATGCCTCTCGCGCGGACATCATGTTCGGGCACCCGGTCATCCAAGCTATGCCGAGTAAAAAGGCAGAAATGATCCCAAGGCTGAAAAGGATACATTGAACAAAGGTATTCTTCATCAAGGGATGAACTCACGATGTATCTGGCTTGAACGCATAGGCAACTCCAGCCAACGCAAGGCTTCCAAAAAATCCCCAGTAGAAGATGCCTTCCCACCCCTCCTTCTGGTACTTCTCGCCGGGCTTCACGCCAAACAGCCATCCCGACGGCGGGTCATACTGCGACTCGTGCGAGGCGGCTCTCTGCGATGTGGAGGAGAATTGGCGGGTAGAGGCCGGCGACTGCTTGACGGCGCGAGCGGCGCTGAGGGCGGCGCTGGGACGGATGACGGCGCGCATTGTGATGTTGTCGTCAGCTTGAAGGGGGAATTGATGGCCAAGCTGGCGAGATTGAGTGGAGATTTGGCGGAGTAGACGGGGTGGTGACAAGATACGTCGACGACAAGCGTCTTGGAGGCTGGCTGGGTGAGGTTGCGGTGTTTGACGAGATCGGGGGAGTCGAGCTAGCCCGGAGAATCTCGGTAGGCTAGCACGTGACTGGTCACGTCGGCGGTGGCGCCGATCGCTTGTCTTGGCATTTGTTGACTCGAGTTGATTCGACACCCCAATGAACCTCCGAGCTGCTTCACATGACATAGATCACTTCCGCAATTGCTTTACTATCTCATAATGTGCGTATCATTGAAACAGACCGGTGTGAGAATGTGTCCCCAAGCTGCAAATTCGACACTTTTAGGACCTGTGCTCCCGGCAAGCGAAAAAGAAGCACTTATCCGCTAACAACACCTTATGACTCAGAAAGATATCATAAAACTCCCGTGAACGGATGTCATTTGTAGGATATTTACGGATGACTGGCAGTTAAGGAAGGACGTGAAAAGAGCGCCGTATTTCATTTCTATGCCAACTTATGCTACCAGTATCCCTAGCCGTGAATAAACCAATGCGAGACACCATGCAAGGTTCCTTAATTCCAACAACCTGTTACGCCTTGCCATCCCAAGCAGTCCTAATAAATACCATCCATCATGTCATTTAAAATATCTCGCAATACAGGTTTTCCTTTCAGGATTGCCCTCTCACCGATCTTGGCTTTCTTCGGTCCAGGAGGTCGATTCTCTTTTCCTCCAAATCGAGTCTGTGAGCCTTTCGTTGGTGATTTCCCTGGCGACGACCCAGCTGGCCTCTTGCCCGCTACATTCATTGCTTGTGTAGCAGTGACATGTGTAGCGGCATCGTTAAAGAAGTGGTTGTCCATGGCGTCTGGTGGGAGATCTTGAATCCATGCTCTCTCTTCCATAAGACTGATGAATTTGGCAAGCATCTCCTCGTTGCCGCTCCCCTTGAGCGTGCTTCGACTTCCAACGACAAGCAGCTTCGTTTTCGCACGTGTAAAGGCGACATTGATACGCCGCCAGTCTTTCAAAAGATCGCCAATATTGCATGCCTCGTTCGACCTGACAAGACTTAGAATGACGACTTCCTTGTCTCGGCCCTGGAAACGGTCTGCCGTGTGCATTTCAATGCTATTGCTGCCACGCAGACCATGCTTGAGTAGTGACAGCTGAGATCGATAATGCGTCATCACTCCTATTTCGTTGGCTGGTACACCAACAGTCTGTAGAGCTTCAACGAGCTGCACCACGATGCGGGCTTCGCATGGGTTGACGATGCGGTTGCCTTTCGCCTGCTCACGCGAGTCTGTGATGTTGTCTGTGTTGATAAAGGCAACTCGAGTTTGCGGTGCGAGAAGCTCGCGCATCCAGCAGTTCGCACCCGTGCAAAAAGATGTCTGACTTGGATGATTTGAGGCCAGGAATAACTCTGCATCGTAGTGGTGGCGTCTCAGGGCATCCATATTGGGAACATCCAGTGTGCGGAACCTTAGTTGCTCAGTACCGCACTTTAAGCGGCCTTGGTAGATCAAGGTGTTGCTCAAGGTCATGATGTCCTCGGACATGCGATACTGATGCTCGAGGTTGACAACGGAGTCGGGATATGTGTCAGACAATAGCTTGAACAGGCTGACGTCCAGACCTCCTACTCTGGCCTCCTCGTTTTGTACTAGAGGTGGGAGCTGATTGTGATCTCCAACGAGGACAAATGTGCGTGCCATCCTAATAGGCCCTAGGCAGATGGGAAGAGTGATTTGTGAGGCTTCATCAACAATGCAGTAATCGAAAGTTCGCTCGTTGAATACAGGGTGGCTGATTCCAAGGCAAGTCGTTGCCACGACAGGAGTATCGTGCCATGCGCTGCGTATCTCCTCAAAGGTGTCCATGGGCTGACCCGCCAGAACAGCGAATTCTTGCACTTCAGGATGGACCTTGGCGGGTGCTCCAAGTCTTAGAATGTTGATGTTGTCCTTTTTGAGCTTGAGCAGGATATTGTCGACAGCGGTATGAGTATATGAAGTTAGTAGTACGCTCTTTTTCTGCTGGATGAGAGCGCGAATGATGTGGGCGATTGTCGTAGTTTTACCCGTACCTGGCATCCCGAGAACAAGAGCGTAGTCCTTGGCACTCATCACTTTCTCAATGGCCTTTCTCTGGTCTACATTTAGGCTTTCTTGATCCGCAATCGTGTACTGCGTCGACACGGCTTTAAACCGGGGCGGGACCAAGTCGACGACAAGTCGACGGATCTCCCTAGATCCGAAGATGCCATTCGCCATGACCTGCACCAAGTTGTTCCGCACGAGAGCCATGCCATTGCTGAACTCGTCCTTGTCTAAACGATATCGAATAGGAGAATCCTTGATTTTGCCCTGAGACTCCTCGGGTTTGGCACCTTCTGGTGCTACTTCCATGATGCTGGCAAACACCTGATTATTGACCTCATTGAACCCTGCTTGGCGTATCCTCGCGTTGTGGAGTCTTCGGTCGACAGCAACGCTGATCCTCTGTTTGCGGACTGATGTAACAAAACCGAGAGCAAGTGCGAAGTGGCCTTGTTCATCTGACACGACGATAGGCTCACCCACAGCCAACTGGGATTCTAAAAAGGAGAAGCCGGACGCTGGGTTCTGCTTGATGAAAGTATAGTGAAAGCGGTTGATCTTGGGAGTATGCAGATCCTCAGAGGCTGAGCCTTCTTCGATGATGACATCGGCAAAACATCTTCCAAGTTTCTCTCGTTCCGTGCTAACCATTGTCCATAACTCTCGTCGAAGCTTTTGGCTCTCCTTCTCTTCTTTCGTCAGAAGATCCTCCCACTTCAGGAAGAATTCTTTGTGGTTTGGATTTAGATGTTTTACAACATCATCAAACTTGTCTTTCATACCGCTCGTCTCGCCGTCGCCATCATCGGCAAGCTTATGGTAAATAAAACATGATGTCTGAGCGTAGCATCTCCCGCAGTCGTTCTTGCTCTTCTTCATTGGAGGTAATTCGACACTCCGCTCACGGATGTAGCAAGCCAATCGATTTCGTTGCAAGATCATATGGCGTAGTTCGTTCCGCATGGCCGGGATACGTTTTGTTAGTGAAGTTTCCATGTAATAGAGGATCCCATACACAATATCGATATCATATCGATCGGAGAGTAGTAAGTTGTACAAAACAGTCTGCGCTTCATGATTCGTGTTGACATTCTTTCCCGTCTTGACCTCAAACGGGACTGTCAGGGTCTTGGTGTCACTTCCTTGCTTCAGAGTGACCTGGACCGTGGCATCGATGTTGCCTTTGAGTCCATACATTGGCGACCAAACATGCTCTTCAACATCTAGCAGCTTGCTCACACACATGGTTGCCTTTTCGCCATTACGGCCTTGGACGACAGCACTCGGCTTCGGCCAAGAGGAAACAAAATCTGCTGCCCAGTGCCGAAGTTCTGTCATCTTAGACAGCAGATGCTCTCTTGCATCGTTGAAGCTGACCTTGATGGTATAGAGGTCCTCAATGTGCTTCTTCATAGCTTTGTCGATCACGGACCCCAGAAATGCGGAGTCCCATTTGTTGGCCATGAGAGCTTCTTGAAAAATTTCGTGTAGTAGTGTTCCATACACAAGCGGTGCAGATGGGTCGCTCGTAGCTTTCACTCGATCCTGGAGCACAGCACGGCGCATGCAGCTGAATGAGTCTGCCACCACAGTCGAAGAAATTAGCTGATCGGGGTGTAAAATGAGAATGTTTCGGGAATTGTCGATAATGCAGTGACCCGCAGACTCAAAATCTCCAATGACATGAACATAAGCATTCGTGCTGGCAGGAGTGTCAATCCAGTCACCGCGAAGATGGATGGTTTTGATCGACTTAGTTCTCTCCGCTTGTACAACAAGAGTCTATGTGGACGTCAGTCTCGTGGACGTGAAGTCAAGAGTGCCGGAGTATACCTTTTCAGGATATTCACACCCATTGTCATTAGTGTAACAACTGAGAAGTGCGTTCGTGACAAGATAACGTTGTATCGCTCTAGGCTTTTGATTTAGCTATAGAATATTTAGCAATATTTCTCCGGTCATCTAGCGATATACACATACATGGGGTAATGATAGAGGCTTTTGAGATACTGATTGAGTCGCAGCAAGTTCCGCTGCCTCAAAGTCGAAGTCACCACCGAAGTCATCCTCGTATGCATCATGGGATTCCTTAGTCCCGCCACCTACAGATGCTCCTTGCCCTGGATCATGCTTTTGTTGTAATGCTGGGTTGTTTATTTGTGAAGTTGGCATCGAAGCAATTTCCGCAATCAAGTCTTCTGCTTCTGCGAATACATCGTCATCAAGATCCCCAAATTCGTCATCATCGTCCACCTTATGTGATACATTTCTATGGCGCATATCTGGAACAATTTCGGGATTATCAACTGCAGGGGATTCTCCTAAAGAAGCTGGCACCAAGCTGGCGTCAATTTCCATTAGTGTGTCGTCATCGAAGTCGTCGTCCCCATAGTCTGAGGAATCCTGCTCCACCGCAAATGTCATAATAGAGGTCGGCTTAGAGCCGCCTGTGCCCTTGCTGGGAGACGTTGTCGACCTTGGGCTCACGACTTTGCGTGGCGAGCGTCGCTTCTGTGGTGATGGGGATCGCATCAGACGATTTCGTTCCTGGGCTTCTTGGCTCTTGTTGATCTCGCCCGTCACAGTCTGTAACAGAGCAGACACCATCGAAGACTTCGAATTTCCTCTTTGAAGCCCTCTTAGCCCCGTGGGAGACTCAGTCTCAGACCGCTCGACTCGGCGGCGCTTGGGCCAATTTGTACCACAACTTATAGCCCTTCGCAAGCTGCTTTCACTCTGGGATGCTGTCCCGTCCTTGGACGGCCGTGGAGACGATGATACCATGAGATGGGCTAAAGCAGGATTGGTTGAGCCAAGACCTTTCGCACTTTCGAGGCCAACACTTGAGAAACGGTCCCAGAGATCGAGAGCAGGATCTGCATAAGGCGACTTCAGAGCTTGTGCCAGCTTCTTGATATTGACGGCTGGCGTGTTTGATTTTGCGTGTGCTGGCGAAGACACGGGTGAGGAGCTTCGAGCACGCTTTCTCCCCTTTCTGGGCAAGATGGGGGATATAGCAGCAGCAATAGTATCTCTCTCATTATGCCAGAGGAGACGCTCAGTAGGCGTGACCTCCTCTTCGTCCTTCTCGTGTACTCCGCCGTTGAAGTCATTTTGCCATGGAAACCGGGTGGCCGGCGTAGTAATATTGTCCGTTGGCTTGGACGCAGGCAAGGACGATTGCTCGTCCTTCCCAGTGCCGCCATGATTCTCCTTATCCGAACTATCGCTGATCACAATCGGGGCGGCCTTGCTCAAGCCCTCGTCTTGTCCTTGCTTCTCGTTTGTCGACTCCGTCTCAGATTTCTGGAATTGAAATTGCTGAAGCTTGCTTTTAGACTTTGCAGAGACAGGGATCGAAGGCCCGGAACCCGACTTGTGGGCAGCAGTAGGGTGGCTTTTGGACCTTTGCCATTGTCCATTTCGCTGGGTGGGTGTTAGGGATTTCATTGCTGCAGCATGTCGGCGAAGCTTACCTTGGCGAACCTATTCTGCTCGGAAAAGGATTTTTGCAGAGGCATAATTGCTTCTCATGGCCGAGTTGATGCTGCAATGGCGTCCGTACATGGGCCGCCGTCCTATGCACTGGATTCGGGGTGTCGTGGTTGGGTGTTGTCTGTGTTGTTCTTGTCGAGGAATCTTCGTCCCTCTTCAGCAAGGGGACAGTAACGGACTAAGACGCGTCTGGCCGTGTTAGACCGCGTCCACAGTAACACGCTTGAGCCACGGTGGTTAAGATAAGCGAGCGCGTTAGCGCATTTTGGCTGCAGGCACAGTGGCTGAGATCACTGCACAGTACCTAAAGTGTGGCTCAAGCTTCCCCCGCGTTTTCACGCCAAAAAAGCGAACCTGAGTGCTAGGAGCTTTGTGACATCACATCATCAGCTCCCTCACTGAAGCTCAGAACAGCTATACCGTGGAGGGTCATTACTTCCCACCAACGATTGCCGCTAAGTGGTCAATCAAGGGCGATTATTCATGCCATTTTCTTTCTTGAAATTGGGCAGTCTAGCAATATAGTCGCTTCATCATCATGTCGGCCGGCAATTCCGATGGACAGGACCAGCATGGGCTTGACAGTCGAACGTTTGGTGTCCAGACTGTTCTCAGCAACGCCGACCGACTGGGCATCAACTATGAAGCCTTACCTACGGTGCCCATATGGGGACCCATATTCGGCTATAACAACCAGGGTGTCAAGTTGAACTGTGCTGCAAGAGTTATGGGAGCCGCTGCAATCATGAAGAGGGAGCCGACCCAAGCAGAAAAGGATGCCATTGCCTACCACACAGCGAAAGCATACGTCACGCGAGCATATGCGCCACCTATCACTCTTGCAGTAACCTACGGCTTCTGGCGCAGAGGCTTTGCGACATATCGATTTCCTTTTCACCAGCCAAAACCACCACGTTTCAACCCCCTCAAATTCTTCTTCCTCCGGGGCGGCAATGCACACTGGGCATGGCACGGCGCCCGCTTCTTCCTCTATGGGACTTTCGCCCACATGACTGTAGGAGGGCTCTTTTACTCTTATGCCGTCTCAGTGTATCTGGCAAATATGGCTGCGGACCCGAGACTCCACGATTTCCGTGAAACTGTCAAAGCAATTGCTGGTCCTGCTCCGAATCGACCAGGTCAACGGAGACCACTACCAATGCAACGAGGTGGTGAAAGTGCTGGCGAAAATTCTCGGCAAGGATTTGGCACCTACGATGATGCAAACCCAGTCTCTCAGCCAAGTTCTTACGGTCAAGATGAAGATGCCGCTGGTCGTGCATTTTCTGGGTTTGCTCGCGATACCGATGATCAAGTCAAGCAAACTAGAGAAGAAGTGGAAAGGCAGCCTAGGGGCCGTCCCGGCGCATTTCCATTGAGGCAGTACAAGCCGGAGCCACCTCAGTCAATCTCTGAGGATGAATCAGACCCTTTCGATGATGCCTCACCTGTAGCACCATCAGAGAGGCAGTATGGTGCACGCCAGACATCATATGGAGGGTCTGCCTGGGATAGGATCAGGAATCAAGCAAAACCTCAAGGAGACGCTCAGCGACCGGCGCCAACCTCCTCCTGGGCTCAACGACGAGAGGAGGAGCAGACTTCCCGGGGAGCCCAAGACGGCTCTTCTTACAATTATGCGCAGTCTGATGAAGACAAGGCATACGCGAAAAGTCAGGCTCAAAAAGAGTTTGATGAGATGATCGAGCGAGAACGACGGGGAGAGTCGGATGGCCGCAGGCGGGGCTAGGCCATATTGGCTGTTATAGATGGAAAATGTAACATTATGTCCTATCTCCAGATGTTTTTCCGAGCTTGGAGCTATTGATGTTTGCCGGATGTTATGGAGCATAGAGATAAGTGGTGCATGTTAGGCTCTCCTCAACACAGTACAATATCTATAACTGATTCCTGGCTGAGTATTCTCAGCATCTGTAAAGGTCTAGGAAAACACGACCTAAAATCTTTTATGAAGCCAAGGCAACTGTAATAGTCAAAAAGACAAAGGAAATTGCCGTACAAGTTCCAACCTTGGGAGATGATAATACAGACAAAGAGAGACGCCGCCTTGATAACTGACCGCAGCGCAGGTAGGTAGCGCTGGTTGCATAGCAAGAGACTGACTGACTGACTAACAAAGAAGATGAAAGAGAGACACGGGTAAAGCAAACCACCAAAACCTAGCCATCTTATATAACTAACACAACCCAACCCACACGATCCACTGACTGATTTTGTTTACCCACTAAATGTCTTTGAAAGATTACAATGCATACTTATCGCCGCGCCGGTCGTAATCGTAATGCCCTTCCATGACGACGACGCAGGCCGGCCTCGCCTCACCAAGGCGAATGTTCGGACCTTTGCCAACGCGACCAAATGCGAGACGGCGCACCGCCGCGGAGAGCCGACGCCTTCGCCCGAACCGTTACATCTCGGCGACTCGAACGACACCGAGCGCTTCTTCGAAGAACACCCCCTCCTTCGACGCGATCGAGCCGCCAACCACGAGTATGAAGAGGAAACATACGAGAGCTGGAAACCGGCGATACTGCCAATATCAGACCAGCAGAGAGTCAACGCGGCTATCCTAGGAGACAAGCTTGAGGCTACAATGACGGCCGCCAATCCCCCCAACGGTTGCAATTCCAACATCGGCCAAACAGAGCCAGTAGACACCACGGCTACCGGTCGTGATGGCAACCTGACTCTGTTTGAAAACTGGAAGCCAGTCTCAGACCCCTTTGGACTGGGCCTTGGATCGATTTTTGGACGCGATGGCGGTGGCCCTCTCAAGCCGAGGAGCCAGAGCCCAACAATTGGGCATCTAAAGCCGGATGACTTCCAGCAGACAGCAGCGAACCCTTCATTCTTGCACAGGGACGCACCCGAACCCGAAGGCCCTCGAGCACGAAGCCTAACCAGGCAGCATCCGGAAGCTGGACGGTCCAACGATTTAGGAACTGCGTCTTTTGGCGATCTTGGCCGGTATACGGTGGAACAGGCCAACCCCCCTGACTTTGGACAGGCTCCAGAGGACCAAGAAGACGTCCCCGCGTCGACTTTTCCACAGGGATTTCCCCGATACAGATCAGTCTCAGACTTCCGTGAGATCGCAATTTTCCTCGCCAATGCACAGTATGTCGTATCCCTTGGCGGGCTGGCGTTGAAAGACATGAAATACGGCATCGTTGTCGTACCCTCGGGCGAAGAGAAGCTCCTGCTCACCAAACAGCCCGAGGATGTTATGACGTCTGAATTCCTCGAAGACATCAAGTGGGCCGACTACAAAGCCCGCAGATCGCAGGAAGGCACCATGGAGCCAGTAGCAGACGGCACCGGACCTCCAGCCATTGCCAATGACAGCATGGAAAGGGGGGATGCAGCCCAAGAGCCCCCAGTGGCTGATACCAGCGTGGCCAAGAGGAAGAGGACAAGAAGGGGGGAAGCCATCCAGGCTATAGCGGCAACGCCCATTGACGAGGCTGAGGATCCCAAAGATGACACGCCGACAAAAGCTACAAGACGCGGTCGGGCAGTAGCTGGTCGGGCAACAAAGGACACTGCTAAGTCAGTCAAAATTTCCACGAGAGGCGCTAAGTCTGGGAGGGGCGGTGGCCTAAAGAGCACCACGCCCGACCGTGGACGGGGACGCAACAACAGCCGCAGGGGCGCATCATCCTAACGTCCCAGACGAGCTTTTGCTGACACTTCGATATCCACATATGCCTACCAACATGAGATGCGTCCTTGGTTCAACTTCAGTATGATAGTATCATGTTTGTGAAGTCAAGGAACCATCCGAAATCTCGAGGAACTTAGACCATTCGACATTGGTCAGACCAGAATGGAGGCCGAACGTGCGCCTACTGAAGCTCATCCCACGGTGTCGAGGTATCAAAGGTTCTCAACCTCTCATATAGCCTTTGCCGTGGGCAGGGTTACATTGGCTTGCTCCGACTAGAGCATACAATATAAAATAAGGTTTCTTCATGGTTGATGTGGCTACTATACGAAAAATTCACTCAGTGAGACAAGTGACACGGCATCTCAGCTCGCCTAGCTACTGAGTTGCTTCTGACGGGGGCCTGCTCCCAGTCACTCGTCAGGTGATCTGTTTTGCCTCAAGACTCTTCAGATTGCTTTTTCATTTAGCTATCCACACGTACATCACACATACCTACCGACACTTCATGCTTTCCTTCTCTGGTAGTCCTTGGACTAGGTGGCTTCCTTTGTATGTGTTTTTATGACATATAGGGGCCAGCAGGCATGAAGTGGTTCAGGAAGCCTAGCTGACCGGAGATGATTACCGGGGTAGTTATAGTGTACGTAGACATGGAGGATGACTTGGCTGATCGATTGCACGGAGGATATCCAGTCGAGGTCAGGCCTGCTGCCGCAAGGCGGTGGAAATGATAAAAGAAGGCGTAAGGCGCCGAGTCACCTACAGGATTTCACTTTCAAGCTCTACTTTATTACCTCCTTTGATTGCTACTACAGACTCTCCTAAGACCGCCCAATGTCACCATGATGTCCGTCGCCAAGAGATTCTCGTACAGACTAGAATGCTGCCCGAATCTTGCCCTGGCTCATTTCCTTCTTTGTAAGTGGGCCGATCCTACTCAGCGCTGGTTTAGCGCCTATTAAGGCGACGAGGGTTCTGCCGTTCTGGTCCTGACGGCAAGATTCGTGAGGTACTACTACACTACGAACCCAACCGCCTTCCTGCCTGCATCGCCGTTCAGGACAACCTCATTGCCGGAATAGCCCTTCAACGTGCTTTCATTACATCCCCCAGGGAAGTCCTCAGGCTAAGTCCCGCTCAAAAAGGCGTCGAGTTGACGACGGATGTAGACGAGGTTGATGTCCGTCGTCGGCGTTGCCGCCACATTCCCGACGCTCGAGACTCCAGTGCCTTTATGCTCAATTTCTACGGCATGGCACATCTAGAACTAGGCATGTAGCCGTTAGTAACTAGCTCTGTATATATTGGGTAAGGCGAGGAGAAGATACTTACATCGCAATGCTATTAGATGGTCTCCCTTGGTCCTATGGCTAGGATATGGACTAGATAGTCCTTAAGTTATAAGTAGGGGAAAGCCTCTGGGCTAAGTTCCTGTGAGTTATTTCTCTAGATGCCCGGGAACTAGGGATCCTCGGTTAAGCTGTTCTAAAAGAGCTACGCCTACAGTATAGTGCATAGGGCAGGGTGCATTGGTTGTTCTTTCCATATATATAACAGATCTTGTAACGGGGTGGGATATAGGCTCTCCGGATCGTGCCTACCGACTAATATATTCTATTCTACGTAGCTCGCCTTCCTCGGCTTCTGTCACTCTTTCCCAAAAGTTCCAAATGACAACCTCTGCCGTCCTCATACCTTCCTTCGCAAGTCAACCGTGGAAATGGCCTTCAAAGCCCTCTCGCCGTGCTCGTCTTCTCCCTTCTCTCCTCTTCTCCTCTTCATACCACTATCCAGTTCCGCAGACCTGAGTATGCTTTGTTCTCTCGATGCGTTCACCCTTGTGGTGTTTTTCTACACCTAGATGATATTGCCTGTGCTACACAATTTAATCGACCCCTTCATCTGTTGGTTTACCAGCAGTAGGAACATCTCTGGTGTTCCTGAGCTTCAACGTTCTGTTAAGAGAGTGCTAGTAGTCATAGCTGTCGTTGGCCCGACATTGCTTATACTCCTACTATGCTTCCTTACATAAAACCCGATCGTAGGACTTGGTGTTGTACGTTTTTTTGTTCTTTTTGGAACCTCTACCGCTTGTCACCGTGATGAAAGCAACTCCCGTAAGTGAAAGGATGAGACCCGAGTCGGAGGATGCTTGCATTTCCGCGGAGCGGAAGAGGTGGTGTTGAGTGACAGCCTCATTGATGCATTTTAATGTCGTGCTGAGACAGTGGGATTCCGTGACACCACCACACCACCATCGTCCTTCCAGGCAAGCTCAGACAACCCCACGAGGTTCACATGCACGCTAAATAGCCGCTGTGCATCACATCGGTGCTAATAAAGTCAGATCGATCATTGACTGATACTTCAAATTCCGCTTGCAATTTCATGCCTGTCCAACTGTATCTCGCTACACATAATGGACGCTAACCAAGTAAAGAAAATGCAGAAGACACCTCTAACGTTGGGGGGTATCAGCTACTATGACCAAGCATCTGAAATGAGCTACTCGGGAGAAATGTTTCTTTTTTGTTCCCATCCATGACATGAAATCCTGGCAATGCTGCATTCCGTCCCATCCTTTGACTAACACAAACCGGATCCCTCGACCACCCCCCAAATGTCCCATTCGCACGTCATATGTCGCCAACACGGCTGGGAGAAGCGCTGAATATGTCTATACATCAACCATGTCCTGAATGTCAGAGGCAACGAGATCAGTCTTCAACGCTCATACCCGTTTCCCCAGATCTTCTCTTCTCTCAAGGAAGATACGACTAGTTGTCAATTTGACGACTTAATCGCCCATGGATGCCATACCGCTCGTCGGCGCAAAGCTGCCGTACATGGCATCGTCACTGCTATCGCTTCCTTGACTCCTGGGGCTCTGCATGCCACTGACGTCCGCGCTCGGAAGTCCGCTGAAGTCGATGGTGCTGCCGACCCCACTGCTTCCGCCTAGCGCAAGGAGGCTCTGTCGCCTGGCATTGTCTATGTCTGCCACACTGCCGGAGCGGCTCATGCTTGGCTTCTCGGGCAAGGTCTTCAGCAGACCGGTGCTGATGTCCAACATACCCATAGCGAACTCTGTGAGACCCTTGCCCTCGCCAGGCTTCGAGCTCACAGACAACGTCCAGCGGTACTCGGCGAGTCGACGGCGATACCAATCTGCCTCCTCACGGCCAGGGGATGTCGCCCACAGCAGGCTACCGAAGGTGCCAATGAGGGCAAAGTTGGTCTTCGAAGCAAAGTACCAGAAGGAACGTAAATGTGCCGGCGTCAAGCGGTTAACAAAGTCCATGGCGGAGATCAAACGCGCCTTGGCAGCGTTACGACAGATGTGCTGGAGGTAGGAGTCGGGTCCGGCCGCGCCAGAGCTGAGTGCTGTCGGAGAATCGGGCAGGGATGCGACCATGGAGCGGATGATGCGACGATGTAGGGTGATTTCAGTGGCAAAGTAAGCGAGGTGGAGATAGCCGATGCTAGAAAGGCGGCTCTGTGTCGTGTTGCCGCCCTGGTAAGTCGAGTCCATCCTGATAGTACTGGGCAGCGCAGAGTACCACTCTTTCAGTTTCAGCTGAATAGGCTTCGCAAGAGAAAGAACCAGATGAGTGCCCTGAAGACCGGCATTCGAGACAGTCTGCATGGCTTGAAGGGTATAGAAGGTCTCGAGGATTTCCGCCAAGATTTGTGACAGCTGCACCATTTGTGTAAAGAGTGTCCGTCCTGTCTCAATTTCAAGCTTCTCTTCAACCTCATGTTCCTCCCACTCAACATCTGGGAAGTCGTTTGGACCCAGATTTTGCACCGCCCAGTTGGCGGCAAAAATATGGGAAGGACGTCCATGAACAAGCGCTCCCCATTTATCCTGCATATACAGGCCCCACGCAAGTCTCTTTCTTAGACCTTTTTCCCACGGTGGTATCTTCCAGCTTGAGCAGTCCAGATGTAGACCAAGCTCTTGTGCGATAGCGACTAGCTGTGCTGTCGGTGCCCATTGGTCTCCCTCGGGTCGTTGGGATAGAAGTAGGCCCGCTTGGACAGTCGAGAGCTTCGGCCGGTACATGGCATCAGCAAGGGTTGTCCGGCAAAGTCGCTCAAGCTCGCGGACATTAGGTCGTGGTAGAGATGAGAGTAGTTCATCTTGGTCCCACCAGTTGATGGCCAAGATGTACATCGCCGCCAGAAGCGGCGGGGAGAATTCGCGCGGATTACGATCATACTTCTCATAGAATACTGTCTTCTGAATGATGGGAAAGCCGGGATGAACCACACGGAAATAGAGGTCTATCAAGTTGCGGCTGTGAGGCGCGACGAGCCGTTCTATCTCGTCGACATCCTCGATGACATGCTCATGGCCGGGGGTGGTATAATCCGGCAATAGCAGGAAGGTGTCGATATCACTGACCTTGCGGAGAGTTCCCCGGGCTAGTAGGCTCTCATCATGGGGGTCAAAAGGCGAGAGATTTATAAGAGAGGGCTCAAAGTCAGTTGTAGGCCCAATGTACTGGCTGTAGCGATCCTCCTGAAGACCAAGGGTACGCTTGAGGAGCGTTGGGCCACCGAAGTTGGCCATCTCCTCAATTAAAGATGTGCTAGCAGCTGTGCTGGAAAGACTGGACTGATGATTCCGCCTGTATCTGTTATCAGTGACAGTTCTTCCTTGTGAGCTAAATGGGCCAATCAGGTGTCAGAGATTGTCATGCTAGTCTCATCCCTGCACACCCGGACACGCGGGCTTCCAAGAGATGATAAGACCCAAATACGGCCCGGAATTCAGGGCACAAGGATAAGGGGGAGTAGAAAATAATCCTGAAGCTGGAAAGTATATGAGAAGGCATGAGATGAGCTTACCTTCTGAATCCAGACTCCCAGTTCCCGTTTACCTTGCGTTTCCTCGGCTGAGGGCTTCCCACTGGCGAACACTCCGTGCCGTTTAGTTGGCAGGAGAGGCAGCTCTCTTCGTCCTCGCTCATGACGCACTTAAGACGCCGGCGTTGACATGCTTCGCAGGGGGCAGGCGAGTTTCGACTTGACGGGGAAGACAAGGGTGAGTCAATACCGTTGATGCTACCAGAGAAAGCCTCGATGTTTATGCTTCCTTGGCGGCTGGGGAGAAGGCGTGGCGGTTTGGGTGCAATTGCAATGGGAGCCGTTCTGGGAACGGCAGATGGGGTGGACATGATGAAGTAGAAAATGAGGCGGCAGAGAAGGGCCGAGCGATTAAACCCGTCCAGCAGCACAGCAGCAGCGAGCAGTAGGCCAAGGCCAGGTCCAGCTGCAGTGCCTATCTCGGTGGTGGCTAGGATCGGTGGAGGCTAAACCTAGGTTCCTGGCTCACGGAGATGCTGCCACCTGCCCTGGATTGTCCCAGAACGGGCACTTTCGAGAATGGCGCCGTGGGCACAGTGATGTAATTCGCTGCACCAAACCAGATGGATCGAGACAGGGTCCACGGAAGATGTGACGGCGCCAGAATAGGGCAGCGTCTTTCAGGGCACTGATCGAACCACAGGAGAGAGAGTCCGCGGTGAGGCTTGATAAGAGTCCCCAGAGATAAGGATGGTGGATGGGTGTAGAGGGGCGGAAAGTGGAGGAATTGATATGGGACACCACGAAAGTACCAGGCAATGCAGGCGGCCTACCCACGCGGCCGACCTTATGGAGAGGCTTTTAACGGGACACGGGCGGCGTGTCCTGCAGAACTTGAACGTCGATCGTATCTCGACGATGAGAGAAACTCGGCGGGCAACTTGCAAGCCAGGCCTTTTGACACAACGCACAACGTGTCGTCAAAGATAAGGCCCCGGCGGGAGAGAGATATGTAAGAGGTGTATGTAGGTGTAACTGTAGGTAGGTAGGTAGGGAATGGTAGGTTGCGGGCCAATTCGAGGCAGATGATGTGCCCTAATTTGGGGGGACCTAGGTGATGATCGAGACAAGGATGAGATAAGCCTGGCTTATCAGCGTCATTTGAATTGAAATATAAACTCTGTCGGTAATCCTCCCAGCTAAATTCCGTAGCTCGGTGGCGGGTTGCTTCCAGAGTTTCTGGCAGCGCTCGCAAACGACGACGTCGCTGGCAGATGAGAGAGAAAAAGCATGTGAGAAGTCGACAAAGGAGAGAAAGAGAGAGTCAGAGTCGGTGACACAAGAAAACGAAGAAAGCCAAACCTAAGAAGGGCGACACTTTCGGGGACATTTTGAGGTAGCCAGAGTGATCCGCATCCCATCTCCAGGGGAAAGCGGCAGGCGCCTCCATTGTCTAGCAATCCATCAATCAATCGGCGGTGCTAAGCAGTGTGTCCGTGGCTCCATTGCGACCTCATCCGCAGCCGGCCGCCCATGACACTGGCGGTGGTGTTGATGATGATTTTGGTCAGCAGCTTTCCAAGAGCCCAAAACACGCCAGGAACGCGCGGAGAGATAACAGACAGAAAGTCTGACCTTATCATCGAGAAAATTAAACTACAAAATTCATAATGATAAAGCATCCAGTGTCGATGCAAGCAGCCGCAAGTGCTGTCTACACGCCGGCGCCGGCCAAGCTAAACGAGTCTGTTAGTGCCAGGAACGGCCGAGCGACTCGAAAGCAGAGAGCAACCGGCATCGTAGCCATTGAAGCTTCACGAGCTACCAGATCAGCTAGATATGACGGCAGCGGGCAGGTATGGACTACCCGCGGCGGTCGCATCGCAGTTGTCCGGAAGATTTCGAGGGTTGCCATTCAGGGGGTGGCCATTACCAAATAGAAAAGGCTTCCTACCGGTTTTCGCAGGGCGAGGCAATACCTTTAACGTAATGGCTCGCTTTGCCGAGTCATGATGCGGCCAATTGCTTCGGGAGATTTGATTCAGACACGGACCACCTGCAGGCTATCTGGTGGAACAACCGGTGATACAGGCGGAGATCTGATCAGGCTCGACGACATGGTATCCTCTTTTCGGCAGCAGCCCGGCTGTCGCATTCTTCCATGAATCCATCTTGATTCTCGAGAGTTGCAATTGGAAATGCGTCACGGGCCAATTGTGCGTGCGACCTGTAATCTTGCCGCGGGCGTGTCCGCCCCGCCATTCATCTCTGATACTCCAGCGTATACTTAGCGGCTCAGCCAGCGCGGCTAAGCACCCTACGACACCCGATGGCGCTTTCTTCACCGTAAACCTAACCCTGGAAGCTTGGAAGCTTATTACGGGCAGCTAGCCAGAGCTATTACCGGACCAGTGGTAGGTATTCTGATGCGAACTACCAACTGCAGAGTAGTCGATGGGGATCGGGGTAGAGAGTGATGTAAGCCAATACCAGATGTCAGGCTGGCCCAGTGTGTCGATTCGCTTGATCTCTGGACTCGTAAAAGGCTTGCCGCCCATCATAGATCTGCAAATCGTTGCGCCTCCGCGACCCAAGGCGGAGAGGTATGCCGTTGAGTATCAACCCGGCCCACATCAAGCTGCTTGCTGCACTTCATCATTGGACCCTGTGTACTGCCTCAAATCAACGTGGAGCAGTATGCACGTCACTGTTTTCGATAGACAATGCGTAACCTGTTTCTACCAGACATTAGCCCAAGAGCAAGACCTCAGAGGAAGTAGAGCACAAGACCTCTGTACATTCTTGAGACGGCCCGAGGTTCATTCGCTTGGAGCCCCCACAGACACACACTCATTGTGACTTGCAGACATCCCTCGAGCCCCCATACGACCATGCAGGCACTGCCCGGATTCAATTTGGAGAAAGATACCCCAATTATCCAAAAAAACGCGGGGTGTGGAATTGCCGTCTTACCTTGCATCACCAATGCCGTCGCCGGCGACTTTTTGGTCGCATTTCGGATTTTCGTATGGTCCAAAAGAGACGCATGCAGGTCTCCTTTTGAAAAGCAATTACGTGAATACAAATAGCAGTATCAATTTTTTTTTTTGGTTTGAGGCATTTGCTTGCAATAGGGTCGTTGTGACTTGTCAAGCGTCGGACGACCTGCAAATATTGATTTGATGGTAGCACAACCCCAGAAGCTCAACGTTGGAGTAGGTGACCTGGACGCCACAATGCGTGGGGGAGAAAACCTTGTCTCCAGAGTGACCCACGATGATTTACTCGACATTCGGCGCGGGCCGATCGACCTCTGACCACAACGACTTGAGAGGGTTCTTTCATCCCCTTCCTGAAGGATCAGTCGTTGATTCACTGCCTCTCCTTCTACTATCGTCTCGGTTAGATTCGGTCGTTGAAGTTCAGCATATCTCGGGTGATGTTGTGGGCCCTCGCTCTATATCGTACCCGGCCTCCAAAGCATGCAAGTTTCTTCGTACACCTCTGTCTTCCCTCCTTCGCCACGTTTCGGAATAGTCATCTTGAAGCCATCTACAGATGTAAACCCCAAACTTTCGTAAATTTTGACCGCTTCCACTGTGCTTTCGAGGTAAACTGCCACTCCGGCTACCTTCGCTGCCTCTTGCACCTTCCGTGTCAGTAGAGATCCTGCGCCCCTGCCCTGATGTCTTGGGTCGGTGCAGACGAAGGTCAAACCTACGTGAAGGAATAATTAGTCTAAGAGCTTACAAGATCGTGGGTTGGACTAATCCAGTGCACCGGAGCGTCCGCGGAGATGCTCAAACGACAGTAGACCCACATATAGGGCTGTCTCCATTCTCCAGGTGTCTGTCGGACGACCGCACGGGGCAGTAGGAGCGCGCCCATGACATGCAACTGTACTACCGTGGTATCAAAATGTTGGACTCACGATAACACGGCAAGTCGCCAATAGCTCTCTTCTTAGCGCCTTCAGCAAGGGCTGCGTATTCGTCCAGATATCGCTGACAGCACCCCTTGGACCATTTGAATGTCTCCGTCGCCTCCTTAACCGCATCAGGACCCTGGGGCAAGTCCCATTTAGCGAAGCTCACAATTTCCTGTGATATTGGATCACGAGCTACCAGAACAGCAGAAAGTGGATCGCGAAGTTGTAAACGTGTGTAGTCTGCCAGAAAGGATTCGAGGTTGACGAGGCTTTGCGGAGTCGGAAATTGTACGTGGAGCAAAATGTTGGAGTCCATTGCTGCTAGGTGGATGGCAGCGATACGCGTGGCATCTTCTTCTGTGGCACCAGATACATCAAAATCCGGCTTCATGATGAGAGACGGTTGAAGTCAACATTGAGTTATCGAATTGCATTAAGGTAAGTGGCCCCATCGTTCTTGCCTAAAGAACCCAATGAACGAACATTGGCTGGTCATGTGACACCCTTCGGACAGCACCCTTTCCAGACACATGTGCTAGACGTCTTCTTGAGGAGTCTTAATGAAATTGTACAAGACAATGCCTTCCTCTAACGGTATTTAGCAACAAGCCTCGAGCTAAATTTGGCAAGTGCCAGCCTCCACAAACTTTATGACACGACTTGAGGCTCTATTCACGGTAATTGCAGGCAGCAAGCCCTCTCCCAAGTAACTCAGAACATTGTTGAACAAATCCATCCAGCGAGAAACAGTTTTGGGCCCCGTGCTTATCTGCAATGCATCGTAGCTTCATGATTCAAGCAGTTGCCTCCACCTGCTCTGCCCTGCCATATGTCGTGCCAAATCGCTCCAGCATGTGCTCTTCCACAGTCAATACCTTGCCACCAACCGGTTCACTGCCATCGAATGGCGTCAGCTTGACATCAGCATTGCCATCGAAGAAAAAAGGCATGGAGTACCGGTCCTTGGTGCTCTTATTGATAACACGGTGGACGTTACTCTTGTAGATATTCTTGGTCCACATTGACAGCATATCGCCGATGTTGACAACATACGCATCTGGATTGGGGTCTACCGGAATCCATTCTCCAGTATTATGATTGAGCACTTCAAGCCCACCAGAATCATCTTGCAGGAGGAGGGTTATAGCTCCTGCCTGGTTGTTAGGAATGTTAAAAAAACAGAAGATGTTTAGGACTTACCAAAGTCAGTATGCGCACCTGCTCCGAGTTGTCTTGCATCTTGGGACACTTGAGGTGGGTAATGCAGGAGACGGAGAGCGCATACGGGGTCGTTTGAGACAAAATCCTTGAAAATGTCGTCTCCGTAGGGGAGTCCCCTGGCCAGAATTTCCATCACCTTCAGGGAAAGATCGAAAAGTACATCGTAGTACGTCTCTGTAGGTTCCTTCAGATCTGAGGCCGGGATATTGGATGGAAACACATTCTCCCCTATGAGGTTAGGATGGGCCCTGGAGCGTTCGTCCTCTTGAGAAATGTTCTTCCCAACATAAAAGCCCTGCCAGATCATGAGCATCAATACATGGCTTGGAATAGAGACTTTTCTGCACGTACTTCTTTCAGATCTGGTAAGGCTCCCTCCTGCAGGGCTTGAGATCCAATGAGTTCATAACCCCGATTCTTCATAACCGAATGCTTAAGGTTCTTCTTTTCTTCAAGGGGAAGGGAGAATAACTTTTCTGCAGCTGTGAAGAGTCTGTCTCGAAGCTCCTTTGGTACGCCATGCCCGACCAGGGAGAAGAATCCCGTTGTCACGCACGCTTGCCTAACATCCTCAATGATCTTTGCAGAGGTTTCCGACGACGGATCTGCTAAATAAGGGGCAATGTCAATAGTCGGAATCTCGAAAACAGTCTTGTCAACCGCCATTTTGCCGTAACGTAGTTGCCTTCAGTGTTGGGTTGACCTCGAGCATGAAGTAGAGTTTAGGTCATCTCTTATTCTTTCAGGACGCCTCCAGGATATCCGGGTGCTTGCATGATTCGTACGGCGCAAGCTCCCCGCATAATGGCCCTCCGTCGGATCCATCCTCTGTTATCGCGGAGCTAAATGGCATTAACCAACTCATGGAGATTCCACTAAGAGGGCGCCCAGCGGAGAACGCCGGCCGCCTATCAGTGGCGCACTAATAGGCGCTGACCAGTACAACATAGCTCCTACAATTGTGACATTCGTTCCTGATGTGGTTGAAAGCCACTTGATAGCAACGGTCGAGATGACCTTTGATATATGACCTTGAACTGAAGAGCACCAAATGGTCAAATCTCGGTTGCCGAGGTGCTTGGTAGAAAACGCGCCTTGTCTCCTGCCACTCATCAGCGCGATTCGAGTTTGTACCCGTATGAATGCGTGTGGCTCAGCATTTTGTGGATGGTGTAAGCCTCATAGCCTCTCAGCATTGCTTGGAAAGAAGCTACAATGAGCTCGTCAATCATGCATTGGTGGGGGATGTCTGGCTTTGGAGGGGTTTCCCTGATTTGGCTATGAGATGGCATCAAAGCATAATATTTGGCAGCTCATGAGTGCCTTTCCTGACTTGGCCTTGGGTAGGAGTGAAAGACCCGCACCAACAGGCGCCAAACTATAGCGCTTGTCAACCGAACTGTCAAGACCATGGTAGGAACCTTACGAGACTGTCAGCTGCGCAGTTGCTAGGCTTGTCCTTCGTGGAAGATTCTGGGAAAGTAGGCACCGATATTGGAGGCTTCGCTTGCATTATTTGTTTCATACTGGACTGTATTTTACTGAACCCTCCGTGTGCCTCATTAATGGCCTCATGGCAAGCATGAGAAACATATGATACCATGAATGGCTTCAGGTGTAGCCAAGTGGTTTTAAAACATTCCAATAGAAGAAAACAAGGATCTAAGTGACCTTGACTGAAATAATCCATTTCACGCAGTTCTTGGTCGGCCCGTTGCTGAGGAAATGCAGCCTTGAATAACTCTGAGTGAAAATCCAGGCGTTCCACCACACTTTGATGGTTTCACTTTCCAGTGAACCGTGGTAGGAGAAGTAGACCGTTGTCGTAAGACCGCCCAGTGGGTTTGGCGAGGAACCGCCCCGATGCGTTCAGAATAAACGGGCATGATACCAGATGTTTAGGAAACTTTATCCAGTGCATTATAAACAGTCCGCTATGAACATCATGCTGGACGAGCCAACGTTATGTCTTCCTATGAATAGAACAGTCATTAAGCATAATGCCATTGCATAAGCATTAAAAAGTGATTTGAAGATCAAACCCCCACGTGCAACCCTAGCACGACACATCGCAAAGACGAGAGGCTCAAGCGACGCTCACATCTCCGATCCAAACCAAACCATCCCACAGGAATGAAGACGAGGCATATATGATCGACTGCGAACGGGCTGTATTGGACTGCACGGGCCTCTGGTGCATCTCGAAATCAACCAAGAGGCAAGCACAATACCATGGATCTTTGTTGTGCAAACATCAGTGCACTCAATGGCAAAACGCACACTCATATCAGTCAGAGAGAAGGATAAGATCCGCAACTAGGAACACTTTGATCAGCTAAGCCAGCGGTCTCTGTGATATGCCGCCAACACTAAGTTTACACTAATGATAATGCCTGCGTAGTGGTGAAATCTGGGGTATCTCCCAAGGCCCAGGATGGCGGGTTGGGTACTGTACAATTCCGAAATAGGCTAAGACAAACTGTCTGACTTTGCTGTTAGATCCAACGTGCGACATCAAGTGAACTTGAAGGGTTCTCATTGTCCGGATGTGAAGGATCCCGCCCACGCAATTAGACCGACGGCTTATTTACGCAGATGAGTTTGAGCCGAGTTTGAAGCGAGTGGCTACGGGTGTGTTTTGAGTTATATCTTGCAGTTTTCATCCCTGGTGTGCGAGCCTTTCACAACAACTCCCAGTGATGACCTGGATGAGTACTGACAAAGAGCCCTGAACCAACACCGGCGTTCGACAGGTGGGTGGACACTGAACTAGGGATCGTCACAGCTGCAGCAAATCGTCTAAATTTAGGCCAAAGGAAGTACTATGCGTATGGACATTTCATCCTTTCGAATGACAAGAAAGAGAAGGGGTCTTGAAACTACTATTACGCAGTAGTTAGCAGCATAACGACGCAGGGTCTGCAATTGCATATGTTGGTTCAGTGTAACCACACTGAAGATCAGGAGCAATTCGCTTCCTTGGATGCTTCGGAAATGCGGAAAAGACCCCAGTAATGACAGTGGGGGAGCAGCCACCCTTGACTCATCTGTAGCTGTGCTTCAGGCTATTATCCCTTGTTCACCTCACACCTTCTACTCCATTTAACAAGAGTCTAGGATGCCGGGGTTTCTTCTGCCATTAGGCTTACCATTAGATAGACAGCCGGGTGCCACCCGGCGACGTTGGGTTTCGGCCCAAAGCATCATTCCATGTGGCAGACGGGTAGCATCTCCTGTACTTTGGTTCTACAGCAGCTATGTAGACTGAGAAGGCTGCACAAATACCTTACAAGCGGAGGTCTTCATTCTACCGGTACCACAGCTGAAGCGAGGTCGTCTGTGTCTCGAGTTCTTTTCGGCTCTCATAGGCGAATCCGGCTCCAAGCTCTCGAGTTGGTACATGGTAGTTTCTTCCCTTGACCAATCACTCGGCTTAAGATGATCGGAACAATGTCGAGCTCACTCCTCAGCCAGCTTGAGGTGCGTGCGAGCGCAAGCCCTGAACCATTGCTTGAGATCCGATGGTTCCCACATCAGCCAGGGGCGTCTCCCATCCGTCGCATAAAACATTGATCCATGTTCCTGTCGACTTACTGCAAGCCAGGTTGCAACCACTGTCGCTGGCAGTGCCCATTGCCCTTAGTCGAACCACGGCTCTGTTGCCCCTCGTCTGATGCGATCCAATTGAGGTTATGTGTATATAGATTTCGACGGCCCCGAGTCTACGTAGCCACATAACACTCAAGGCTACAATGTCTGCTGTCAATTGAATTGTTGAGTCACTCCCTGAGTCTTTGTTTCGACCTCAGGTTATCTTTCATTCCTTCCTGTCATTGCCGCTCCTTCTATTTGAAGTTGAACGATAATGGCTATCAAATACTTTCTTTCTACACCGAGCCCCGAAGTCTGGCCGCGCTTCGAGGAGAGGTTCATCATGGGCACTGCATGTGTGAGCCTCCAGGAAAAAGAGCAGAATCCAACTGTATTCAAGGTCAAAGGGACAGATATTGTCATCAAGTTGGGACCGCATGTTCATGAAGGAGAGTACAAAGCATTATGTCTTCTTTATGACCAAGGTCTTCCGGTTCCCGAGCCTCTCAGCTTCGGCCTAGAGCCAACCACCGGCTTCTACTACATCCGGATGAGGCATGTGGAGGGCGAACGTCTTAGTGATGTCTGGGATCTTCTTGAACAGAGCGAGAAGGTATCTGTCTTGTCTCAACTCGGCGATTTCGTGGAACACATGAGGGAAAACAGAGCGACTTATATCGGCTCTCTGGATAGGACAATCTGTAACGACAATTTTCTTGCAGCGCCCTTCCAGCCCCCGTCACCATCTGTCTACATTGGAGGCCATCATTCGGAGATTGATAGGTATCCCAGCACTCCAGTGGAGGACGATGTGCTTTCAGACCGTCAGTGGTATGGTCCTTTCAACGACACAAAGGACTTTATCGAGAAGGGCATTATTCACTACCTGCGGGCTAGGGGAAAGTACGAACAGTCTACCGAGCTTGTCGTGCAGATGATAAGAGCAATGCCGAACTCCCCAGGCCCATACGTATTCACGCATGGAGAAGTCGCCCCTGACAACATTCTTATCAAGGATTGCAAAGTCGTGGCTATTCTAGATTGGAATCAGGCTGGCTACTACCCTGAGTATTGGGAGTATGTCAAGGCACACTTTTGGCAATATGAAAACTGTTACCAAGTGGACCACATCATTCCTACGATTCTTGAGCCGCACTTCTCGGAGTTATCCATCTTATTGCATGCCAAGAAAATTATCTGGTGACTTCGTCACCATTTTCAGCTGTTGAACTAGCACCCCTTGAACCAGGCGACCTCATCGCGGGACACTTTCACAAGGCGAATCTGCATATATGTCGGCACCGGGGTGTCATTACATCATTGTATAAATATTAAACATAATAGGTCATGGTATGGTGTTCGCCTGACATTACTAGTCGCGTGGGCAAGATCCTACCAGATGTGAAGAGGACGGCGCACTTGTACACTTATAATCTTCTACTTATATACACCTTAACAAAGTAAAATCCACAACTGAATCGATCTAGCTATATTCCTGATTCGAATATCGGCAAGCTCATACGAATATCTTGAAAAACATTGAAGATGCTGGGTCATGCTCAGATGAAACCGGCCTTCTCTCCTTTTGAAGCATGTTAAAGAAACCCCTGGCGTATGTACACTCTACCGTGGCATGCGAGGATGAGAGACGTGAACTTCGAAATGGACATGGACCTAGAAAGACTGTTATTCAGTATTCTATGGTGAGAAGATGATCATAGCAGATTTAAATTTTCAGGTGAGCAAGATTTATATTTTCACGATGGATGGAATGGTAGAGCGCATGGAATGGGGAAAATTCGATAAGGTGTGTTTGTTAAATAACCTCGACGAGAAGTAGGACATGCGAAGTTTCCACAAAGAAATGAGAGTTACTGACTGGCATCCAATCAAAACTGCAATTTTGGCTCATTGCTCAAGGAGGCCTTGTGCGATTAGGCTGCCTGCGACAATCCGTGGTGGAAAGCAAGTGATCGACATTGCCATTTCGGCGGTACGGAAGTGCGATGAGTACCATTTTCTACTAAACTCAGTCAGACCCGGACTCTGGACGAGGGCCTAGACTTACCAAAGAGCTGTAAAAACCCCGTGTCCCGGCATGGACTAACTTTCCATGGGCGGCCTCCGGAAAACCTTACATCAGCCTCACGCTTTTGGAATCACTACCCCATCAAGATCAGATAGAAGCGTCGGTGAGTATCAATAAGTCGGCTGCTTGAGCGAAAGATCAACGTTGTTTCGAGACTCTCCGATCTTGTGTGATATATCACTCTATCCTCCTTCATACAAGTCATTCGCAATCAAGCTGAGCTATGATGTCTGTCAAATTCATCTTTCCACAGAGCATCTGCGTGCTATATACTATCAAAGTCATTGGTCATCTATGAGAAGTTACAGCAGCAGATCTTTGAACAATTATCATGCCTCCTGTTGACATATCATGAGCATGTCCATGGGTTTATATTTGCTATCGATGAGACTCCACAGCTTCGCAGCGTCTTCCTCCTCCAATACAAGCAAGCAAGCTCGTTGAATCACAGATCAATGATTTCCTAGTGGATTCGTGACGGTTACAGCACATGTTAATTTGTTGTTCGGGTATATGTGTACCTAATCTTGCCGTGGTAAGGGCGAGTACCCAGCGTACAATTCGCGTGACCCACGGAGACCCTCGGCAGACCAACGTCCAGAATCCCCCTTTCCAAGGAAACAAGCTATGCTCACATTCGCTTTCATTCGAACCTTACACTTGCTCAAACTACCTTTCGTTCGCCGCCGGACGGTGCCCTTTTTCATTCGTTATATTTTCCTAGTTCAGCCTTTTAGCAGTAGCAGGGACCTATTCATCAGTTCCCAAGAGCAAGCGCAAACGGAAATACGTCAACTGGCTCTATCATACGAGCGGAATCCTCTGCGCTCTGAAGAGAAGAATCTCGGCATCTTCTGCCATCTCTGCTACGCTACACAGCTCGAAGTCTTCATATCTCACTCCCAACTTGAAGTGGTTCTCCTTCGACTCTACCCCTGAACACCCGTCACTCCTTTTAACCGGCATCCGTTTTCCTCGGCAGGTACCTAAACCGGGAACTGAAGATTCTGTTGGTTTCGGACGCAACGAGTCACTTATATGACCTCTCCATACTGCTCTATACTCCCTCTAGCCAGTTAATCTAGCCGTCGACTATAGTATCTTCAATAGTTCAGATAAGAGCTTCCGCCGCGTGAAGGCTACTGGAGTCATCAGGTAGCCATGGACGGTGGTAGGGAGTTCAGTGCTGTCTACTTTGAGATGATGTTGGCGCCTCTACCTGATACTCCGGATTTCCTAATTGAACCGCTTGCCTTTGTTCAACCAGCCGTTCCGGTGTTGGCACTTACATCCGGGGCTGGACCCTGCTAGTCTTAACCGCTCTTGCACAATGCAGGGGGGAATTTTATCATTGATTAAGCTATGATAAGGACACTGGGAGATCCCACAGAAATGGCTGTTCATTATGAGGTCACTGGGATGATATACGATCGATCGATATAAACCTCATGACACTATAAAGCACGATATTCCCAAGGTCGATAGCGCATATCGCCAGCTTCCCTCGTTCAGCACAAAAAACCTTCAATTTCTAGTATATCACATTCACTTACGGAAGTCACGCATATTGGCTGGTCCCGAGGCCCTTGAGCCTTAATGCGGCACCACGTTCAATCTGAGACGTGGTCTACGCTCCGACTTGCGGGAATTCAGGTCTAAACGTTAGGAACAAGCGGATATTCATCTCAACTGGCTTCTCACCAATCATCGCCAGCATGGAGAATTATACGAATGGGCCTTACAATATGTGTACGACCATCATATAGACTCCATACGACAGCGCTGAAGACCATCCTGGCGAAGAAGAGGGTTTATGTGTTCTTGACTATTACGATAAACATAGCATCGGATCTGAGCTTGCTATCAATGTCTACGAAGTCTGACGGGTAGACTTCATGAGGTGGGTTTCCTGGCTAGGCGGCAAGGTTGAACGTACCAGTCGATTTCACAGTGGTCGATTTAGGTATTCATGGGTCGTTGATTTCTTGACTGGAAGAAAAGGTGTTTACTACTTAAGGCGTATCAAACAGAAACAGGGGTAGTAATCGCCAAATAGCCTGAATAAAATGATCAGGCCTAACTTAAGATATAGTTATTGTAGGCTGTTAAGATTTTACCTTATTACAATACAAAGGAGTTTCGGGACCTCATAGAGATACTCGGTCGATTGAAAAGCGTATTGAAGGTCTTGTGGAGGATGTAGTCGAACCTAGCTGTTATGTTCCGGTTTCTATAAAGACTAAAGCTCTTGAGACCATTATGAGTGAAGGATGTAGAAAAGAACTACGTGGAATATGTAGCAAGGAATCGGACTGTAACATCCTGATGTGGAGATATGACGAGGAGCTGAGTGAGACTCTGCGTAGTTTATAAAAGATCACTAAAAGAATCAGGATTACGCGAAGAGTCATCAACGTCTTCGATATGTAATTGATGAATACTATGCGGTAAAGGGTATATTGAAGAGATTGGCTAAAGTCAACCTCCCTAACACTCGACTGGGCGCAATACTTTTGGAGCAGACGGTCCCTGAGAACTCAGTGGTCTGCTATTGACAAGTTCCTGCCTGCGAGAACGACAGTGATGTGTATTTCCTACATATACACCTGTCCCGGTACGCTCGACGCCAGAGGATTCAGGAACATTCCCTGCCCGCAGCCTCAAGGTTCCTATCTACCAGCCTTAGGTCGTCGGCGCCAGTAATAAAATGCTTGATAAATACATGTAAAGAAGATAGCGAGCGTCAGGGCTCGGCATGGCAGATCGTCCGTTCTGGCAGCTGGCTCGTTCCGGATCCTCTTGAAGATCCCCAATGGTTGTCTATTGTCTATCAGACAACAACTGCGGTGCCGTTGGCCACGGCGGTAGAAGTCGCCAGTGCAGCAGCCTTGAACCATGTTAGCTTAACCAAGTCTTCCGAACGACCTTTTGGATACGCAATCACTTACCGAGGCACTTGATGCAGCAGCGGCGACCTGTTCACATTAAGTTAGCCGAACGTTCTGAGGCTCTTGAGCTGTTAGGAACCCATAATGCTTACAGAAGCACTTGACGCGGCGGCGGCAGCCTGGCAAACACGACGTCAGTTGAGAATCCAAGCCGGCTCTCTAAGGATTAACGTACCGAAGCACTGGCGGCAGCGGCAGCGGCGGCGGCCTTAGCCTTCTTGCCCTTCTTGCCCTTCCCAGTAGCAGCCGTAGCAGCATTAGCATTTGCCGCGTTGGCATTTGCGTTGGCGTTGGCGGCCGCCGCATTGGCCGCACCGGCGTTCTTCCCCTTCCCTTTCCCTCCTGCGGCGGCGGCGGCGTTGGCACCGGCACCAGCGGCGGCTGCAGCATTACCCTTCCCTTTGCCTCCGGCAGCTCCGCCAGCATTTCCTTTGCCTTTACCACCGCCACCCTTGCCCTTACCCTGACGCTTCTCTACCTTTGTCTCATCACGAGCTCCTAGAAGACTGAGAAGGGATCCAATATCGACACCACCGTTTGCATTGGCAGCAGCATCAGCTCCGAGTTGGCCCTGGAGCTGTTAAAGAGTCAGTTCTTCCCTTCTATGCCGGATATGGAGACCAAAAGAGCTCGTTGGGGATGAAGGACAGTGCTGGGCGTTTAGTTGTATAGGAGGTTGGACAGGGTGCATCACAAGATGTAACTTACGCCTTGAAGAAGTTGCTCTAGTTGACTGCCAGATGTCGCCGCTTGAGCATCCTGAGCTTGCTGTGCAGCGTCCTGAGCGGCCTGCTTTGCCGCCTTTGCAGCGGCCTTTTTGCCCTTTTTGCCTGTGTCGGCCACTGTGCCGTTAGCGACGGCGGTAGCATTGGCAGCAGCCGCATCTTGAGCTGCTTGCTTGGCTTTCTTTCCCTTTTTCGTCGCCTGGAGATCCCAAATATCAACAAGAGCCGTTGAGATGTAGATGAGCGTGTGAGATAGGGTAGGTAGACAGTTAAGTGTCTCTATCGAAGTGCAAGGTACGTACCCCTTTTCCGGTATCTGCTACCGTGCCGTTGGCGACTACCGTAGCATTTGCTACAGCCGCCTGGTCTGCCTGCTTATTCTTTTTCTTGGGCTCGCGAGCTAGGAGTGGAGCGGGTTCGGCATCATCATAAGCTCTCACGCCGTACTGATGATCTCCATAAGGAATGGAAGCAACATATGTTGCGGAAGTTGCAAGAAGAAGGAGAATGCTTCCCAAATTCTTCATGTTGGCGGTGAGTATATGAAGGCTGGTGTTATGTACCGTTCAAAGAGAATGTGTTCGAAAGGAAAGTCTCAGAGCACAGCTAAGAGATGTTAGTACCAATGCTTAGACACAATGTGAGTGAACTGACCTCTTCGATTAGGATCAACCCAATATCAACAACGAAAGGAAGAATAGGTTCCCCAGGAACGAAGACACCAAACCAAGAATAAGCTTTGAAAGAAGGTTACCAAGACCTGGGATCATTCTCGAACAGGAATGGAGAGACCATCTTATATACCTCATGCCTCGGACTCCCGATGTGGGGGATGGTTCTGGGAAGGCCCATCCATGTTTGTCCATCCCAACAGTGACAGGATGACAACGAGGCTGAGCAAATAGTACACCATGGTCAACCTTGTTGGTCACGAATTGTCAAACAAGTTGACAGGCAAGTGGCGCTCTTGGCAAGCACTAACAGTTGAGAAGAGAAGGAACATGTAACTGGGCATGTACCACCCTCTGCCAGAACTCTGGTTGTATCAACGGTGATCATAGCGATCAAAGACGGGAGATGGCTCAGGAACCAGCTCATCACTTGCCCTTGCAGAAGACAAACAGGGGTCGCGGGGCAGGTACAAGAGACCTGGCGAGCATAGTCAGTGTATTGATGCGTTGTTAAGCGACCCGCGGCGTTTGGGTGGTTGGGAGAAACCAAACATAGTGAAAGCAAATCGTGCAATATGGCGATCAGACAAGTGTTGCTTGGTAGAGATCCTGGGTCTAGAGCTGCAGCCCGGCTTTTGTGCCTGTAGGAGCCGGGATTTCCAAAACTGCGGATCAGACACACTTCCTCCAGCCAAGACTTGGGATAAAGATAGAACACCAAGTACCGGGTGCACGTGCGTTGGCAACATTGATGTGATGTTCCAGAAAACTGGGGTAGGAAGGAGTCAAGGGATGAATCAGACTTCTAAAAAGCAAGGCAAATGTAAAAGAAACCTCTCTGTTGACACGAGACGTTTTCTATGCGCATTTGCAAGACCGAGAACCTGGAATTGAGCGCTTCATTTGAGCGCAAAGGAAAGACAGCAATCTGCGCAAATTCTCATGTTCTGTGCATGCCTATTGGTAGTCAAACGAGCTCACAAGTAGAGATGAAGTTGTCATCTTGAGACGGTTTCCAGTGGGATGGCATATCGCCAAGTTTCCAAGTCCAGTTTTCAAGGTTTAGAGTTATGGTGTTTGACCAGGTTGACAAGAGCCCAGATTCAAAGGCGCGGACCAAGCTCATTTGCTCGAGCCCATTTGTTGCTTTCTGATCAAGCTTCTACCTGACCCCTGTCGTGGGATCCAATGCCACGATTCCCCCTCATTCTCGCTAGGGAGGTCCTTGTAAGAGAGAGCACACTTTTTTGTTTCAAACCTGGAAGACAAAATCCCGTGTCTGAAGAAACGGCCTGTAGTCTAAAAGAGGAAAGGCCCGATGCAGCATGTATGTTTTGTTTTGACGCTTCTTTTTCTCTCGGTTTGCTGAGGGCTCCTTGATTGGTTTAGTGATGCGACTTGGAAAGATGAAACTCAACTGGCCGGCCAGTCTCGAAAAGCGCCATTGCGCCAGAACATGGCGAGACCACAACGGATCTTTGGCCTCCCAACTCGCGAGAAGTGTTAAGAGCATGTTGGGCAATATTTCGATTCGTAGAGCGCTCTCAAGAGCATCAGTATGCGCCAGTCAAGATTGAGATCTTCACGGGCAGAAGAGCACCGAGAATTGTGGAGTTGACCTGATACAGATGTTGTCGGACTAAGAAAGCTTGGACGAAAGCCTCGCAGAACCTCACCTGCTCAACCGTCAGCATTCGTCCGGTCAGGTAGATAATCCGATGCTTTAGGTTCTAGTGAGCATTTCAATATCGGCTCAATATTTGTGACGGGCGTTTGCTTAGGAAAAAGGAGATCAGATAGTAGTCACCTCATATACTCAATCCAATCACGATTACATCACAGCGTGTCCATGATGCCTCGCCGACCCCTCCATAGCCAGAGCCCCTTCCCTTATATGCGTGGAACATTTTTGGACTAAAGATTCTGAGCAGAATGCACCATCAATGCCTACATTGCTGACAATGCTTATGACTTCTTGTTTTACGCACCTAGGTATCGACTAGATAGACAATGGAACTGATGCCAACTTCGCAGCGTTTTTACTGTCTCGCAAGCCCAATGTTAATTGGTACATTATTTGCATTAGACATCTATCAATGGCAAGAGAGCTCGACAGCACTTGACCTGATAGACTTATGTTCATCTTATACTGCGATCGGCCGATCCCGGGGATTGTAAGTACGCAGCCCAGAAGTCTTTCAATATTAAAACTGGGCGGTTTTTCATGATTATTTCCCCTTCGCGAGCCCGAACCTCATTTCGGTACCTTTGAGGGACAAGCACTTCACGTTGAAACTATACTGGATATATCGCGACTTCCATCTGCAGGTATGGCCTCGAAGATTTCCTTCCTGCCAGTACGGACCTAATCCTTTGCTAGGGTGATGAGCGTTTATTACCAGCGTAGGAACATCCGTCTACAAGTGAATCTTGAGAGCGGCTTTGACAGCTTTGACCAGCATCTGGAAAGCTCCGCTGAAAAGCCTCTGATTGTGGTGCCTATCGACCTTCAAGAGTGGTGCTACAGTGGGGTCCTTTGCGGGGGAAACCGAGAACATGCTTAGGAAAGAGCCTGGCAGCTTCGAAAAGCCCCGCGGCTTCCTTCGGTTATCAGTTTCCCTCAGCCAGTGAGATGTCTCCGATTTCCATTCCCGAGTTCGGAAAGCACAGGGCAAGCTAAGACTACCGGGCACCTGAGCACAGCAAAAAGATCACGGAAACGTCATCTGTTTTTATGACTCCCACTCCTCTACAACTCCAACGCGCCTGGAAATCGCACTGTTTCTGGTGATACCGGATCTCTTCAATCCAAAGGTGAAGAGTCTTGCTCTATCGGCGCTGCCCAATCCAGTTCTGCGAGCTCAATTGCTCGCCAATGTTGCCTTGACCGTGCCCTCGGCTTTCATTCCAAGATGTCTGCGCCGGCTCGGGTAACAGGTCGCCTCTGTCGCACCGCAAGGTCAATAGCACGACGACAGACCTTCCGCCGCGCCGCTATAGCAGCTTGTATTCCACGGAGGACACCAGTATGGCAACGATGCAGTTCAATTGGTATCCAAAAAGTGAGGTGTTTCTCGGTATCCCGGCCGAGGATGATGGCCACTCCCGATGATTCCTTCGACCCGCAATCAATTGAGCGAGAAAGCGATCAAGTAGACGTTTGCATTGTCGGTGGAGGTACGACATCATGGACTCTCAGGACTCTGCCTGATCACTGTTACTAATCATTAACTAAATACAGGTCCTGCTGGTCTCAGCGCTGCCATTCGCCTCAAGCAATTGGCGAACGAGGCCGGCAATGAAGATTTCAGGGTGCTTCTTCTCGAAAAAGCCGGCGAACTCGGTGCACATATACTCTCGGGTGCGGTAATACAACCAAACGCAATCGAAGAGCTCATCCCCAATTGGTTGGATGAGTCCAATCCGGAACGGTTCGAATATGCGACCCCAGCTGGGAACGACAGCATGAAGTTCTTGACGAAGAGCATGGCGATCCCGATACCCGCGCCGCCGCAGATGCACAACCATGGCAACTACATCGTGTCGCTTAACCAGTTCACCAACTGGCTTGGCGCACGTGCTGAGGAAGTAGGCGTGGAAGTCTATCCCGGATTTGCGGCAAGCGAGGTGTTATACAAGCCAGATGGTTCGGTCCTGGGCGTTGCTACCAACGATCTTGGTATTGGCCGGAGCGGCAAACCAAAGGAAACCTTCGAGCGTGGTATGGAGTTCCACGCGCGCGTGACATTGTTCGCGGAGGGCTGTCACGGTAGCTTGACTAAACAGGTCATCAAAAAGTTCGACCTACGACGAGATAGTCAACCACAGACGTACGGCCTGGGTGTCAAGGAAGTCTGGGAGGTACAGCCCGAAAAGTTCAAGAAAGGACAAATCACACACTCAATGGGTTACCCACTGCCTTATGACACCTACGGCGGTGGATGGATGTACCATTTTGGGGACAATCTCGTCAGCATTGGACTGGTCGTCGCTCTGGACTATCCCAACCCGTGGATGTCCCCTTATGGCGAGTTCCAGAAGATGAAGCAACACCCGGTATATAAGAGTGTTCTGGAAGGAGGCAAGTGCATCTCTTACGGTGCCCGTGCTCTCATTGAGGGTGGCTTCCAGTCTATTCCCAAGGTTGCCTTCCCTGGTGGCGCGCTTATCGGTGACTCCGCCGGTTTTGTCAATGTGCCTAAGGTCAAGGGCACGCATAACGCGATGAAGTCCGGCATGTTGGCCGCGGAGGCTGCTTGGAAGGCTCTGTCAGATACTGATGAAGGCTCGGTGTTCTTGTATGATTACGAGGACAGTCTGCGCAAGTCCCCAATTTGGAAGGAGCTCAAGGAGGTGCGGAATATGCGACCGTCATTCCATACCTCCCTCGGCCTGTACGGCGGCATCATGTATTCAGGTCTGGAGGCATATGTTCTCAAGGGACGAGTACCCTGGACGTTCAAGCACAAGGCGGATTACGCCAGGACGAAACCGGCAGATCAGTGCAAGAAGATCGAGTACGAAAAGCCCGACGGCAAGCTCACCTTCGACATCTTGACCAGCGTGTCTCGCACGGGAACAAACCACGAAGAGGACCAGCCGGTGCACCTGCAGGTGAAGGATTGGGACAAGCATACAGAGGAGACCTGGCCAACCTTCAAGGGTGTGGAGAACAGGTTCTGCCCGGCAGGGGTTTACGAGTACGTTGAGGACTCCACAAAGCCTCACGGCGTCCGATTCCAAATCAACGCTCAGAAGTAAGTTTGATTTCCAGTCAACGCGCGAATTAATAGCCATGCTGACAATCTTGCCAGCTGCATCCATTGCAAGACCTGCGATATCAAGGCCCCGAATCAAGACATCAACTGGCAAGTCCCGCAGGGCGGAGAAGGGCCCAAGTACTATATGACGTAGAAGTTCGCGCACCTTTGTGAGGCGTAAGGTTGAGGAGTTGAGCTCTAAATCGAGGATACCAAAAAATATAGGCCTCAGGTTGAGGCGAGCATTGTATATATGGTTTGCGTCGCAGGAGCATCAGGTAGGCGACAGGAGAAAATATGATTTGATTAGTTCAACCAGTGATCTCAATCCTTGAAGGAACTGGAGGTCATAATCATCGCTCTTCCACTGTAGAAGATGGTAGTGCCTAAGCGCCTGCTAGCCCATATTAGGAAAATCGAGAACAGACTCAAGCAAACCGCCCGTTCCCTAGGTCTTCTAGAAGGTCAAGACCGTCCATGATTTTGATTCATCGCCGCCAAGGTTGAATGAGGCTCAACTGGAACTCATTCGGAAGCCTAGCTGTGGCGCGAAATGGACGCGATGGAAGCCTGTCCAGAGGCGTTCTACGATATCATTGGTCCGAGAAATAATTATATCACTACCTTAGATATCTGCATGGAGCCTGCTTTGTCGCTTTGATCGCGTTAAGCACCCGGACGCGACTGTGCGGCTTGACATACATTAGAGCAGGTGTGACGTACTGTGTGATTGGCGGGGCGTAGATGAGGTTGGTCAGATTGTGCATGGGCTTATCCATGGAAAGCCAGCTTCTGCGGCTGCCAGCTGCATTGATAAGGGTCAGCCCAGACACTCATTTGATTGTGTCACACCTTTTTACGGGTGTGTCGCAATTTACACTGTCTTGCGCAAGTTTCTACGATGGGCTCTTTTGCGACTCTTTTCACTCCCAAACATCGCTGCATAGCAGCAGATTTGTCGGCAGAAGGAGGCCTGCTGACGACATGCACTGTAAAAAGGCAACGTGTTCAAAAGCAAGCAAAGCGCTGGCTGGAATGGGCATGAGCATAAGCAGTTATGTTGTGTTGCCGGATTGTGCTTGACAATGCTGAATGAGTCATAACGCAAGGGAGATGAGGCTGGGGTGGCCAAGGGCGAGCGCGGACAGGGATGCTTGCTTTGCGAGGCCGCAAAACTCAGGCACAGACTGCTGGTACCAGTACTTCAGGAGGTCCCACCACCCCATGGAACCCCCTGCCCACCAAACCTGGCCCCCTTCAGAGACGAAAGTCGGTTGTGTGGACCTCCGACCATCTCACATGAAAGCCTGAGTGAGCGGCGGGCTGGTCCGGCCTGTCTGGTCAGCAAAGGCATGATGCGAAAATTCTAACCCCCTCGATGAGACGCTTGACGACGCTTGTGAGCACGATGTTTCGCTATGCCCTTTTATGTGAAAGAGACATAGTCTGGGAGCAGTAGAAATGACGCGCGTCGCTCGGTGTCACAACACAGATAGACGTGAGTCGACAAACAACCAGCAAGACTGAGTCGCAGACAGGCAGAGAGGCTGGATGCAAATGAGGAGTCCGTCAAACTGGGGAGGACCGAGAAGGAAGAAAAGAGAGAAATTAGGAGGAGGCGAGAACACGATGGGCGCCGTAATGAAATTAGGATTGCCGCTAGGTGTGGCCTGAGGCAGTCACGTCACTCCAGCAAATCGGGGCGAAAGCCTGGGCTGATCAGGGAGCTTATCTCCGCTGGGCGTTCCAAGCCTGCCAGGATACCGCGTCGCATGAATCGCTGGGTGTGGAGGGGATGCTCGCGCACGCAATAGTGGAGATTTGGCCGAGTAGGAGCGTTTTGGGACAATCGCTCGTATCCGTCCGCAAACAGCGTCGACATTGTCGGAATGCCCTAGGAGCAGGACCTCTCTGCTTGAATGCCCGTGAGCGAAAATAAAATGGAAGCCGACGGCGAGATAAGGGTAGCAAAGGAGTGAGACCTTGTCTTTCATAGAAAGCCAATGGTGCATTGGCGCAGCAGTGTTATTCCGTGGCTCGCGTGGTTCGGAGTCACTCCACGACGCCCATGGCTGGTTGCTCCATCAACCGTGGGTGCAGGGGAGAGTTCAGGCTGCAGCCTGGAACGGGAGGGAGCCTCGCCCGACGGCACTGCACGATGCTGGACACTCACAGTCCAGTCTGTGCCGTTGTTCAAACACTGGACTCTTGCGTTCGTTTGTCGCGCTGCTCCGTTTTGTCGCACAGGCGGCTGCTCGGTGATACTTGGCCGAGCGGAGTGACAGCTCGGGAAGCCGCGTGCCTCTGAGAAGACTCATTCGCGATGATGCATTGCGCTGTCGAGTCAATCGTGTTGCATCTTGTGCGAAGAGGCAGTCGAGGCAGTCCAAGGTTTGAAGGAGGAGGATGGTGAGGAAAGCATCAAATAGGGGCAGGAGCAACCAAGTGTTTCAGCGTGGTGGGTGGCAAGCAGCGTAGCGGGTGAGATTACGACAAAAGCGGATTGGCTGGGACGTCTGGCTGCATTGCAACGGTTTGACTGGGTGGCTGCTTTCCATTCTCTGTGCCAGTGTCAGTCAAGGCCTGAAGAGAAAGGAAAGGGCAGGGCAGGGCAAGGGGGATAACTACTGCGGTGCTGCGGTGCTGCATAGTCTGGCAGGAGGCGGCGGAGGAAGTACCGGTACATCGAGGCAGATTGCATGTCGAGCGGGATCCACGCTTTCTTCAGATTGGCCCCGAAAAGGCAAAAAGGGTTGTGGAAAAATGGAAAGTGCGATAAAAGCAGGGAAGCTGCGTGCTGTGATTGGGTGCATCCTTTTTTAGTGCCGACGCTAGTGGCAGCCGAAAAATCCAAAGAGCGAGGGTGGCCGCCCGCCAAAAGTCAGTTTTCTTGCCTGAGGTTGTGCCGCAAGCGTTGAGGGGGAAAATTATAAGAAGACCGCCCTCCCCTCAACCCGCCTGTTTCGAAAATTCTCGCGCGGAAGTCCCGACCGGCCCTACGTATTTGCTACCTCACTACGTTTGGCCTACTTTTTCTATTACCCACACCACACACACACACACACCTCCACCCCTCACCGAAACCACATCGTCACCATCCTCACCCATCCACATCATCACACGGCAGCATCGTCGTCGATCGATATTTCTCTCTTGTCTCTGTGCGTTTGGTGTGCGCACGTCACTCCCACTTATTTCCTCTTGTTGGCGAAAGACATCGCGTCTACCGTCAAAGGATCTGCAGATCAGGTCGTCGCATCCGCCCGACTTGAATATCCTTTGTCGCTGCTCGGCTGTTTTTTAGTCTCTAGAGACACACAATAAGCCAGGACATTGCACAGGTCACAGTGCTGTGTAAAGACAACTCGTCAATAGAAAACTAAACAAAAGAGACCCTCATTTTACGTTGCTATTGAATTTGGGAGAGGTCCGAGTCGAGTATTACGTCACTCACCGGTCTGCAACAAGACGCATCTTCGTCGCCGTCGATTCATCTTTCGAGAGCTTCACACCTCTGACAAGTGCTGCCTCTGATTCCGAGCGCGCGCGAGTCCGACGACGAAAACCCGCGATCCTACGCAGTCACTGTCGAGAACCAAATACGCCGACTCCGGTTTACCGATCCTCCTTGCGCGGTTGGTTTGCGATCGAAACATCCAAACCAGAACCATCCGTTTGTGTCGTGAGCAGTCGCTGTAGGGGAGACATTCACTTGTTCATCTCCCACATTTGGTACGGTCCTCCCGCCTCCTCGCCCGCCACCCAGAAAATAAATCGTAGTTTTGCCCCACCTCCACACTCTTCCTCCTACAACAACTTCCCTCGCCTTCATATTTTCCTTCCCTTTATCACGAAAGCAGAGCGCAAGCAGCGTCATCAACCAGAATCTGGCTATATTCGAGGAGCTTTCTAACAAGAGTTGCGCTCACAGATCTGCTCGAGTATCTTCATACTCTCGGTCATCTTACGTCAATATCACTGCCAAGATGGATCAAATTCAGACCCATCCCTCGACCGCGGCGCAGGCCAAGGCGTTCACTGCACCCGGATCCCTTTCGTTCCCTGGCGGCCATGGCGAGCTCACTCCTCCCTCGGACTCGTTGGACAAGATGAACATGGGGCGGTCTGGAGTGAACGGCGGTCCCGCAGGTCCTCAGGCGCCTAATGGCACCGGGGTGACACCCGCGACTCCTGCTGCGACCCCTGCTGCTACTACTCAGGGAGGAAGTGGTTTGACGCCCACCTTGCAGTATGTATAACCTCGTCTCTGAGAATGTGATGACTTTTGAGGCTTATCCCGCCATCAAGGAACATCGTCGCCACTGTCAATCTCGATTGCCGTCTGGACCTCAAGACGATTGCCCTGCATGCGAGAAACGCTGAATACAACCCGAAGGTATGCTGACTTCCCTGCATCTCACTTTACCCTCACATGGTATTGACATTGCTAGCGTTTCGCGGCCGTCATCATGCGTATCCGTGAGCCAAAGACTACAGCCTTGATCTTCGCCTCTGGCAAGATGGTTGTGACTGGTGCAAAGTCTGAGGACGACTCGAAGCTTGCTTCGCGCAAGTACGCTCGAATCATCCAAAAGCTCGGCTTCAACGCCAAGTTCACAGACTTCAAGATCCAGAATATCGTCGGTTCTTGTGACATCAAGTTCCCGATTCGTCTCGAGGGTTTGGCTTCCCGCCATCACAACTTCAGCTCCTACGAGCCTGAGTTGTTCCCCGGTCTCATCTACCGCATGATCAAGCCCAAGATTGTGCTTCTGATCTTCGTCAGCGGCAAGATCGTCTTGACTGGTGCCAAGGTCCGCGAGGAAATCTACCAGGCATTCGAGATGATCTATCCCGTCTTGCAAGGTCAGTTCTTGAATTCTTACATTGCTGTTTGTCTTCTTTGTGCTAATCGAGCCTAGATTTCCGCAAGGTCTAAAAGCCTGGCATTCATTGCAAATCACATCTCCAGCTCTGCTTGTACGACTAGATATTTCACGACATCACGACCCCTCGTACCAGTGCCTTCGACGGATACCCAACTCGTGTTTACGAGTCCGTCGAGGTTCATCTTTCTAACTGTACCATTCTTGATTTTCATGCATTGCACCGGCGTTCACGAGGGGAGGATTACATTGGACCGGATTACACGTGGTTTTAAGCGGACAAAAGGACCCCAACATTTACACATCCCCACCATCTGGAAGAACATAGATTGCACATCGCATTCCTCGATGGCATGTGCACGACGGCAGGTGCGCAGGTCGAGATTGCCGTCTTAATTCTTGCGGGCCTGAGATATGGTCGCGCGGAGGCGGATGCTTTTTGCAGCGGTAGAGCATTTGAGGCAGTGAGACTGTGACAGTACCTATTTCGGCCTGACCTCGTAGCTTCGTGGTTTGGTTCGTTGGACTGGCCTTCACAGTGGGGTAATCGCTCGTGTTGTTACAGACAACAGACGCTCTTCCTGCCGTTTGGCATAGAGCATGATGGCAGCATTTCAGTCATCTATAGCCTCAATTAGGTTGACTTATCATCAGGGAAGCCTCTCAACTTTCCTGTCTTGATCCTTCGATCATTACGTTAGCCTCAGCTTCTAGTAAATGAAATGCAAGTCATGATGCACAAACCTTGAGCCTCTTCTTCTGTCTTGTGACACAATGTCTTTCGACGTAGTCTTCCCATCTCTTCCTGCAGTATCAACCCAGGTTTGCCGCCACGGCTGCCATCCTCTGTAATCACCGCATCCCAACCTGTGAAAGTACCAGATGTCTTCCAAGACCACTTGGTCTTGAACTCCGACGGGCACTCGCCCTTGATACAGTCCACAATCTTCTCGCCTATGACGGGCAGGAACTTGAAGCCATGCCCACTGCCGCCAGTCGCCAGGAAGAGACCGCGCCAATGCGGATGGTAGTCCACGATGAAATCGCCGCTGGGCGTATCTGTGTACCAGCACAGGCGGGTCTTGGTGAAGGGACGGCCCTTGAGCGACGGCAATGGGACCATGGCATGAACGGCGGAGCGAAGGAGCTCTTCGGCTGCGGGCGGGATGGACAGATCCGGCTGGTCGACGTGTGTGACGGGCAGCGAGACGGTATTGTTTGTGTGTCCGGTAGAATCACCTTGCGATGGCCGAAGTGGGGATGTCACGGTCGTGGTCGGGTTGAGGTAGCCATAGGCGTGCCGGGCGACCTTGAGGACGTTGTGTGAAGGAGTGATAATGAACAGACCTGAGCTGAGATTCAGCAGGGTAGGCATCTTGGCGAGCTGAGCTTGTTCCTCGTCGGTCAGATCCATGTAAGCAAGAACCTGACCGGTGGCGGTTGCTTGACCCGAGAGGTCAATTAAAGAGCCAGTCCAGGCACCTGTAGCAAGAACAACCAGATCCGCGGAGATGGTCTGGGATGTGGATAGTACCGCGCCGGTGACGGTTTCGCCGGCATGCACAAGCGATGTGACGGTCCCGTTAATGAAATGGACACGACCTGTAGACACAACGCGCTGATACAGCCATGCCATGCTGGCTTCTGCGTCTGCCCAGCCGCTGGACGCGTTCAGGTAGCCCCAGGAGCCAGAACTACCGCCAGTGCCCACAGCATCACGGATAGCTTCACTGCTAGGCAACTCACGAATGCTGGTAGCCACCTCGGCATCCCCGCTTTGAGCTATGGCCTTGACGTTCTCCCAGCTGGCACGGACATAGTACATGCCCGTTTTCTTGCCGGGCTGGGCATCCACTGGAGGCAAGTCACCAGCCTGTCCGGTCCCGCCATCGACGGCATCCGCGGTGGGAGGCTCATCGGCGACAAGGACGAGGCCGGTCTCGCTGTAGCGCCCCTGGCCGCCTAGGTCATCATCTCCCTGCTTCCGCCACTGGACCAGTGCCTCCGCGGCGAGGTGGGCGTAGGCCGGGTCCGCATAGTCAGCGCGGATGATACGACTGGTGTCGATGCTGGACGCGTCCCTGCTGGGAAAGACGGCCGGCTCTGCAGAGCGGTCGACGACGGTGATGGAGGAGTTGACGAAGTCTGGGCGTTGAGCAAGGGCATATGCTGTGCTCAGGCCGAAGACGCCAGAGCCGATGATGAGGATTGTGGAAGGGGGTGAGAAGGGAAGTTTGGTAGAAGAGGGGAAAGAGGAAGAGGAGAAGTTTGAGTTTGGGTTTGAGTTTTGATTTGGCTGGGACATTTTGTAGGATGCTCGGCAGTGTTGGAGTCTGACGCGGTATGTCATCTGTGGCGGGTGTGACCGCGCGACCAGCTAGCTGTTCGGGCCTACCCTCTTCAGTGTCTTCACGCGCACTCTTGGAGGCACTGAGAGACACTTCACCAGCGACTCTCGGTGCTGGTTGGCCGGATGGAAATTGGCGCCTTCGCACCTCTTCAAGCTCCAAGGCGGGTTTGTATTAGGTGTCTCAGCTGCTGGAATGAAAGGAATGAAAGGTGCGGCCCAGGCACGATTCTCGCTGGCTCTGGCTGCTTAGCTTTGACTCAAAGGAAAAGGGGAGAAAGGTCTAGATAACGATTTAACCACGCAAGAAGCGATCTCAAAGCGCTCATATGGGGACTCTTAATCTGAACTGACCCACCACACGCCGCCGCCGATAATTGCTCGTCTATGGCCAGCGCAGCTTAACGGCAGAGTGGGTTGACGCCTTGCATCAACTAAGGGGGCAGCGAGCAAGGGCGTATATTGCACATGGAAATATCGCGAGATATGCAGCTTTCAGATCACAGCTTATAATCTCAGGAGAGTCTTGGCAGCCTGATGGCACTTCATTGAGAGACGTGTTGCTGTTGCTGGTGCGAATGACTCTCTCTACAAGAATTGGTTTCAAATATAGCTCCAACATGTTTGAGAAGAAGAGGGAATCCGATAAATTGTTTCTTGAGTCTGGCTCTTCAACGTTGATAATAATTTGGATCACCCAACGATTCTGTGTAATTGGAGAGTCTGGTGAGGGAATGTGCTCTAGACTCTAGTAGAAAGGTAGCTCTGAGATGATGCTAAGGCACCCCGCGTTGGTCCTTGCGCCGTAGAGAGAAGCTTGCCGCAGCCTCATCCTAAAATGGCAGTGTGTCGAGCCTCACCTCGGAACCTCACCTAAAATCCTCCACGTGTCGCATCACCAGAACAGTAACCCTAAGCACCAATACACACGCATCAGATTGGGATATGCGCGAGGATCTATACTAATAGAACCCTACACCTACTCCTTCGTGACCACAACCGCAAGACGCATCTGATCTACAGTCTTGCAACCGGGAGGATCCGAGTCGAGCCTTGCCAGTCATGAGCTAACCTGCCTATCATGTCGTCCTCGAAACAAATCGCCGAGTTCCCAAACGTCGAGGCCAAGCTGCAGAAGCCGACGAAGCAGTCTGCCTACGAGCGCCAGAAGGCCGAGGCCGAAGCAAAGCGCCAGAGAGAAGCCGCCGAGACCGCGGCTGTCTACGAGGATTTCGTGAAAAGTTTCGACCATGATGAAGATGACGGAGATGGTGGCTTATACGGCGGTCGCTCACAGCAGAGATTATACAATGATGAGCCTGCGCAGAGGCTTGGTGCCTTCGGTGGACAGCCTGGCGGGGGGTCTGGAAGGAGACATTTCGGAATATCCTCAGGATCTTCGGGTTTGAAGAGTGGACCGGGAAGTTTGGGACCGCCGCCATCAAGTTTCAACAAGAAGAGAACATTCGACGGGTTCCAGTCAGGAATAAGAAGGGATCGGGAAGATGTGGGAGGTCGACTTGGATACGATGACCACGACTCGAGCTCTCTCTCCGTGTCTAAGGCGTTCAACGCAAGCGATGACGAAGACGAGCAAACGGCAGTCGGCAGGGCAGAGGAAAAAGCTATAGCCAAGCCAACCTTGCGGCTCTCAAATCTACCGCCTGGAACATCGCCAGCCGTCGTCAAGTCTTTGATCCCCTCGAATTTGACGGTTGAAGGCGTAAAGGTTCTTCCGCCTGCAGTCCTAGTCGGAAACGAGCGCAAGTCCATTGCAGCAATTGTCACACTATCCAAGGAGACTGCTGCTACAGAGATTGACGCTGCTGTCAGTGCACTACAAAATAGGTACCTCGGCTTTGGTTTCTATCTGTCACTGCATAGACACCTGTCTTCTGCTGCTATCTCTTCCAGCAACCTTACAAGTCTTACTTCCTCTACAGCGACCTCGCAGCCATTTGGTGCGAAGCCTGTGGCTCAAGCTCCTGGTGGGCCTGGGGGTCCCGGCGGCCCGGGTAACTTTGGACCAGGACGATTCGCTCCCCCAACATCATATGGGCCAGGTCCTGGAGGCCCGATGAACCGGAGCACCCTATTGCATGTCCCTATTCAGCCTCCTAGAGATATCAAACAGTTACGAATGATTCACAAAGTCATTGAATCAATACTTGAGCATGGTCCTGAGTTTGAGGCTCTCCTGATGTCTCGGCCAGATGTTCAGCGCCAGGAGAAGTGGGCTTGGATCTGGGACGCAAGAAGCCAAGGTGGCATTTGGTATCGCTATCGATTATGGGAGATCATCACCGGATTGCAAACGAAGCGCAGCCAAGCCAAATACCTTCCCCTCTTCGAAGGAAGCCATGCTTGGAAAGTCCCGGAGCAACCACTACCGTACGAGTATGCAACTGGCGTCCATGAGTTTGTCTCCGACTCAGAATACAATTCATCGGACGATGATGAGTACGATGATGAACCCAATAAGCATGGAGAGCCTGTCCCCGGCGCCAAGGAACCTGAAGAGATGTTCCTGAATCCAATCGAAAAGGCCAAAATCGTGCACTTATTGGCCCGTCTACCAACTACCCTTGCGAAGATCCGCAAGGGGGATATCGCGAGGATCACTACATTTGCCATCACTCATGCCAGCCGCGGCGCTGATGAAATTGTGGACACAATCGTTTCAAACATCGAGCGTCCACTTGCCTACACCTCGGCAAACCCTGATTACAAAGGAGACAAAGAGGACCAGGAGGACGAGTCACCAGCGCCAGAAGACAAACCCACGAGTGACGCTGTTGATAATAGTGCTGCCACACTCTTGGGCCTTTATGTTGTGAGCGATATTCTGTCATCCTCCTCTACCAGTGGAATTCGGCACGCATGGCGTTACCGGCAGCTGTTCGAAAGTGCTCTGCGAAACCGTAAGGTCTTTGAGAACTTGGGCTTGATGGCTGAGAAGATGAACTGGGGTCGCCTCCGTGCTGAAAAGTGGAAGCGCAGTGTCGGCCTGATACTAAGTCTCTGGGAGGGCTGGTGTGTCTTCCCTAATGATACGCAGGAAGCCTTCGTCAACAGCTTTGAGCACCCGCCGTCTCAGAAGAAGGAAGAAGTGGCTGAAGACGAGCCCAAAAAGGGTGGCGGCAGATGGAAGACTGTCGATGCAGCACCAGCATTGCCCATTAAAGATTCCGGCTTCCGTCCGGTTGCTGCTGACGCGTCTGGTACACCGGAACTGGAGGACAATGAAGATTACGAGGAGTACCTAGACGATGAAGACGAGGACGATGAGCTTCTAGATCAGTTTGATATTGACGGGGAGTCTCTGCTGGAAATTGATATTGTGGGTCTGTCGGTAGGAGAAGATACTGAGATGGGCGGAACAGAGGGAGATACAAAAGCCATAGTAGTGAAAGCGGCGGGCGGGTTGCAGGTGGGCTCGTCGTCGACCGCACCGTCTCGGAAGCGGCTACGTGCTGCGGACATGTTTGCGGACTCAGACTCGGGAGGAGACTAGCGACTGCTGTTGGACGGGATATTCCCTAGAGCCATGTATTTTATATGTAGCACGAGCGAGAAAGATACCATGGATCACGAGCAAAATCGGGACCGAGATGTTGGACAGCATAAAGGTTGCACCTCTTGTCCAGGGGTTCGACCACCTGCACGGCGGCGCATATAAGTGTGAGGTGGAGGGAGGGGAGAGATAAGATTAGATCTGCCAAGAGATCTGTCCAATGCACGTCACAGGCCTACCTTAATTAACAGGCCGCTCCAGAATACACCTCGTCCGTCGTCACAGAGGACCAAACTGCACGAGTAAAGCAAATCCTAGTGAGTTCGTCTTCAATTCGTCTTCTATGTTGGCGTTTTTGAGTAGGAGAGTCTCTCAAATCCAAAGGTGTCACTCGAAACTGGTGTGTCCTCGCGATTGAACTTTGTGCGACATCCAATACGGCGCCGAGCACATCTGCAATAGTTGAAAATCGCCTCGTGGCTCAGCGACAAGATACTTTCAACAAGACCTAGACTTTGGACTGGTGCTGATGCCTGCGCATATACGAGAATGGTGTTCTCCGTAATAAAGCCTGACGTATGACCCTGCCATTTCGCAGTTGAGTGCGTGATGAGCCTGTGCGCAACCCCCCTATACCAATATGAAAAGGTAACGTTAGGCTTAGGTAAGGTCGAGGATGACCAGTCTGGCGAGCCGCGCGAGGGGCTTCCCAAGCTTGTCAGGATTTGCACCTTCCAGAATCCACGCCCCCCCTGAGACCGGGCGGCCAGCCAATGGAAACTTGCTCAAAGCATCCGACCACACCGCACCCCACCAGCCCACTTCGGCCTTCTATTCGATCACGTCTCCTGCACAATCCACTAACACGCCCGCCGCCGCTGCTTGCTTCTCGGTTCAAGGTTCCATATCCAGGACCAGGGCCCTGCTTGTACGAGTAAATGCTGCGTTGGAGAATGCAAACTGCAATCGCCTGTCCTTGAATCACGGGAAAGGCCTTGACAATCAATCGGCTCGCTGCCCGCAGCCTTCTCCCAAGCTCAAGCTAGACTAAGGCCGGTCCCGTCTTAGAGCAGAGTACAGGGACGAAGCCGCCGTCGACCCCCATCCATCTTCTCCGTCTCCGGCAAGGACTCAACGGGGGGCGCCTGGCTCGGTTACATCAACCTTGGAAGACACCAACAGGATCAGTCCAGACCACACAAGACATTCTGGAAGACAAGACGGTCGCTGACCGCTGAGAGAACGCTGACCACCGCGCGCGCTGACCCGGCATCCCCTTTGCGGCTCCCGCCAATCTCTAGTCATGACCTGATCGTCTCGTCTGCTCTCCGTTTCCTCACTCTTGCACCATTTACGCTCCTCTCTGTTGCTCTTGCCTTTGTGGACCGTGCCTGCCCAGGTACATCCCGGATCTCAAGCAGGATCGTCTTTCCAGGCTTGACTGGCCTACAGGTTGACATCTCCATCGTTACTGCGCCAGGGACTTGCACGTGGCTGCCATCGTTACAGGCCAAGACTTCCCATTTCCTAACCCTGAAGACGGTCCAGATTGAACCTCCTCCGTGGTCTATTGTATTGGTCATCCAACACTCTTCGATTGTCGACGCCTGACTTGCCATCGCCTCGCGCGGGTCACGTCCTGGGCATTGCAGCATTTGCCTTCTGGAGCCTCGTGCTCATTCTGCACTCATTGTCCACTACATCGACCTTTCTTTTGCTCATCAATGTTATCTTGTCAGGAGATAGTGTAGCAGGGGATTTCATTAAATCCTCAGTCTGACTTTGGGCGGTTGGACGTTCTGCGGCGCTTACCCGTCCAGCCCCCAGGCCGCATCAAGCTTACTTGCTTTCAACTTGAGGACTTTGCCTGACGGAATCGAACACCAAAGCTTTCAATCAATCATTTCCGTCGAATCTTAGACCGCGGGCAGGGTCTTACCTAGGCTGGCCTTTTACTCCTCAAAGCTTGGTTTGATAGTCTCCTGGCTCTTACCCGTTGGCTCGGAATCATACCCCGATCTGCAGCGAGGGTGGGCTTCTGCCGCTGTGCAATCTACACCCCGCGTATCAGATCTGCAGTATCAGCCGAGAGGCTCTTATCTCGCATCAACAACAACGGACAATCGTATGGTGTCTCATCTTGCTCTCTTTACTTCGTCAAAATGCCTTTAATAAACGGTCAAAAGATGGCCTGGTAAGTTCTCTCCCAGCAACCCACCGCCTACATGTTCGGCCTCCACCCTTACTCCTAAGCTTCCAACTGTTCCTACCCGGTGGAGGCCATGTCGACGGATCATGGCCCTGCATGTCCCCCAAAAGACTTGTACTATCTCATAGACTATCCAATCCTCTGTCTCCTTCTCATACTAACTCGAGTTCTCTGTCTAGCGAGCCATGCATTCGTGGACATCGTTCTACCAAATGCACTCATGCAAACGAGCGCTTAATGGTGCCAGTACGCAAGCCTGGTAGACCTTTGAGCACATGCCCTCACCCGCCGAATCGAGCTTGTGGATGTGGTAGTGTAACGGCTGCCCTGCCCAGAAAGCAGAAATGCGGGTGTGGTACAGACAATGCAGCTGAAGCTCCTTCACCTACACAAACTGATCCAGTCCCAAATGATGCCCCGGTTTCACCGACGAGAGGCGCTCCGGGGAATTTCCGCATCCAAAAACCTCCCTCCACTTCGAAGCAGACCACCCGCAAGCAGTCATTCGATCCGGCTACGCTACATAGAGTTGATCCTCGATCAATGAACGTCATGGGTGGATATCTTGGCTTCAATGCCGTCAACGCGTCTATGGGAGGCAACGGAATCATACCAACCGTCCAACCAAACGGACTGCCGCTCAACTATGTCTCAAATCTACCCCAGGCCCTTGATGGTCTTGCCCATCCCAGCTACAATGGTCATCTGGCATATCCCGCAAATCAGCAACTGTTCAACCAGCAGCCTCTCTCTTCAGTGATACCAAAGGAAGAGCCGATGACCCCGCAATTGACGAATGGGCACATAGACGTGAAGGTGGCATCTCCTCCTTTAGTCGCACAAACGGCCATCGGCCGTGGCTCCTGTTGCTCTCAGCCTGTAACGACCGACCACTCACGACATACACCATCTTCTAGCGAAGGGTCGATCAAGGACAGCAGCTCAGTCGTTCAAAAGAGCTCGTGTTGCTCTTCCGAAGACACATCCCCTGAGAATAGTGTCATTGCAGCTCCGTTGCAACAACCGATCAAACCTCCTCCTGCAATTGGCTTACCGATCTTTCAACAGCCGCTAGGGGCTACTCAAATGTATCCCGCATTTCTGCAACAAGAGCAAACAGTCTACACATATCCGGCACCTTATGGGTCTTTTCAGCAACCTCTCCAACCGTCTCAATACCCTTTCGCAGTCTCTATATCATCTTATGGACAGCCAATGACGCCTGGTGCCGTACCTGTGGTACACCCTGCGCCTTTCAGGACCAATGGAACTTCCAATGGCTTGGGTACTTCTCACGTCTGCACATGCGGCGACGCATGTAACTGCGTAGGCTGTCCTGCCCATCCATACAACAATGCCACTCAAGAATACGTCCGCTCGGCAATGAACTTCATGTTGGCAGAGACCGGAAATTACGAGCCTCAGAGCGCCACCTTCCCAAGCGAATCGGCCAGCTCCAGCAACACGGTTAAGGCATCATGCTGTGGGGGTTCAGGTGGGGAGGTCGCCCCTTCGCCGCCCGCGGCGCAGACACCATCCGATACAGCATCTGCTCTTAGTGAGGAGCAAACTCTTTCGGCTAGCGACTTCTTCTTCGTCGATTATCACGGCTTTAGCGGAGAGTGTGGCGGAGACACGGCCACCTGCCCGTGTGGAGATGACTGCAAGTGCCTAGGTTGTTCAATTCACAATCAACCACCGGCTTGATATCTTTGATAGTATGGAGAAGGCCTCGACAACGGCAAGACGGTAGAACATGCTGACTGTCAAGGATGGTTAGCTTCGAATATAGTGCCTCTTCCGCTACATTATCAGCATGGAAGAGCAGCACGCACTTAACGCATTTTGACGCATCGATATGTATGAAATGGGCATCAAAAGCAACATCAAGCTATCCGACTTCATTGTAGATACGGAAATATGGGGTGATATAATATTGATAGCCGGGACATCAGGTACCCGCTATCAAGGCAATGGGTAATGGAATGGTCAACGAGCTTGCATCTTAGATATGGCTTATGAACAATGATACCCGAGTCGTGACGTCAGATCACCGCATGTTATAGGCGGCAAAAAGCCTTCTTCATTTTCAGCATGTTACTTCACGCTTTATGCTGTTTACTCTAGGTCGATATAGAAGTCTAATAAAACTTCACATTTTAGAGTACGTCAGAATCGCCGCCGGCGCACGCTATCGTCATTGAGCTTGGGTGAACAAATCGGGAATATGAGTGTCAACGGCTTGTGTGGTTTGTTCTTATTAACCTTGAATAATAAGATTTTAAGATAGGCTCCAGTTGTTGGTAGGATAAGAGTGAGCCGGCATGGACTTGGAAACAGGGAATGCAGTTAGCCGGTCGATCTCTTGATGATCGAACAAGAATACAACAACAAGGCTCTTCTCCATCACGGTGCGGAGACGAGTTGCTCGATTTGCCGGTGACAAATATTTCTCTTAGTGGTTTGTCTAGATATGTAGATGCTTCCCATTTTTTCGTCTTCCCTCAATAAACTGACTCATCTACCCATATGTTTACTTTGCGTTGGGGCTGCCGAGCTGCTCTTTATCGTGGGTAATCTGGGGTTGGCGTTGCTGGTGCAGAGCTGCGTGCAATCTACCAAAATCCTCCGACAATCTCTACTTTGTCTCTTTTGTCGCCTACCTTCACGCCTGAGCGGGACCTTCATCCAAGACTCGAGGAATCCAGCCTCTTCCAATTCGAGGTGAGCTACCTTAGCAGCTTGTGTGGTGAAGTGTTCGGGCTCACACGAAGGCAGTCTAGGTTGAACAGAGCTAATGGGGCGCTTGGCCTACCTAGGTATATCCATATCCGGCGGGAGATTTTTTAGCGTCTAGGGGGAAGGGCCAAGGAGCCTATTGGGTGCCCCATCGCCCCCAAGGCTAAAACAATTCTCAAACGGCCGCCCCGTCGCCGATGTCACACTTCTCAAACCGCGAACTACACCACCATCCGGAAAACGAGGGCACGGGCGACGGCCGCTGAGACTTAGGCAAGGAGACCTAGACTTCTTGCGGGAGGCTGCTTGAAACGAAACAAACACCGGGTGTGCGTGCAGGACGTTCCGACTCGGAGGTTTATCACGCTCCTTGCTTAACTATCCCCGAGGCGGAACCTGGTGGGGTTCCGGTGTGTGATGTCTGCGCCACAGACCACCATGGCTGGTGGTGAGATGCGCCACGCCGAGAGATGGGTTGAACGCCCGTTCGAGTCCCATCCTCGGCATGGGCATCGACAGTCGAGGTCGAGGTCGAGGTCACCTGCACGGAGAGAAAGAGCCGGCCATGGCAGGCGTAGGTCTGGGTCCCCAGGACGTAGGCACGCCTGTGCCGAGAACGACCAGCATCATTACGGGCCGAACTATGATCGCGGTCACGGCAGGATAGACAGGCATCGTAGCCGCAGTCGAGACCGGTCGCCGCGCCGTAGACATCGGCACGGTGCCCATCCGGAGAGCAATAGCGCTGTCGCTGCCTCTCGGCACGATGTCTCGGAGCCCTCGGCCACGCTACCCGCCAGAAGCGAGAATCACTCCCGCACACGGTCGCATTCTTCTCACCACAGCCGCCGACGTCGTCGGCGATCGTCAACCCGCTCGCATCTGTCCGCCAGCCCGGATGGCGGGCTACCGTACGGCGCGCGGACGCTCTCGCGGTGGGACTTTGCCGCGTTCGAGCCGCTGTTTGCGCACTACCTCGAGGTGCACAAGCAGCGGCAGATCGCGACGATGGACGAGCACGAGGTGCGCGGGCGATGGAAGAGCTTTGTCGGCAAGTGGAACCGCGGCGAACTGGCCGAGGGGTGGTATGAGCCGGAGATGTTCTTGCGGGTCGTCCGCATGCGTGCGATGGAGGGTGAGAGTGCCGGGCCTGGCGGTGGCCCTACCTCGGGCGGGAGGGTCGCGGGGCTAGGGGGACAGCAAACCATGATTTTGACGCCGCCTATGAGTGGCAGGAGTGTGCCTGAGAGTGTTGCTATGACGGCGGTGACGGAGCAGGAGGAGAGCGATGATGACGACGACGATGATGGCTATGGGCCACCTCCGCCCCCTGGTCAGCAAAATGCTACGTCCGCCGCCAGGCATGGGCCGAATGTTCCTAGCATGCAAGACCTCGACCTGCGGCGGGAATTGGAGGAGTCGTCACGTCAGGACCAGATCGACGGGCTTCGGCTTGCGCGCAAGGCCGACCGCGCCGAGCAGAAGGAGCGGTTGGACGAGCTCGTCCCTCGTGCGGAAGCCGGGACGCGCGAGCGACAGCTGGAGAAGAAGCGCGCTCTCAACGAGAAACTGCGAGGTTTCCGGGACAAGTCGCCCGGCGGTGACGCCGAGGTTGGCGACAGAGAGCTCATTGGCGGAGAGGGTGACAGCGTTGACGATTACAAAATGATGCTTGCCACAATGCAAAGGCGCAAGACAGAGCGCGAGATCCGCAGGGAGGAGATGATCAGAGCGCGGCAAGCCGAGAGGGAGGAGCGTCTTCGTGAGTATAGAGAGCGAGAAGAGCTCCAGATGGCGGGTCTGAAAGAGTTGGCTAGGCAAAGGTTTGGATAGATCCTTGAATGGCTGGGCCGTATATAGGGGTTGTTGTTCCTTGCATGAGCATCAGTTCAGCGTCGGCGTCTTGGGCGGATACAGGTTGACTTTAGTATATCAGGCATCTTTCATTTCCTCTTTATATATACATTCTACGTGCACATATCTCTTTCTTCTAAAATTAATAGAATACATAACCACCAAGACATCCAGCTATCTCATTGTGGTGTTAGTGATCGCTCCAATTTTTACTCGCTCGTGATTGGCTAGCGCAACCTCAAAATTCGTTAGATTCCAGACTTCATCTTCAACAGATTCGTCTTCAACGTTAAACAACAATCTAGCCGCGCGATCTGGAGAAGCCAGAAATATCGAGGGAATGGGATCAGACACAGAGATTGATGATGGTACAGGAGGTCTCTTCGACGAGCCAGAGGGGTACTATCCTCCGACCCCTCCACCAACCACACAGACTCATACCATGCTCAATGGAAAGACCATCCAGCTCCACCTGGTCGGCCATAGCTCTCTAGAGGCACATCATCTCTGGAACGGGAGCCGTATCATTTCGGACTACTTTGAGAGCAATCCGTCTGAGATAAAAGACAAGACCGTGCTCGAACTCGGCGCCGGCGCGGGATTGCCCAGCATAGTCGCTGCCGTGCTCGGCGCAAGGAGAGTAGTCGTCACGGACTACCCTGATCCAGATCTAGTAGTCAACATGTGGAAGAATATCGACGAGTGCGATTTACTTCCCTGGACTGAGAGCGATGGCGAGAGGAAGCAGGATGTCATAGTGGCCGACGGCTACGTCTGGGGTGCCGACCCCAAACCGCTGGTCGCGCACCTCTCGGAGCCAGAGCAGGGCTTCGATGTCCTAATCCTAGCGGACCTCCTCTTCCGCCACTCGGAGCACGGCAATATGCTGTCCAGTGTGGCCGCCACCTTACGGCGGAACAACCAGAGCAAAGCCTTCGTATTCTTTACTTCATATCGGCCGTGGTTGCAGCATAAGGATCTGGCGTTCTTCGACCTTGCAAGAGAGCGCGGCTTTGAGATTGAGAAGATCCTTGAGAAGAAGATGGACAAGGCCATGTTTGAGAATGACCCTGGTGACGAGGATGTACGGAAGACTTGTACTGGGTTTGTTCTACAATGGCCAGCAGGGAAGTGGGACACATGAAAAGGACGAGCATGAGCTGGTTATGCGAATAGCATACTTTGGACATGCCATTATTCGAGCGCCAGTTCTCATTCAACCCTTCGCCCGCGCCTATCACAGATGGGTCGACCTAAAGGCATCAGGGAGTTATATGACATCTTTCTACTTATCAATATACCCTTACCCGACAACATTCTCTTTAAATATCCCTACGCTCATCATCATTATACGTTACTGCATGCACCATTATCCCCGTGATCCATTCGCAAACCGACCTACGGGACCTGGATCACTGCAGTCCGCACGCCACATGGTAGATCGTGCTTTCGTCCACTCGCCATCAAATTCGTCCAGAATTGGCCCCATCATCTACTTATTCCGACGTCCATCCCTCTGCGAGCCGCGCTGTGTGGTCAATAGGGAAGCCGTTAGACCCGGGGCGATTTAAGGCACTGCATTGATTTCGTGCCGATTACTTTCCAGCATTGACTCAAAGTATCGACTTCAGCATTAGGCTTAAGTACCGATCGAGCGACCTGAAAATGCTTTCGTTGGTGGCACCTGTAGCAGGAACAATCTCCGTACTGCTGCCATCGCAGGGCATATTCTTCAGGCCGCCTTGATAGGCTCGACGTATTGACTAGAAAGTTGGCTGGTATACGCTGGCGGTTCTATTCCAGGTCTGAAGCCATCGGTGATGATGAATTGATTTGCATCATATGATGAGCTAGTGGACGTGGACCATCGCCTTGCAGCTGCAGGAACACCACCAACACTTCGAATAGACTCCCCATCGCTAGCCAAGGTCGTCGCCTCCCAGGATGTCACAGAACTATTGTCATGAACGCCGAATCGACTGCTACGGACGGATTGCGCCCTGCTATTGTCGTATAGGTGCTCAGAGGAGGTGACCGATCCTTGTAGCGGTGATGGACTTCGACTCAAGTCTGTGTCTAGCCTTAAAGACGGAGGCGTGATGTAGTCGTCAACACCTGGCTCGGGAATCTCTGGTATGGTCTCCTCTATATGTCCGGGTACATTCACCTTCTCGTTGTCAACCGATGCAGGTTTTTGCTGCTGAATGTATAGCACGGTGAATAGTATCGTGAAGGTGTATGAGAATCTGCCACTGTTAGATATCTCAGAATTAAACGCATGCCTTGACCTCTTACATAGCTATGACGGACAGTCCATATACCGCTCGTGGAAAGTTGCAGAATTTGTCGAGTTCACCGATGTTGTCACGGGTGCCCGGTCCAAAGCGAACTGTGGAATAGCCATCAAAAGGCTGCCGCACAAGGTCCTCTCCTTGATCTGGTGCGAGCAAGTAATGAGCATGGGCCTTCCTTTCTCGTTCAAGGGGTAAACTTACAGTCTTCTCTGGTCAAACCACGGCAGCTAGCTGGAAGGCCTGCGATGCTGAGGAGTGTGATCTTGGCAAGAAAGATGGCCATGACCATGATGTCTCCTGGCACGGACATAATGGCAAAGACTCGCCATGATGTTTTCTTCATCGACTTGAACACATGCACGAGACATATCACGAGAGTGGAATAGACCAACGCCATCAACCCCTGTTACACTCGTTAGAATTGAAGCATGAAACCTCGCAAGCAACATACCAAAAGTTGAACGCCCTTCATACGGCTATTTTCACCAAGGCGATTGCGAACAATGTAGTTGTACAGCAAACCAAAAGATGCGTACACTAGACACGACGATGACCACTGCCACACTCGTAGCACAGTCAAGCAACATCCGAGGCAATTAAACCTCCGCGCTGGCGTCTTCTCTTCCATATTGGTTGGCCGGATGTAATATGGTTTCGATTACTTTGACGAATACTTTGTGCCTTGAAACCCAGGAGCCTCAAGGTCTAGCTTACCGTATGCTTGGGAACGCTCAGAGAGAGCGGGGCTGAGTTGAGGTCAAGACCTAATCGTAATATGCTCGAGAGTCGGAGCTGAGGACACGGAAACCAATCATGCCGGAGTTCGGGATCGTCTCGCATGCTGCAAGTAAGACGGATTGTCATTGGACAATCGGCATTGCTTGTGCGCTCTTGGGGATGGCGAGCTCTGGAAATAAGCATATCGATATCTCAAGAAGGATTGCTGCCTACCGCACGTGGCTGCAACCCAGTAAGATATTCTTGGATACAGATGGGTTACATAATTACTTTTGCTGTTAGAGGAGGCCTCCTCCAAATGAAGCAAGGTGGTATCGTGAACAGCCTTCTGCAATAGTTAAATTACCTAGATCGCACATCAAATCATCGAGCTTCAAAGAGCAGAGTGCCAACTCTTGATTCTATAATCTTACCAGTAGACCAACTGACGCTTTTGATCTTATTCACTATCGTCCTCTAGTTCCTGCTTGGCTCCTCACTATAAATCAAAGAGTCTGTACTTCTAGTGTGATACTTGAAGCCACCGCTTATTTGGATAACGGTTTTCGTTCCCATGGTGTTGGTCGAGAACCGACTGGCGTGGTGGCTGAGTTTCTAGAGCCCCACATACAGGACCAAGAGTTCCAAGCTTATTTGCTGTGTTCTTGGTCTCGGCGCCATCCTCCAAAGCTGCCCGATTCCGTAGCTGCCGATGACGCGTCGCCTGGTGATAGGCGTTCAGCCCGCAGACGGCCTGCAGTTGAAACAATGGAGATCGTGTTTCTTGACTTTGTTATTCAAGCTCCGCCTCTCGGCTTCAGCGCTCTGTTTGGTGGGGGCACGAATGGAGACTGCCGTCACGTCGTGTGGTTAGTCAGGAACACGAACGCACGGCCACCAGACAGGCAATGATATCACGAAGTTGACAGCAAGGTAAAAATGCTTGTGTAGAAACAGTCGTATCATAGCTCTTTCGAGAATGGTGTGCGAGAAGTGATACCTTGTCCGTTACTGTCTGTAGTAGCTTGCTAAAGGATTTGCAAGTCCTGGTGGGCTTTCTCTGAATTGAACTACTTGAGGATGTAAGTGGTCTGTAGCTTGGCTGACCCATCGTTGATTATCAAGAATCTCAACTCCCAGAACGTCAAGAACCTGCTGTTGGGACGATCTCTTGCGGGGGACGAATCAAAGATAATAATCTTGCTCTGGCAAAGCATCAAGCAACCAACTCTGTGCCATCCCCGAGTGCGGCTCCAGTTCTCCGACCCTGGTGCCCAGGTCCAGTCTCGCGCTTACACTCCACATATCAGATGCTAGTTTGGGACGGATGCACCAACACAGCCCCAGTCTTCATCTCAGCCCTGGATAACCCTGGACACACTCTCCCGTGCCTATCCCTTTTGTCGATTGACTTTCCTAGTCTATTTCCCTCGTTTCTGTTTCTTCCGTGTCCCTCGTTCGGTTTGTTTCCCCTCAACCATCAATTCCCGTGGTTGAGTTCTTAATATGGCGTGGAAGATATCATCATGGCTTGTTTCGATACGACTCTTCCAGCTCGTTGGGGCCCTCGTCTCTGCTGGCATGAATGCATTTCTAATCCTCCACATCTACAATAACCACCTGGGCTTGTCGGAACGAATGATCATTGTGGAGTTAATGGTATGTCGGGCGGAAAACATCGTGTCCCACCATGACTCGGCAGTGCCGCGCAGTCTTCAAATCTAACATTGTTCTAGATTGGCGCATTGTTTGTCTACACGTCGCTCACTCTTCTCATCTCGCATGCCGGCAAACGTGGCAAGCGTAGCGCGTGGTTGGTGTGCATGGTAATATGCGATGTCGTGTTTTGTTGTCTTGATATCGCTGCCATCACTCTTTTGGCCAACAGCGGTGTTCCTGGAAACTGTGGGGGGCTGACGGATGTGGACTGTGAGGCAACTGGAATGACTTCATCCAGGACCTGCTGACTCGTTTCAGATACCAAAGACGTCGGCGACAAGGCAAGGAGCCCGAAACCTGGCTTCACGACCATTGGCTTCAGTGACGGATCTGATGGCAAGCGAGGGGAGCTAGACAAGTACTGTGGGCTGGAGCGCAGCTTCTACTTCGTCGCCATTGCTATATTGTATATCACTTCCTCTGACCACCTCCTCTGTCCATTGTCACTAACGTCCACCCAGATTCAGCTATATGTTGACCATTGCGGTATCAGTTTTGCGATTATGTGAAGGCAAGATCTATAGCCAGAGCGAAGTCAACCAGATGATGGAATCTCAGGAGAGAATGATTGAGTTGGAGCAAAAGATCAATGATTCGAGGTCGAATTTGTCTCCTGTTAACGCATCACCGGTGATGGACAGCCGGTTCAGCCAAGGCGTTCTACCCCCACGGGCATCGATACCTGCAGGGCCGCCTCCACCCCCCATTCCAGAACGTCCCGAGTACTCAGAACCCGGACCATCAAGGAGGATATCATTCGCGTCATCATCGCCCACTGCGGTCAATCCTGCCTCGCCGGTGCTTTCATTCGCGTCGCTGGAGCATCATGCGAATATGGCCATGGTCACGGACGGATCGAGGTACAATAATCACATTGGTATCCAACTGCCGCCTTATTCCCCAGGTAACATGGCGCCAATGAATGGACACGGCGGTGAGAATAATGACATCAGGCTGAGCGACTATGTCAAAGGAGAGACTAGAGCTCAGGACATGAAGGATGCGGGACGGTTTTGATACGACGAAAATGTACGATAACGGGGTTCCTAATTAATTCGTCATGGCTGCTATGTGCAGGAGAGTTTAGTTTGGGTTACTCGGCGAATTCAGGGAGATATCATGATACACGGAGATGCAGCCGTTGGCGTACACTTCTTATCTCTACTTTGGGTCATGGGCTGCTAGCATGAGAGAGACGATATCATATATATCCAACGACTTCGAGAAAAGTCGTGTAATTCTAGTTCTACTATTCAAACTATTTGTACGGACGGTGCTGTCGGTCTCTCTAAATCTTGAAGTCGGTCGTCCTGTGCTTATATAGAGATGGCCACCGACCGGAGCGCCTCCGTGTTACCGAACCGGAGTGCGGCCCGTAACGTTACTTCGTCCCCCGCTTTCGCACCTGCCTGCCCACTGCCGTACGGCGTCAGCGTGGGTCGAAAATGTCAGGCACAACCGGCCACATCCGCTTAGATATCGTACCGCGGTGTCTTAGCAGCTTCCTCTCGCGATATCAAGTGACTGCTCAAAAAAAAGCAAACTGCCCCGCAGGGCTCGAACATCTTCTCCGCAGCATTCCTCCATCTCACATCTCCCCGGTGTAGGGCCCGGCGTAGACGCCTTGGAAATCCCCAGCGAAGCCGCACTGAATCGACTGATCTGTGATAATGGTGACCTTGACGTCTTTCCTGGAGAGGGATGGCTTCGTGGTTATTCCGTCAGTTCTGTCACCGGAGCAGCTCGAGACTCTCCGTGCCGCTGCCACTCGGACCACCGAGCTCGCCCGCTCCGGCAAGTGGCCGCTGATCCGCACCGTCGGTAAACAGTTCCCGCCGTGGACACCGGACGCCAGCCTGGGCATCTGGGGTGTGCAGTCGTTGATGCACCCCGAGCTCCCCGATCACGACATATTCGCCCAGTCCTACTTCGCAGAGAATGTGCTCAGTCCGGCAAAACAGCTCATGAGCTGTGGCGACGAGGACCTCGTCATGGAACTGTACAACATGCTCGTCCGCCCGGACAAGGATTTTGAGCTGCGATGGCACCGAGACGATATTCCGCCGGACGCTGACGATGAGGAGGAGCTGGAGAGACTCAATGAGCCGGCTTTCCACACCCAGTGGAATCTGGCGTTGTTTGACGACGAGAGCTTGGTGCTTGTGCCCGGATCGCATCGACGGGCGAGAACCAAGGAGGAACGCGATGCAGGGCCGTACGATGTGGTTGCGGACCAAATGACTGTCAAGTTGAAGGCTGGCGATGTGGCTTTCTATAACAACAACATCTTCCACAGAGGCGTGTACGACTCCACTAAAGAACGCATGACACTGCATGGCAGTGTGGGACACGCCAAAGGGAGCAAGCTGCGAGCTAGAAATGTTCTTCAGCATGGAATCGGAAGCTGGGTTGACCGGTGCGACTTCAGCGCGTTGGGCGAGCAGAAGGAGAGGGCGGAGGCCATGAGGGACCGACTGGTGAGACTGGGAAGGGACAGTGGCGAGGTCGGATACTCCTTGGACGGTTGAAGAAGGAAGCATTATCTATACAAGAAGAATGTCGAGTCAGAGTAAGATGAAGGTTGCCTTGTCACCATTAGTGTCTGGTGTAACATCTTCCATCTGAGAGTTTATGTTTTATAAAGAAACTTAGCATACTACCATCTACAAAAAGACGATGAAATTTTATAATCCGGTCTATATGCGTGTAGAACTTTTATTTAAATAGTCTTTATCAGTCCCCAACTTAGGTCTTCACCTTGTCAATTGCTCGACAATATCGCCTTTTTTTTTCGTTCAGAATGTTGCAAAATGTAACTCAGTTGATGGGGATGAAATGACTGAACAACCCTTCTGGGTCATACTTCCGCTTTAGTGCCCTCAGTTTCTCCAGTCGCTCTCCCTTCCCATACAACTGCTCCATGTCTTCGTCACCAACTGAAAAGTTCGGATAACTGATGCGTATCCAGTCAGTCACAAGTAGAGGTTGGAGTTAGGCTTCTTTAACGTACACTACATGTTTGTCGGAACTTTTCGTCATGAGGTTCCGGAATTTCTCACCGTACGCCTTTGCCGGTTGTATAAGCGCAGCATCACTGTAGATAGTGCTGGCGAAGCAATGGCGCTTCATCGTTCTAATAGCTGGACCGACCGCATTTTCGTCTTGGGAGACAGCGTGTGCCTTGGCGTGAGAGTAATTCTCGAAGTTTACGATGCTGTGCTTTGCATCATCGTGAGAAGAGAAGGCGACATACTCGTCCCAGATCTCTCTTGCAGCCTTAGTGTCGATTGAGTCCACAGCCACGGACCAACAAGTCTTATAGCCTCCTTTATATTTGTTAGTCCCGTTTCGATAGCTCTCACCGGAACATAAGCTCACCTTTGAAGCAGTGTGGATCGATGCCATCATTGAGGTGGTCATAAGGCACCATTCCTGACATTATCACAAACGGCTGGAGGTCGAAAATTGGCGCAAACAATCGCTTTGCGGACTCTTCAGATCCAGCATGCCATATGGATATTGCAATCATGGGATCCATTGTGGGAGGTGCTCGGCCGAATATAACATTGAAGCTCATTGTTTGCTCAAGTTCAAGTTTGTTCGCAATTTCGATGACTTGCTCAAGCAAGGCGTCGGGAAAAGCCACAAGCGCTATGAAGTGTAGTCCGTCGTTGATCTCGGGGTATACCTTCACGGTCAAGCTGCTAATGATACCAAAGTTGTGTGCCGCGCCCCTGAGCGCCCACCAGAGATCCGAGTTCTCTGCGGCGGAAACAGCCTTTGCAATACCGTCAGGGCCGATTAGACGGGCAGAGACCATATTATCCGCTCCAGGTCCGTATAACCCCTTTTCAAGCGGACTACGTCAGCACATGAACTGTGCGGTAGTGATGAAGTACTCACCATCAAATGACCAATTCCGCCTCCGGTGATTGAGGCAATAGCACCAACTGAGTTGCAGGTGCCGATTACTATAGCATATCGTTAGCTCTTGATAGCCTCTTATATTCGAAGGCTTCAATCGGCTGAACAATACCAATGTGTGACTTCTGCGATTTGGCCGCGTCCACAACCTCCTGAACAACCGCCCCGCCCCCTATCACAGCGAGGCCTTTTTCTGTGTCAATATCCACGGTGTTGAGCTTGCGCATGTTAATGACAATGCCGCCTGAGTTTATTTTGAACCAGCTGGCCCATGCATGACCACCGGATTGCGCAACGAACGGAACGCCATGTTTTGTAGCCCATTGGATCTACAAGAACGCATTGTTTAGCCATAGCATCTCTTGAAAGTAGGGAGAGAATACTCACCGTTGCTTCGATGTCAGATTCTGAAGCGACATTGACGACAGCCCCCGGTTTAGGAGTGTTCAAGTCACTCCACCTAGCAGCCGAGGTAGCGTAACCTGCTTCGCCTATCAGATCAACTGTCGCATCGATCGAAAGGCTTGACTTCAGGGTATCAAGGTCTTGAATAGTCGCAGTGTTGGCTGTTGGCTTGCCTAAGCCATTGCTTGGGGAAAGAGTGCGATCGTTCTCAGTGAAGTCTTTCTTCATTTTGCGAGCCGTTTCTGGTGATGAGAAAAAAGAAGTTGACGAGAGATTGTCGAGGACTTTGCCTAGGTCGGACATGATGACGAATTTATATCCTCATCCCAACTATCAACCACGATCCGACGAAGCTGATGTCCCCTGTTGGTTTCTTGACCCCAGCCAGCCAAGAGGAGGCTTGGTAGATGCTCCATCAAGCATTTCGCGACCTTTCCAACAAAAGGACCGCTGTCTCGTAACGCCACGACACTTAAGTCGAAGTCTATTCTGAGCCAATTGGAGATGAAAGTATGGCGGTGTTGGTCCAAGTTTGTGGCGGCCAGTCCGGTAAGCAAGCTTGACACGAATTAGTGGTGAATGAATTTCCTGCCCGAGCATTAGCTACCACCATTGTAATAGCTGCCCTTAGAAGACTTCCCAAGTCTTGGCGGTGTCAGATGTGCTAGGTTTAGGATATGCCGAACAGAGACACGGCAGCCATGCCTTACCATAGGGCTTGAGCTGAATGATTAGAGGCGCATTAGCGCCCGCCTCATGGTGGAAACTTTGTCCGAAACTGGAACCCTTCTGGAACGCCTCTTCTTTTGGTCTTCCAACACGCGGTCAGGGTTCACCGTTGTTCTTTGCGGGGTGTCCGGCTTCGTGGATGTCGCAACGTGACATCTCTAAGCCATTTTGTCTAAGAGATGGCTTCTGTGGCGCATGAGTTCTGGTTGGGTCTAGACCTCGCGCATATCTCCTGTTGTCAATGGATCATTCTTAATTTCCACAGCATTAGAGTAAACGTTAAATAGATATGAAGTATTGCAATATTTACGAAGAAGTGAATATGTACAGATAATGAGCTGGCAAATCAGACGACGTGTCCCTGTCATCAAGGATCCTCGTGTCCATGGTTGAGAACCCCATGAGCCGAAGCCCTTCGATCAGTGATCTTACTCAACCGCTCCTGAACATTACGATGTTCGACGGATAGACATTGACGTTATCCGCATAGTAAGCGAGTCTAGTGCCGTCTCTATCAATCATGCTCTGAGAACCGATGGTGTTCAAGTTGTAGATGTTTACGTTGCTGAGCGTGCCTTGCAGGCGGACAATGCGAGCTTGGCAGCTCTCTCCGGCGGCGAAGGTGGAGCAGGCTAAGTATTGTCAAGTCAACATATACGTCCAGTGTCGACAGGTGCATTCAATAGGGGTGGATCTTACTGGTGCTATAATTGTCAAAGAAGGAGTAGTGGCCGGCGCCGTAGACAAGGATGTTCGACGAGCTGAGCACTCTCAAGCCCCACGCCATGGCGCAGTTTCCTGAGACACCGCTGCAGTCGGTGTTGAAGTTGGGATCATTCAGGGACGTTACCACTGGGAAGGGCTGCAGCGCGTTAGGTAGTGGTTGGTAGTACCTTGAAAACTCCATGAGCGGCTTCATCATCATGAGATACTTTTCAACTTACGGAGTCTCCGTCTGCAGCTGGTTGGCAAAAATATTCTTCGTTCCAGACAACTGATATTGGTACAGAACATGGTGCTCAACAGCTGTACCAACGAGCCAGAATGTCCCCGCGGTAGACTCAATGTCTGATTCAGTCAGTACACGGATTTTCAAGGTTCCTAGGAATTAAACATACAGAGGCCTCTTCCAGAGTAGACGGTAATCTGAGTGTTCGAGGCGTCGTCGATATCATGGTCAGCAGTCCTTCGCTTGTTAGCTCTGGTCGATGCCAAGGTTCTCGAATAAGCAACTACTCACCAGAGCCAGCAGTTCTCCATATACAGGTTGCTTGCCGATGCCGTGACATGCATGCTCATATAAGCACCAATGCAGCCGGTGTTCACTGTACTGCTTCCAGGCTGCTTTAGACACTGGGCCACTTGCAACTGGCTGCCAGTGAAGCCTCCGATACGTGTGTGTACATCCCACATGCCGCTAGGCGTGCCACTGCTTGCGAGATTCCATTCAATGAGAATAGCTCCGGCCTGTGCACCCTGAGTGCCGACCACGAAGTCGCTAAGTTCAACCGTGCCGACTTGTCCAGAAGTCGTTCCGACCTTCAAAACCACTTTCGGATTCGACATGTCGGTAAAGTAGCCGCCGCTAGCTACAAGAATGGGATATGCCTCACCGACGATCTTGGCGCCAGGCGGGATAGTCACGGTGGATGTAAGTCTGTACACGCCATGGTCGATATAGACCACCTTTCCGGCTGAAACGGCATTGTTGATGGCTGTCTGAATGGCCGCGGTGTCATCTGACGCTCCATCGCCCTTGGCACCAGTGGAACGCACACTGACGAAGCTAGAAGCGGCAAGGGACTGATACTGCGGCTTGGAGCGAGTATAATAGGCGCCACCGCTGGTGAGGGCAGCCGGTCGAGAGTTGGGGTCGATGGTGCCTTGGAAGGTTGTAGGACCTGATGGGATATATCGGTGTCCTTCCCCCCAACCCGCGATCGTTGTCGTGCCCGTGGTGCCTGCAAGAACGGTGCCGCTAGGTCCTTTGACAACAACGGGCACATTACTGAGAGCAAGGTTCTCGAGAATGACACTGTTTGCTGTTGGCGGCTGGGAGGTTGAGCTGTAGTGTGTCAAGATACCGACAGGGACATTGGTGAAAGTGCTGTCGATGACTGTTAAGGAGCCAACAAGGTTGTTTCCCGAGCCGTCAACGGCAGAGATGTCAATACCAGTCTGGCAATTCGAGATCGTGAGACCCATATATGTCCAGCCCCAGTCCCACAGAGTGATAATAGCTGTGACGCAATTTTGGAAAACCAAGTTGCGCATGGTATATTGCTGGTTGCCCATTGATGCTCCCGTAGCGCCTCCAATGAAGGTGAGATCCGACATGAAACCTCCACTTCCACTCTCGATAAAGAGCCCAACATGCACAACTCCGGATGTAGTCGGCATCTTGAATACAATGTTCTGGAGGCTAGTTGCCTGAGATGTCGGCCAGTGCATACCCGTAGCTGCTGTCGTAGCGGGGATGTTTGTTGTGTCAATAACGAAGTTTCTGACCTGGCGATAGAAGACATTGGTGGAGACCCAGTTGAGATCTGAAGTATAGTATGGGTTGCCATCAATAAGTCCAAACCCTGAGAAGCCAGCAGTGGCCTTGAGGGTAGGTGGGGTATTGGCATCTCCTATGAGCATTGTGAAGTAGTAAGGGACAATAGAAGAAGAGATCAAGTATGTGCCACTAGGGAAGTAGACGACTGCTGGTGTCATGGTGGTGGAAGCCTTTCTGAGTTAGATTATGATCTTGTCTTTGGGCCAATCTCGGTGAGAGAGAGGCTAACGGTATTTCAACACTTACACACCCCCTGCCACAACGGTTTCCCGCAGTGATAGCAGCGTTGATCGCTGCTGTATCATCTGTAACTCCATCACCTGAATAACTCAGTCAGAACACGGTCTCAAGATAAGGTGCTTTGATCGCTCTCTCGTACTAACCCTTAGCGCCGTAGTCCTTGACATTGCGGAACACGCTGTATCCTGAACCAGCATAAGGAGCTAAGCCCTGATCTATTTGTTTGTCAGGCATGAGAACAAGGGTGAGGGAGCCGCCAGGTCCTTACGGGAAATATCACCCATCCAGTAGGCATTAATGGTAACCAAAAGGCTGGCCACGGCCAGGAAGAACTGAGAAGCACGCATCGTCAAGACTGAGGAGAGAAAGCTGCCTGATGAGCGGGAGGGAAAGGGGACGATGACCACGCCACCGAGAAGGTTATATATTCAAGACCAAGCTCTGAGTCCCTAGCGTAGCACGAGGACTTTAAAATGGGCCGCGTAACGTTCACGACGTCGCCGCTGATGAGACTGTTCGTCCGTCGGTCCGTGGTAGACGGCGCTCATGAATCCAGGAATAGGAATTTGGCCGATTCGCCGACGAGATGCCTCCACGCGCTGCACATCATGAAGTGTGGCTGATAGACTTGCCCGGCTGACTTGACAAGGCTAGGCAGGAGACGTGACTAGCTTGGTCGTCCAACCCATGACACCGTGGAATCACTGTGTAGTCGGCCACCATCTGCAAGACACAGGTAAGTGAGATGTCTTACCGCGTGGAGAGAGAGCTTGGACCCATCGGGGCCTTGAGTAATCCGCCCTGGAGGAGATGTCACAGTAAGATGGATGATGTGACGATCTTCACGGCACTTCACCGTTGATCGAGCTTAAACTAACATAAGAACAAGTCACGGACACAGTTGCAACAGACCAGAGGGTTGTGGCAATCTGATTGGTTACCCGTTGGAAGAAGAGTGTATGAGGTAGCTGGGATGATAACATGTGGCAGTGTGGAGGTGGAGGAGAGGCGCCCAAGCAGATTCAACCCTGGTCCTCGTCTAGGTAGTTGAGCCGAGATCTCGGCCGTTCCCCTGCATGAATGTGGCCTTGAAGGGAAGCTAGCCGGCCTAAATTCAAGATATGAAGCCCTTGCGGGCTTCGGATTGGTGAAATAGTCTGGAAGGACGGGAATGAGGACATCACCAAGAAGAAGAAGGCCTCTTGGTGCGATGAAATTTAGGGAATGTGACGTGACCTACTACTTGGAGATATCACGATAGGAAGTTGACAGTAGGATCATCAGAGCCAAGGACCCACGCTCTTCTCTATCACACTTCCTTTCAAAAGATTTTAGAAGCATCATGCTCCATGAAAGTCTTGCCCTGTACCAGAAGAGTCAAGCCAGCTCCTAAAACGAGATATACCTGAGTTCCAAAACTGGTACGAGTACCTTTTTAAGGGGCATTTTTGGGGGATAATTGGCTGAGATCGTATGTCCGGCATTTGAAGGCAATCACCTGCCGGGACAGAACCTTACCTCCTGGTTGCTCACTTGAGACAGATCTGTCCTGGTATCTATGGTTGGGTTTTGCCCACTAATATTGTACTTCGGACCTGGAAGGAAGCATATGTAACGTGCCTCCCCTGATGTGTGCGCGCGAACTACTCACGGGGCTCCACCCTTGGGAAATTGGGAGCTGGGACAGGAACAGCACTGGAAAAGGCGGGGTCAATCAACGGGTGAGCCCGCCATCCTCAGCCTCTACGTCCATGGATGGAAGCTCAGTCTGCACACCAACCAGACATGAGCACACCACTTTCTCGACGCTTTCCGACTGGGAATACCACCCTCGGAGGGAGCACGTGGAGGCATCTCCGGACCTTTCCATGGCCCGGATGCGTCTTTCATGTGGCCATCTCGGACAACATTCTTCTGGGACTGAAGTGACCTTGGTGTGCCACGCGGACCGTTTTCTGTCTTGTCTCCCCGCAAGACAATGAGCTTCCCCGCTTTCGCGGACCATCAACCAGTCCCGGCGAAAGCTACGCGAGAGCCTCATCGAAGATCGTGAGAAAACACACTTACCTTGTCCGCTTATTGAGGAGAGCATGTTGCACTGAAACAAGAGCTCGCTCTATATTGGATTGAGCGACCTTCACCGGCGATGCAATTCCAATCTTGTGACAACAGACTCATTTAGTCCGGTTTATCCTGAGGAGAAGCACTCGGGGGCCTGACCGAGCTAGAAGGACGCCAAGACGGACGTCATTATCCAGAGAATGGCTGTTACCGACATGCTCCACTCTTGACTGGTACGCATGAGTGGAAGTTGATATAAAAGACGGAAGCACTTGAAGCTGAGCTTCAGTGAGTGTCACCGCCATCTTTGTTCCATGGGCCTCACAGGTCGCCGATCGCACGACACCAACTGGCGGGTGAACGAAAGTACGCCATATGCAGGCGCGGCAGCCGCTGGTCTGATACACGGGATGCGAGTGCATCGTGGAGTAGGCGGCGCCGAAGCACTTGAAATCTGGGGAAGCCAGCGTGGGATTAGATGAGTCCCCCGGCAAGCGAACCAGACCCCAGGGCGCGCTGCATTTTGCCTATTCACAGGATGGGAAGAGCATATATTGCTGTGGTAGTAGGCTCAACGGCTAGTGCTAGCAAGCGGAGCGGCTTTTTTTGAGGAGCGGCCGCGGTACGCCCGTCGAGGTCGAGAGACTGACGATGCTGTGGATGATGGATTGTCTGAGCCTGGTAACGTCGACCAGACTAACAACCGCGTCAACAAGCAAGTGGCACTGCATCGTGTATCGTCGTAAACTTGTGCTTCGCCCACCCACCCACTCATCTCGTGTGGTGGTCTGCTGGAGGTGCCTCCGGCAACATACCGAATACCCTGCGAGGTGTAAGGGTCTTGAAATGAGGGCCTCACACCGGATGCTGCTCCATGTCGTCGTTGGGGTGTTGGATGGTGCGAAGAAGGAGATAGATTGGGGCCGGCGACGGTGAGAGTCGCTGCCTCGAAGGGCATTCGAGGACAAATAACTCGCGTGAGTCGGTGGATCCTGCAGTATTTTGGACGATGGAAGGAAACGACGAGCCGAATCAGGCGAGTACGGAAACAACAAGCGGATGGTAGCTGCTCCGAACCGTATGCGCCGTACTGTGCAGTTGCGGTGGTGTGCTGTGATATCTCCTCTGGCCTGCCCACTACACTCCACTGTAAATTGCTAGGTGAAGTTTCTTCTCCATTTCACTCCTCACACCCCGCACCTCGTTCGAGTTCTCCAACCCGACTAAAAAACATCCTCGGGTCATCTCCTCACAACCCAAGTGATGCTTGTCTACCCACCTACCACCTGCTGCAGTACGAGTACTGCTGCAAGGTATTCTACACCTTTTAGGCGTTGGTTGGTAGATAGGGATAGGTAGCCCTCTCCACACACATGCTACGGGCGGCGGCGGGCAAAGCGAAAACAGATCACACTACTGCGTGTGTCCATGCCCTTGCAATCGGGAAATTTGCCTACCTAGGTACACACTTGATCTGGTCCAATCCAATCAGGCGCCCCGGAATTGCTTTCCATGATCTGAATGAATCTGAACCGGCGGGACTGAACAGTGGTCAGCATCATTAGCCCAGTCGTCTTTTTCCTTGTCTTCCTTAAGTAGTCATGGCATCACGTCAATGGTTCCTTTCGCTGCAATAATTTGGCAACAGAGAGCCCACTAAGTCATTCCGGATATGACAGTACGCAGGGCAGTCCGGCCTAGTTATGAGTTATGTTGCTTCTTGTAGGGTACTGATTCTGTCGCGTGTCCGACAAGGGAAGACGGCTGGCTGGCTGGCTGGCTTAGAAATCACCATGCTGGAATATATGCATGATGTTCATGCGCGTCCTCACAGTACAGTTGCAGGTCGCCGACCTTGTCTTGCATCTCAAGCGGAAGGCAGGGCAGACTGTTCATTCACTGTTATACTGTATTCGAGAATGGTCGGTCTTGTGGGCCGGGTTGAGCCCGGTTGTGCCCCAGCGATCGACATGAAATGCCCCGGTTGGGTGGACAAGCCGTTTTTCTCATCAGCATCACTGCATTCTCACGATTCGCTGCAAGTTTCTGCTTAGTCCTGTCTTGTTTTCTTGTCACGCATCGGGTGTGCTCTTTGCGATCTGCTTGCAACACATTGCGCCAATGGCTCTGCTGGCGATGGCAATGGCAATGGGCTGTGCCTCCGAGAACTTGTCATGATCCCTCCCAGAAACGCCCATCCTGGCATTTTGAGACTTTTGAAGACTGTTAGAAGTGAACTGTCTTTCTCTTCTCACGAACCTGATCGCGTGGCGGGGTTATCCATAACGCTTTCCCATGTAGCTCCTTGCTCAAACACACAAAGTATGGCCAGGTTAGTTACTTCGTAATGCATCCGCTATGTCACAAGGACCGTGGAAGATCCTCCTTGGCTGGGAACTGCGACATGTGGATTCACATGACATGAAAATGGAGCGGCAACCTAGGTAGGCGATGACGATCGGGACTACGATGCCTTCAGGTAATGCAATACGTATTGGACCAAGATGCGAATTGCACAATCTTGATGGTGGCTCTTCCCCATCATCTCCATCATCTGCCCTCATCTACCTCTACCCAGGCGTGCCAGGTAGTGTTGAGTGAGCAGTGGACGGGCCTAAATGAGGAGAAACATCACCCACCTATCTGGCGATGACATAACGGAGAGATTGATTGGCGGCTCGCCCCCACATCAAGAGCTGAAGAGGAATGGCGCAGCAGCCACGACAGGGGACGGGCTTCTAATTTGTCCTGAACCCCAGCGCCCGTCCCCCTCTTCTCCACCCGCGGGCAGAACAGGACAAAGCCAGGGCATGCGGAGTGCCCATGGGGAAGGAGAGACCTGGTACGGGCTGTACGAGTATGGGTATACCTTAGGTAGGTATGGTCCGAGGGTGCGTGCCTGCCCTCACTACGGTCCTGCCCTCGGCGACCTGGGTGGCCTGGTGCTGAGTGGTACCTTCCATGCTCCCAAACGCCCGACGGCTCCAAATGTACCGACCGATTCCACTCCTTCCCTCTCGTTCGGGTCTGGGTAGTAGGATACCTGCCTCAAGTATATGGGAATGTCCCAGTGCATACATGTGTGTGCATACCTCCCTAAGTCGGTACATGTACTACGTATGTACGTACGGAGCAGGCGCAGGGAAGGAGCGAGGAAGAGACATGGATCCTGAAATGCTTAGTCGGTTGACCTGCCTGCTTCATGCGTGCGTGTGCATTTTCCCCGTTTCCTTCCTCCAACAAACCTACACACCACCTGGGCACACTCTCGCGCCTCAATCCCCAG